GAGACGGGGCGGGGGCGGGGTGGTGTTGTCACCAGGGAGAATGAGACCGGAAAACCGACACGAAGTGGCAGTTCCCTGGAGGACCCGGAGCCGCTGCTCACTCGGGGGACGAGGGTCCCGCGTTGCTGTGTGTTAGCAAAACCGACCTCAGCGTTAACGCTGTCCAGCGAAGAAAATGCCAGGCGCCTTCGCGGGCACTTACTCCAGCCCTTGAGGAACAGTTCGGACCGCCCATCCGCAACCTGCCCCAGGGAACAGCAGGGCAGGGGGCGGCGCCGGCGCGCCCCCCCCGCCCCCCCCCCGCGCCAGCCCTCGCTGCGGCAGGTGGGAGGCACCCTCGCGGGCAGCCACGGTCCCTGCGCGCCCCTCCCGTGGGCGGCGGTACCACCGGGTGCGAGAGGGGCCTCGGGGTGGCGGGCGCAGGGCAGGAGGGTTCTCGCCGGGCTTTGCTGTTCTCTGCGACCAGGAGGCTAGGCTCCCGCAGTGCTCACCCCGCCCCCGCCCCCGGACCCAGGCCACCCCCAGAGGCTGTGGGGTCGGTACCATTTCCCAGGTCCCAGGCTGAGGCGGGACGCACACTCGCTCAGGGTCGCAGGCTCCCAGGTGATGGAGCGAGACCCGGGTTGATGCCTCGGGGCTGCCTGCAGGATGGAGGGTCAGGCAGCGACTGAGGGCCGCCGGGGGCGCCAGACGAGAAGCTGCGGAGCAGGCGCAGGGCCCTGGACTGGAACCTGCAGGCAATGGGCGGGGGGCGCCGAGGGTGTGGGAAGGAGCGCGAGGGTGGACCTCGCGCCTCGCGCACCGCGGAGCCCCGGGGACCCAAGGGGGCGGCGCCTGAGCGCCCAGGGCCTGAACAGGGTGGAGTGAGACCGGTCCTGCCAGCGCCTCGAGGGGCTCCGGGAGCGTCCCCGGGAGGAGACGCCCAGTTTGGGCGCACGTAGGGACTCGGGGATCTCCGCGCTGGCGGGGGCGTTCGCGCACCTGAGGATTTGCGTCCCCGGCGGCTTCTAAGGGTGCAGACCCGGGGCCATCACCCCACCCCGCCCGTGCCAATCACCTCGCTCACTCGCATCTCGTTTGGCCGTTGCATTGTTCCGCCTGCCGGTCCGCTAAGCGCGAAAGTCCAAGATGGGCAAACACAGGAGAGCCCTGGGGCCTCTGGGGCCGCGGCGGGGCTGGCGGGGCCGAGGGGCGGGGCTCCCGAGGTCGCGACCTGGACGCTGTCCGCGGTGCTGAGCGCCCGCCGGGGCGCAGGGGCCCGGGCTCCATGGGGGCCCGCGGCGCCACGGACGCGGGCGGGCTGCTGGCGGGGCGAGGGCCTGGCGCGGGCGGAGGCGTGGCGGCGCCGGCGGGGCTGGCGGGGCCGGGGGCGGTGGCGGCGCTGGCGGGGGGCGTGCTGCTCATCGGCGCGGTGCTGGCGGGGAACTCGCTCGTGTGCGTGAGCGTGGCGGCCGAGCGCGCCCTGCAGACTCCCACCAACTACTTCATCGTGAGCCTGGCGGCCGCGGACCTCCTCCTCGCTCTGCTCGTGCTGCCGCTCTTCGTCTACTCCGAGGTGAGCATGCCCGTCCACGCGAGGACCCAGCGCGACTGGCCACCTGCCTCCCCTGGAGCCCCAAGCGGGGCGCTGCTCGGGGCGCCCCTCTGAGCCCACTCCGCTCCCGCCTTGCTGTCTGTCCGGCCTCCCTCTTCTGTCCCTCTCTCCTCTCCCTTCCTGGCTCAGCGTCTGAAACCCAAGAGGGGCCTCTGTCCTTGAAGACAGGGACCCCACAAAAGGGCGGCTCTGGCAGTCCAGCCCCGCCCCCTCCCCGCCCCCTCCCCGCCCTGCGGCTCCCAGGGCAGCCAGCTGGACGGGTCGCAGGCTCAGGACCTCCCCGGTGGGCTCCCCGGGGCCCCGGGACACGCACGTCGCTGCCCAGGCCCCAGCCAGCGCGACCAGCACGGCCGCTCTCCCTTGGGCTCAGCGGCAGCCCCGGGGGACGCGGGGGGGGGGGGGCGCGGGGCGTGAAGGGCAGAGGGGGGGAGGGGCGTCTGCGGGGTCCACAGCCCGGGAGCAGAACCGGGGCCAGGGGCCTCCACTCCAGACCAAGCCGGGGGCTTGGGCGGGTCCCCTGTGGTGCCCGCTCTGCCTTCTTGGAGGTTTGGGCAGAGAAAAGCCGCTTAGGGCCGGGCTGGGGACACCGTGTCCTGGGCTGTGGGGGAGGGGAGGCCTGGCTTTTCTAAAGCGGGCACAGTGAGTCGGCTGGGGCTGGGCAGAGGCTAGCAGGACAAGGACACACACAGCCTTCTGTTCGCTGCCCTGGGGCCCAGACGGACGTCGCAGTGCCGGCCTTAAGCCCCTAATCGGCCCGCGTCAGCCCGAGGGGATTGGGAAGGGGGGCGCCGCGGGCCCCTATGGGCCGGCTCAGGGCGCGGGGCGCGGGGCACGGCGCTGGGGCCGGCACCCTCTTCAGTCCACGTCCGCGCCCGCCAGGGACGTGGGCGTCATCATCACCCGCACCCGAAAGGCGAGGGCACAGGAGTGACACCACCGAAGTCCCCGCAGTGAGGAGTTTAACCAGACAGGCTGGCGCTCCGCTGTGCTCTGGGAGGAGAGGGGGCTGCAGGGGGACCCCAGCACCCTGAGCCCCACGTCGTCAGGGACCAGGGTCCTCAGGCCCTCATACCCCGCCCCCCCGCGCCCCCCCCCCCGCCGCCTTTCCCAGCTCTGGGGGCAGACGGGGGCGGGGCAGGGGCGGCTGGCCCGGGGTCGGCTGCGCCAGCGGCGGGTCCGAGCCGCCGTTGCTGCCCCGCCCCCTCCCGGCGGCCCAGGTGCAGGGCGGCGTGTGGCGGCTGAGCCCCGGCCTCTGCGACGCGCTCCTGGCCATGGACGTTCTGCTGTGCACCGCCTCCATCTTCAACCTGTGCGCCATCAGCGTGGATAGGTGGGCCGCCCCCCAACCCCCGCCCGGCCCCGCCCCAGCGCCCCGCCCCCCGCCCCGCGCTGCCCTCATCGTGCTCCCCGCAGGTTCGTGGCCGTGGCCATGCCTCTGCGCTACAACCGCCAGGGCCGCGGCGGGCGCCAGCTGCTGCTCATCGGCGCCACGTGGCTGCTGTCGGCCGCGGTGGCTGCGCCCGTGCTGTGCGGCCTCAACGACGCGCGCGGCCGCGACCCCTCCGCGTGCCGCCTGGAGGACCGAGACTACGTGGTCTACTCGTCCGTGTGCTCCTTCTTCCTGCCCTGCCCGCTCATGCTGCTGCTCTACTGGGCCACGTTCCGGGGCCTGCGGCGCTGGCAGGCCGCGCGCCGCGCCAAACTGCACGGCCGCGCGCCCTGCCGGCCCAGCGGCCCCGGCCCGCCGCCCCACGATGCCCGCCCGGTCCAGCGCCCGCCGCGGGCTCGCAGGGGACGCGCCGAGATCAGCGGCCGGGAGCGCAGGGCCATGCGGGTCCTGCCCGTGGTGGTCGGTGGGTGCCCGCCTGCTGGTGCGGAGGGGCGGGTGGCAGCGCCTGGGGCGGGGGGTGCTGCTGGGCCCCCGCTGACACAGCCCCCCACCGCCCCAGGGGCCTTCCTGGTCTGCTGGACGCCCTTCTTCGTCGTGCACACCACGCGGGCGCTGTGCCCCGCCTGCACCGTGCCCCCGAGGCTGGTCAGCGCGGTCACCTGGCTGGGCTACCTCAACAGCGCGCTGAACCCAGTCATCTACACGGCCTTCAACGCCGAGTTCCGCAGCGTCTTCCGCAAGGCCCTGCGCCGCTGCTGCTGAGCGTCCCCCACCCCCCATCCCCGGCCCCCCGCCCCGGCTCAGGGGGCAAGACCCCGCACGGGGAGGAGAGGTTTTGTGCAACGCACTGAACACCGAACACCTGCCCTAAACACCCGCGAAGTCTCGGAGGGGGTGCGGGTGGGTGGGGAGCGGGCCAGGGAGGGGGCGACTCTGTCCCGAGCGAAGCCCAGGCCCCAGGGACCTGCAGGTCAGGTAACCCCTCCCTTCCTTCCTTCCTTCCTTCCTTCCTTCCAAGGAAGCCCGGAGGTCGGGCCCCGCACACTGGCTCCCGGCTCAGGGTGAAGTTGCCCGGGGCTCCCCATGGCGCCCTCCCATCTCTGACGGGTCCCTCCACCCCGGCACCAGCTGCAGGGCCCCCGGCCCCGCCCAGCCGTCTGGGCCCGCAGCTTCCTCCCTGCCGTCCCCTCCCTCGGTGGGGGACAGCGGACAAGCCACCACGCAGGAGCCCAGCCCTGGGGCCGGAGGTCACCTCCGAGGCTGCCGCCTCCCATGCGGTCAGGCCCCTCCCTGACCACGTCCCAGAGGCCGCCTGGGGCTTCACAGGCTTAGAAATGACACACTGGGGCAAATGTCCCGAAAGATGCGGCCCTGAGGCCTCTGTTTGAAAGAAAGGGGGAGGTGCCCCGGCCGGTGCGGCGCGGTCGGTCGTGGCGCCGTCTGGCGCACCCAAGGGGCGCAGGGTCCCAGGGCCCGTGCCTGGGCACAGGTGTGGTCGCCGGTCCGGGTGCGCAGGGAAGGCAACCGACCGGCCAGTGTCTCCCTCTCCCCCCCCCCCCCCGTTCCTCACTCTCTAAAAACAATAATAAAAAAGCCGTCCTCGGGCCCTGGCTGTTGGGGCTCCTAAGGATACGCGTGACCTTCTGCTCCCTCCCAGGTGTGCGCTGAGCGTAGGCCTGCAAACCGGAAGGTCGCCAGCTCGATTCTCAGACGGGGCCCCCAGTTGGGTCCGAGTTCTCAGGCCACACGCAGGCTGCCCTCGCATTCCGGCCGCGGGGGGCAAGTCCCGCCTGAGGCCGGGCAGGCGCTCGGAGGCCCGAGGGGCTCGCACGGGGCTGCGCCGCCCCCCTGTGCCCCTCTCCTCCCAGGCGGCGGGGAAGCCGCCGCCGGCACCAGCCGCGCCCCGAGGTCCACGCACCCCTTGCCCCGGGCTTCCCCACGGAGGCCGCAGGGACGCTGCGGCGGCCGACCTGCCTCCCGCCTGGGAAGCTGGAGCTGGGACTGCGCCACGGTGGGGCAGGGACACTGACTTTATTGAGACACATGTATGTACACGCGTGTTACAAACACAACACACCCGTGGGTAAGGCCGGACCCTCGTGATCCAAGAGTGAAAGAGCACCGTGCGGCGCCCGGCGCCCCTGGCGCCACCTCCCGGGCCGGGCAGGGGCGGCTCTCTCCAGGGGCGCGGGCCGCTGCAAGTCTGTTCGTAACTTGGCCAGCAAGTTTCTTCGCCTTCTCCGCGTCCCCCGCAGCCGCCCAGGGGTCCTGGGCCCGCGACGGCCCGCAGCGCCGCAGAGGGGACCCGCGGGCCCTCACACGGCGACCTTCTCTATCACGCTCTCGGCCACGTGGACTTCGTCCCCCTGAACGGTGACGGCTGCCGCCTGGCCGCATATGTGCTGGTGGTCCTTCCAGTCCTGCCGGGAAGGACATGCCCGCGTCAGCAGGGGCTGCCGCCGGGCAGCAGCGAGAGGTGTCCGCCCAGGGCCACAGCCTGCGTGCCACGTGCCCCGCCTGCTGGCGCCGCCTCACGCCCCGCCTCGCTGGCTGGTGCCGAAGGGACCAGCGCTCAGGCAGACGGCCCGGCGGGGCCGCGAGTCACCGGGACCGGGGCGGAGGGGGGAGCCCAGGGCGAGGCCTCTCAGGGCCCGGCGGTGCGGCCCATGGGAGGCCGGCGGGTGCCGAGTGGGGCCCCCACCCCGCCGCCCCTGCCCCAGGGGCCACGGCCTGTTCGCAGGCGGGACGGGGCGCGGAGCACCATGCACGGCGCCTCAGCCTGGACCAGGGCTCTCAGGAGGCTGGACGGCCAGGGACCTGGGCACAGGGCGCGGGAGGGTGAACGGGAACATGCGCACCGGGAAAGACAGTCAGCGACAAGTGCGGGCAGCCCGGACGCGGGTTCCCCGACGGGGAAGCCGGATCGTTAGCCCCAGACCTGCACGGCTGCACCCGGCACAGGGCCTGCCCAGTCGCCCGCCCCGGAGGGTTTCTGTTGAGAGTGGATGGTGCTCAGATCCCTCGGCGAGTCCCCAGCCAGGGGAGGCCCCGCCCCACCCAGGGGGACGGGTGCGACCAGCAGGGGCCTACCTTGCGCTGGCAGAAGGTGGAGCAGTAGTTCACTTTGTGGCAGCCGGTGCACTCGCTCAGGGCCTCCCGGCCGCAGTTGGCGCAGGACTGCTGCAGGGACAGAGCCGTCGGCGCTGTGGGGCGCGGGCACCGCCGGGCCCCCCCGGGGCCCCGACACGCGGGCCGCCTCCAGCGCTGCCCGCGCGCACAGGCCTGTCGCCTGGAGAAAAGCTGACCTCATTTCCACCGCGTGCCCAGGACCGAGCCTGGGGACAGGATCCTCAAAGCCGTCGGGGACAGGCCCCGGCCGGCCCGGCCGGCCTGAGCGGCCGGGTGGACCCTTCCGGGCAGAGTCATCGGGCGCCCAGCAGCCCCCGCTCCGAGCCCCCCGCCCGCAGGCCTGGCGGGAATGCACGCTCTGTGTGCCGCTTCCCTAAGTGACGTGCCTGGAGCTTTCCCCCTCGACCAGCCGAGGGCCACGCGCAGGGGAGCGCCTGTCCCGGCCGACCTGGCGGCCGGACTGTGGTGATGTGTGTGGAGGGCAGCCCCGCTGTCACCTCTGGGTGTGGGGGCAGGCGCCAGACATGGCGACTGCGCGCAGGACGTGCGACGCACCCGTGACCGCCTCGCGGGCCCGGCCCTGCACGCGCACGCAACACACAGCCGGCTGCTCTCAGTTTCCGTTCTGGCTTCAGCTTCCTTCCCTGCAAAACACTGTGCTCACCACGAGCAGCACTTCCCACAAGTAACATGTTTCCACTCGTAAAACCACGGCCGTCTGCACGCCCTTCAAAAATTGGGGAGGTAACACGACACCCGGGGAACTGACTTGGTTTGACTTTAAAGGACAAAATGCTCCGGGAGGAGACCAGACCCGCCTCGGGGCGCAGAGAGCGGTCCCCGGGGAGCGGGGGTGGCGGCGCCTGGTGTCGGGGACGCCCTTCCCAGAGGAGGCCGTGGCGCAGGCAGCGCAGACCCAGCGGCCACACGTGGCTCCCGTGGGACAGGGTGCCCTTTCCGGCCACGGGCCTCCGCTCTTCTGCCCCGCTCACCAGCCGAGCTAATCACACACACAAACGCAGCGCCCACAGTCGGAGCTGGGAAAACCTCCTTAACAGCCCCGGCGGGTGCGGCTCAGTGGATGGAACACCGACCTCCAAACCAAACGGTCGCCGGTTCAATTCCCAGTCAGGGCACAGGCCTGGGTTGTGGGCTGGATCGCCAGTAGGGGGCACGCAAAAAGCAACCACACTTGGCTACTTCCCTCCCTCTCTTTCTCCCACCCTTCCCCTCTCTCTGAAAATAAATAAATAAATAAATAAATAAATAAATAAAGAGAACCCTACGCAGCAGTTTTGACTGCACTGCACTTGGTTTTTAAACTCCAACCGCAGCCGGAGCGGAGCCGACTGTGGGCACGGCCATGGGCCCAGGACGGAGGGCCCGCCCCGCCTGGCCCCGCGGCCCTCACTGTGGGGGCCCCTAACGGGCTCTTTCCCCGGGGTTATCAGGGTTTGCCTCCGCAGTCCCAGAGCTTCCCAAGGCCGAAAGCAAACGGAAGCACAAGCGCGTCCTCCTGTCCTCGGCGGCAGAGGCACGGGCTCAAGGACGGGAGAGTCATGCTCGCGCTGGCCGACGCCCCCGCCTCAGCTCCAGCTCCGCTCCCGCGGCAGAAGCCACTCTGCAGGCACGCGGGCAACGCCAGGACCCACGCGTCCTCGCCTGCACCCCCAGGTCACTGCTGTGCCCACGCTCCAGGGACGCGGCGGGGTCTCCTCCCTCTGACGCCGATGGGGTCGGAGCCTCGTCCCGGGAGCGGCTGGAGCAGGGACCCTCCCAGGTGCCCACTGTCACCGGAGAGCTCTGCACGCCACGGGATCCCGGCGCCCAGCCGCGGAGCCTCACCGGCCCCTGGGCTGCCTGGGACGCGCGGCGGCGAGCGTGGCCGGGGCCGCCCGAGGGGCTCCCTGCCCCCGCGGGAGACGGGGCCTGCGTGTCCGGGTGTCTGCGTGCACGGCCTTGCGTGGCCAAGGACCCTCCCGTCTCACGGGCCCCCCCTGGCGGGCGTGCTTGGCTTTCGGAAAAATCGGGTTTTTCTTTTCTATTGAATTTATTGGGGTGACGCTGGTTAACACAACTATGCAGCCTCAGGGGCGCCCTGCAGAGACGCCAGCTGCACGCGGTGCCGGTGCTCAGAGCCCCCAGGCTACTGACTCCCATCGCTGCTCTCCCGCTTCACCCGCCTCCTCCGCCCGCCCCTCCCGCTGTGGTCCCTGCCGCAGGTGGTTTAGCGAGGACACGGCATGCAGAGCCTCGGGGCGGCGGGGGCCAGGGCCGTGTGGGGGTGGGGGGCTGTGCGGAACTCCTCACAGGCCCGGTGGCCTCCTTGCAGGGGATTTTAGGGTAAAGGCATTTCCTGCGACTTTTCTTTCTAAGAAATGCATCAAATTACAAATGAAGTGCCAAGTCCCGCCTTCCAGGCACAGGGTGGGGAGTAGGGGAGGACCCGGCCAGCACCCTGTCACAGGACCCAGCTCAGGACCCTCCGAGAACGGAGGCGGTGGGCAGGGCTGTGGCTGTTCCCGTGGGAACCACAGCAGCTGCCACGGCTGCTGGCTCAGCACCGCCCCACCTGGGGAGGCACAGGCTCTGGCCGGCTGCCTTCCGGGCACCACCGCGCCCAACCGGGGAGGGACCGCCTCGTAAATCTCACTGGGAGCCAGAGGTCTAAGGCCAGGGAAATGGGGAACTAAAAGTCAAGAAGGTCTCCTTTTCGTTTCCTCACAGGCAAGCAGTTCAGATTTCCGCGCAGCCGCCCCGCCTGCCTGGGGCCGGGCAGGAGCCGCGCTTCGAGGGGCCACTCTAAGAGAGAACCAAGTGTCCGTTTTCAACTTCTGCTTCTTTGCGCAACCTAAGCCAGAAAGCACATCCAACAGCCCTTCCACTTTGTCCCTGAACGGCCAGGGCAGCCGTGAGGAGACCCGCTTCCCTCACCCGAGTGGACCCGTGGGCGGAAGCCGGGCCCGCGGAGCCGGCCGGTGTCCCCTGCAGGACACCTGGGCTGAGGGGCGTGAGGGAGCTGCCCCACAGCGTCTCTCCGCCTCATGTCCCCTCCCCGCCCTTTAAAATGACCCCCAAATCTGTTAGGATTATGGGGGGAAATTACAAACACCATCAACGCTTCTTCCCCTGAACAGTTCCTGATGCGTAACAGGTGATCGATAGTATCTCTGGAATCAGTGATGAATAGCCTTAATTGTTACACCACACCGATTTTTTAATCCACTTTAAAACACGCCCAGGATCTGAGGAGACCCGGCCCCAAGGCGCAGGGATGCCCCGAGCACCTGAGAAGATGCACCGCACCACCCTCCTCAAGGACACGCAAGTCGAACCCAAGACGCCACCTCACGGGCCCCTGGACGGCGGAACCAAAACGCAGGCGGCAGCAGGAGACATGGGGACGCGGGCCCCCCCACACCCTGCAGCCAGGCGTGTCCACGGTGCAGCCGTGCGGAAAGCAGGCCGGCCGCCCCCCAGAAAGTTAGACAGATGTGCGGCCACCCCGCGACCCAGAGGTCCCAACCAGCCCCGGGGGCGTGGAAGTGTGTTCAGAGCAGCCAGAGAGCAGACACAACCCACAGGGACACCGACGCTGAACGGGGCGCGTCCACACAGGGCCGGAGGGCCGCCGGACGCCGAGGCCACGGGCAGGGTGCGCCCGCCTGCCTCTGTGCAACGCCCAGGGCCCACAGACCACCGGCAGGGCGGGGCCGCCCGTGCCAGCGTCCGGCGGGGTCTCAGGGCGGTGAAATGTACTACAAGGGGAGAGCGGTGGGGGCCGCACACGCTTGTGTGTTTACTAAAAGCTACCGGGTTGTACAGGTTACAAGCGTGACTTTTATGATACGTAAATTGTACTCGTAAGCCCCGGTGGGTGAGGCTCCGTGGACTGGGCACCGGCCTGCGGACCAAAGAGCCGCTGGTTGGATTCCCAGGCAGGGCGCAGGCCTGGGTGGCGGGCCAGGTCCCCAGCAGGGGGCGCACGAGAGGCAGCCACATGTGGATGTTCCTCTCCCTCTCTTTCTCCCTTCCCCCTCTCTAAAAATAAATAAACAAAATCTTCTTCCAAAAGATCCGGACAGCAAAGACGTAGAACTGCCAACAACCGGCCACACAGCAGCGCAGCCTCACATCTGTGCGTGCGCCGCACGTCACGCTGCCGCAGGAGGCGAACACGGGCGCCGACGTGGCCGTGCCGAGGCCGCTGGGCCACCGCAGGCGGGACGCGGAGGACGGCCTGAGGTCGGACGGCCGGGAAGCGACGGCGCACGGGGGGCGGGCTCGGCCCGGTGGGAAGGGGCTGCAGGACCCACGCTGTGAGGGCGCAGCTCCGGCGACAGGCTCGCGGGCCACCAACGCCCCGAGGCTTCCCCGAGACCGAGGAGAGCCACTCGGTCCAGGCGGGCAGACGGAGGAGCCGGCGGCACACGCCGCCCTCGGAGGCGGAGAGAGGACCAGCTGGGACGCCAGCCGCTGCCCACGGCCGCCCCACCGCTTCCAGGGGGCGGGAGACCGCAGAATCCAGGCCTGCGCCATAAAACAGCGCGGCATCCGAAGACCCCCTGGAAACGACAGGCACATGAAGAAAGGAAGACGCCTCCGTAGCCAAGGGGAGAACAGGCCCCAGGAACAGGCCCTGGGGGTCAGCCAAGGCCGCCAGGGAATGCTCCGCGGACGCAAGGAGAAGAGTCCGCAGGAACAGGCCCCGGGGGCCGCTGGGGGCCGGCAGGGAGACGGACCCGCAGGAGGGCCCAGCGGGGCTCCCCGCCAGTGCGGGCCACAGGCGGGCTCCTCGCCGCAGGGCCACGCGGGAGGAGCCCCGGGGCCCAGGCGGGGGTCCCACACAGGTGCTGGGACGTGCGCGGCCGTTTTCCTACAAGTATCTCGCTCCCCAGTTCTCACCATATAACTAATGGGCCGACAGGCAATTCAGCTGTGAAAAGACAAAACCCCTCCAGCTCACAGGCCGCCTCCCCATTCGGGCCGCGGTTTCGTTTCTCCGCAGAGGAGTCAGGTGCCCCCGGCGCCTCCGGGCGCGGAGCCTGGCTGCCCCTTCGGTTTCATTTCCCCGTCAGCAGAGTCCTGACAGCTGCTCCTGTTTGCACGTTATTTATAAATCGCAGCTTCACTGCCGGTCGACACTGGCGAGCAGGTGGGCTGGCCGTGGTCTTCCGGCCGCGGGCACAAGTCCACAGGGCGGGGCCTTGCGCCAAGACTCGGTTTCTCGCTGGGAAGCCCACCCCCCACGCGGCACGAGAGGCCGGGGCCCCTCTGCGGGTGCACCGCTGGGCCCACGTTGAGGGAATAACTCTAAATCTTTTGGTCCTTAAGCTCTTCTCTTTCCCATAAGATTCAGCGTTGAGTCGGTATTAGTTTGGAATTATGTATCTATTTTAAAGAATGCATTTATTTTTAGAGAGCGGGACAGGGAGGGAGAAAGGGAGGGAAACATCCTTGTGTGGTTGCCTCTCGCGCGCCCCCCACTGGGACCTGGCCCGCAGCCCAGGCCTGGGCCCCGACTGCGAATCCAACCAGCGGCTCTTTGGTTCTCAGGCCCGTGCCCAGTCCATGGAGCCGCACCCGCCGGGGCTGGAATTATATCTTTTAAGTGTTTTAAAATTATCTCTGTAGCTGCAACATTTTTCTGTAGAAGCAACATTTTTCTTCCTTAAAAACAAATTAATCACTAGCTTATCAAGTGAATCGCCTTATAAGGCACATAAATGTCTAATCACTACGTTGTACACCTGAAGCTAATGTAATATTATATGACAACTGTAATTGAAAAATTAAAAAATTTAAAAACAGTTAATCACATATTAAGAAATCATTTAGAAAACTAAGACCCTTAAAAGTTCTTTGTTCTGATCTATGAAAAGTGGAAATAAGTGAAAATTTTTCCTTATATAGATTTGGTAGAAGAAAATCAATTTGAGCCTTGGCTGGGCAGCTCAGTGGGTCAGATTGTCACCCCAATACACCAGGGTTGCAGGTTCGATCCCGGTCAGGGTATACACAAGAATCAGCCAATAAATACATCAGTAGATGGAACAACAAATCCATGTCTGTCTCCTTTTAAAATCAATAAATTTTCAAAAAGACTTTAAAAACAGGAAATCCCTTGGACTTTGGTTCACACACCCGCGTGCACGCTGCCGGAGGGAGCGAGGAAGCCGAGAGACGCGCCCCGCCCACCGCTCCGCTCGCGGGCCCCGCCCCGCGCCGGCCCCGCCCCGCGCCCGGCTCCCAGCATCTCCCTCGCTGCACGTGGAAATGGACAGCAGCGCCCGCGACGCGGCCCTCTGTGCTGTTCCCACTCGGACCTGTCCCTGGCGTGGCGGCGCCGGCCACGCCTGAGCCCCAGTCACCAGGACCCCAGGTTCCGCCTGCACCCACGTTACCTCCTTCCGCTCGCTGTCCGCCTGCACCCTGGCCTGCGCCGCGGCGGCCTCTCGGTAGGAGCTGGCCTGCTTGGCTTGTTCAAACAGCGTCTTCAGCTGCTGGGCCGTGCTGAGCAGGGAGTTGACCATCTCTTCCAGGTACAGCCAGCTCCGCGGCTCCGACATCTCTAGCCCGTTGACCACCGCGGGGGAAACGGCTTTGGCGGGGTTGGAGGGTGGGACCGCCAGGGCCGGCAGGGAGGTCAGCACTGAGAGGTTGCGAGAGCGAGACAAAGGGCGGCGTTACCCCGGGTCCTGGCCTCCCGGAGCCCCCGCGGGGCCCCGCGCCCAGCACGGAGGGCAGGCGGATCGGCAGGCAGCCACGGACGCCTTGGGCCTGCTCAAGTGCTCCGGACGCGGCGACGCTCGGTGCCTTCCAGCTCCACACCCACCGGCTGGAGGCCGGACACGCAGAGGACAGACACAGACCCCGAGCAAGACGTGGTCACCAGCCCCCGCAGGGCCCGCCGGTAGGACAGCGACCTCTGAGAACGTGGCCCCAGAGTGGGTCTCACAAACGGAGCCCCCAGAGCGGGGGCCAGGGTGCGGGGACCGCGAAACGGGGCGGGGGCCGAAGGTCCGGTGACGGGGCAGCTGGCCTGCGGTGGGGGGCGCGGGGCAGCACCCGTGTGAGTTAGAGCGTCAGAGGCCTGGATGCGCACCATCGCTGACCAACGATGACCGCCTCCGTCTAGAGGCTGAGTCGTGGGAGGGAGCCGGGCGCCTGCGGGCTGGGTGCCGCGGGAGCAGGAAGCCTGGCCGATCGGGGTCCCTCGGCCGGAGAAGCAAGGCCCAGAGACAGAGAGGGAGGGCGTGCGACGCCCATGGTGTCTGTGGCACAGGAAGGGGAGACCGGCACACAGCCCGGGAGCAGGGGCGCCCCAGCAGCAGCGGGGGCGCCTTCCAGGGAAGAACCCTCGTCTGTAGCACAGGCTGCTCCCTGGCGACAACGCGCCCCGTGACCCGCTTCCAGCCAACGGGAGGTCCCTGGACGTGGCGCGCGGGCCCACGCCAGCCGGGCTGGCCCTCGGCCTCCCAGTGCCATCCGCTCAGAGAGCCAGGGCTCCCGGCTGAACGGAAGCCCCGACCCGAGCCGGGAACGTCTCACGGTGCCAGGAGAAGGGAAGGGGTCCAAGGAAACGGGCCAAATCGGGGGCTCTTTGGGTGACATAATGAGAGAAACAGGTTACAGCCCAGAGAGTGAAACAGGAAGCGGCGAGTCCCCATTGAAATGAAGAAGTGGGTGAGCAGGCAGCCCCCGCGGGCCCAGCCACATCCGCCCGCGCCGCCCCCGGCCCTCGGCGCTGGCAGCGCGTCGGGCAAGGGGCTGGAGCCGGGTGACGTAAGGGCGGGGAGGGTTTACACGGGGAACGGAGAGCGTGGAACAAGCAAGCAACCCCTTGGTCACACGTGTGCAAAACTGCTTCCTGGTCTGCAGCCACGAGACACACAGCCACCGGGGAGGCCCAGGGCTGGGACCACGAGGGCCTGGTGTGAGGGCGGCGGCGGCAGAAACACGGAGCCGGGAGGGGGACACCGAGGCCGCGCCAGGCGCTCGGGGGCCGGTCGGCAACCTTCCCGGGCCGCAGGGTCCCTGCGCAGCCCTCGCTGACCCTGCGGACCCACCGCAGCGGGCGCGGCCCTGACCTCGGTTGTGACGGAGAGATCCAACCAGCCCCCTTCGCCCAGGAATTCCTGCCAGGGGCGCAATGCCACGGACGCCCGCTTGCGGTGCGGGGAGCCTTTCCGCACTGACCTAGTTTGGGATGAGCCGTGGGCAGCGCAGCTTCCGGAAAGGGCGCGACCTGACAGCTGTCCTGGTAGCCGGGGTAGTGGGGCTCCGCGTGGCCGACCCTGCACGGCGGCTGCACGCCGGCTTCTTGCACTGTTGGGGAGAAGGGACAGGCAGCCGGGTCACCCCGCGGCCGGCAGCACAGACACAGACGGGGGTGGGGTGGGGGTGGGGAGCAGTGGTCGCTGAGGGACCCCTGCTGCGCTGTCCCCTGGGGCAGCGCCCCCGCCCGGACTGTGTGAGTGATGGAATCTGGGACGCACGGGGTCGGGGGGACAAAGCACGACACAGCGTTAGCCCCCACCGCCGGCCCCTCCCTCCGCAGCGTGGCTGCCGGGCATGGGTGCTGCGCACCGGGTCCCCGGCGGCCACAGGGCAGCGCAGGCGTCGCCTGGGAGCTTCCCAGGTCCCGCGGTCCGCACAGCTCACCCGCCCGCCCCCCATGCCCCAGCTCAGGCCGGCGTGGCGCCCACGTGGCTCCGGCCCAGGGAAGCCCCGGCCAGGGCCCCACGAAGAGCCGCGCTGCCCACCAGGCCGGCAGGGGCAGGCAGGTGCTGAGCCAACTCACCTGTGGCTCCCGCAAAGACGTCGCCCTGGGCCGGACTCTCCGAGATGACCGCGGTGGCTTCCACAGTGGACGCCCGGTCGAAGGTCAGGGCGCCAGAGGTAGTGATCTGTCCTGAGGGGGTCACAGTGACTGGAAAAGCAGAAGTGCTTTTTACCGCACAGCGGGGGCCGCGGAAGGGCCCCAGGGGACCGAGGCCCGAGCGGGGACGCTGCCTGTGCTGCTGTCACCTCTGCCAGGGCACGTGAGAACCAGGGACCCAGAACGCTGAGGGGAGAGAGTGGGCCTGCCCCCGGGGTGCGGGCAGGGCAGGGAGGGGAGCGGGGCCGCCACCGAGCCCGCCAGCCCCGCCGCGCCTGCTTTAAACGGGGACCCGCGGGGGACGCTAAGTGGGGACAGCCGCATGCGTGAGGAGAGGAGCGGGGACTCACAGGTGGTGGCGGCGGTGGCCGGCAGCAGCGTGATGTTCTTGGTGGCCTCCTTCTTCCCTGGGGCTGCAGGCAGCTCATTCTCCTTCTTGCGCCGCTTGTAGGGGACGAAGAGCCGGACAGGGCCGCTCTGGGGGAAAGCACAGCGAGACGGGGACGCGTGTGTGGACGCGGCTCCCGCACCGTCCGCGGGCCCGTGGGACCCGCCTCTGGTTGTCCGAGCAGCTGCTCTCAGAACTACCCCCTCTCCTTAGGCCCAAGTTCCTTACAGTGACAGAAAAGACACTTTGAAAAAGAATGTGTGAATAACGGTGCTGGACGACAAGCAAGGGCATCGTCAACGTAGCGAACGCGTAGGAATCCCTAGAGGACCGAAAACAAGCGGGGACTGAGGGAAGGAGAGAGGCGAGGCCGCCACCCAGAGCGAGCGGCAGACACTTTGTCCGCAACAGGGGAAGAGGCGCCGTGGGGATTGAATGAGAAAGCCCTGGGCCGCGACAACCGCAAACAGCGCAGGTGACGGGCGTCTTGGCGGAGAGGCCCCGGGCCTGGGTCCTCGGGACAACCGTCCTGCTGAGTGTCCCCAAGCCCCAGACAGGACCACACTCTTTTGTGGCCAGGAGGTGCTGGGGAGCGGGTCTGGTGAGCCCCATTTAGGAAGTTTGCTTTCAATTCTGGAACTTCCGTCCGATCCCCCTTGGTCATTCCCATGTCTTTATTGACCTTCCTCACCTGATGACTTACTGTCGTTACAAAAAGCTGCCGCATCTCGTGGGGCTCAGTGGACCGAGCGCCAGCCCGCGAACCAAAGGGCCGGGGCTGTGAGGCCCAGGCAGGGCCCCGGGGTGCGGGCCGGGTCCCCAGCAGGGGGCGCATGAGAGGCGGCCGCACGTTGATGTCCGCCCCCCCCCCCCCGCCCGCGCCCCTCCCTCTCCCCGCCCACTTCTCTCTAAAAATAAACTTAAAAAAAAAGTGTCTGTTTCGGGGGTTAGAAGGGTGACATTACAGGAGCTTCCCACTGTTTCGGGGCTTTTCCTTTGGTGTCCTCTGAACAACTGCTCAGGGGCCACCCACGTGCCCCAGCCAGGGCACCAGCCTCCCGAGTGACGTCTGAACCGGGAATGTCTTGATCTTCACGGGGGGGGGCGGGGGGGGGACAGGCTCACTGACTTTAGAGAGAGGGGGAGGGAGGGAGGGAGGGAGAGGGACGTCGCGCGCTTGCCTGGCTGCTGGGAACACTCCAACCAGCCGAGCCACACGCCGAGCCACACGCCGGGCCACACGCCGGGCCGGGGTCTGGGCGAGAAACCAGAAGCAGCCCCTGGGGACCCGAGGGCCCTGGGAGGCCTCAGGACGGCGCCCGGACGGAGAGGCGGCGAGGGCTGAACCGGCCACTCACCAAGGTCATGTCGTCGCAGCAGGCGGCGCAGGTGCAGGAGGCGGCGTGCGGGTTCAGGATCCCGTCCTGCAACGAGAAGGCGCCCCTCATAGAGACGAACCCCGCGGCTTCCTGCTGCCCTGCCGCCCAGCACCCCCTTCCGCGGGCCCGGCTGCCTCTCCCGTCCTGGTAGGTGCCGGCGCCACGGTCCCCTTCCCCGACTGACGCCCAGGAGGCTCAGCGGCAGAGGCCACGCGCCGCGTCCTCTGATGAGGGGGCCGACACAGAGCGGGGTCCGGGAGCTCTGGGCGGCGGCCTCGCCCGGCCCTCCCGCCGCTACACGGGCCGAAGGCACCATCGTCCCATTTGAAACATCAGGAGGCTGAGGTACAGAGGCCAAGTGACCTGCCCAAGGCACTGCCGCCCAGCGGGAGCCCGGCCGGGGCCCCAGGGCTGCCCCCCGCTTGGGACGGGGGGGGGGCACGGGCACCCGCACCTGGATGAGGCACTGCAGCGGCCGGCCGGCGTAGCGGATGCTCCGCTTCCAGTCCTTGCTGCTGGCTCTCCCGGCCATGGCTTCGAACTCCGTGGGGCTGTACCAGTTCTCCCCCTGCTTGATGCATCGGCCCCGGCCTCCTGGAGCAGCAAGGGCGGCGGTCAGTTCCCGCCTCCTGCCCGGGCCTGCGGGGCCCCGCCGACGCCGGCGCTCCCCGCGGGCTGCCGGGCAAATCCGCCTGCCTGCTGGGTCTGCCGCTGCCGCCCACGGTCACCGCACTGGGCTCACGACAGCCGCCTGCAGGTCGGCGCGCTGAGCCAGGAACGCGGCCGCGGGGCCTCTGCTCACATGGGTCACGGCGCTCTCTGTTTGCCCCCGCCGTCCCCAGGGAGCCGCGGCGGGTGCCCTACCTGAGCCCAGCCTGCTCTTGTACAACGTGCCGCTGATGTTCCGGCAGCGCACGGGCAGCTCGCTGTCGTACACCGACGGGTCCCAGTTGTACTTGCTCCCCGCCTTCTCTTGGCCGGGAGCCAGGGGCGCCGGAGGAGACTGAGGACCTTGGTAAAGAAAGCGTCCGACGGTGAGAGACCCCGATGCCCCGGAAGAGAGCAGGAAACACAGCGTCCGGCGGGGTGCTCTCAGGGGTCCCCAGAACGTCCCCTGGCTGCTGCCGCCCTTCCATTCAGGGCAGCTCTTCCTCCTTCGCAGCCCAGAAACCCCACTTTTCCTACTTAGGCTGGATGATATTTCCCTCCCAAACGAGCAGGGCAGCCCCCCGACGTGGCGCGCGCGGGTGGGCGCAGGGCGGCCGTACCTGGGGTGAGCGGCGCGGCCGGCCCCTTCAGCCCCGCGGTCTCCACGATGCTGCCATCCGTGTGCACGACGATCAGCGTGGCCTTCTCGGTGTTCAGGGTGTCCCCGATCTGCAGGGCCGTCCTGCCGGACTGCAGGGGAGAGGCTCCGTCACGCCCTCGCTGCCCTGCCGGCCGTGGGCCGGTCGCCCGGAGCTGCGGACGCGCCGCCACAGCGAGCTTCCCGGCGGCCGACGCCAACGAGGGGGTGCCTGCCACGCCTCATGGGTCCCTTCCAAAGACGTCACTGAGACTCGAGCGCAGAGCCAACCGTGGGAAGAGATGACACCAGGTCTGTGCCCTGAGCAAGCTCTCAAGATTGCGTGTCAGCCCCAGAATCAGCGTGTTCCGTGAAAGCCCCGTAACCGGGAAGCGCATGGACGTCTGCGGGAGCAGGGCCCGCGGGAGGGTCTCCCAGACGCCCGGCCTGGGATGCCTTTCCCAGGCTGTGTCCTGTCAGGGACCTCACCCAACGCCGCCAGAGACCTGGGCCGCCCAGCCGCGCTGCGGTGTGCCTCTCGGAGACTTGCTGACCGTCTGGGCCAGCCCGGCTCACCTGCCCCGTCTCTGCCAGAGCCAAGGCCCACCCTGCGCCCCCGGGCCTCTGGGCCCACGGAAGTGAGCAGAGTTTCCCGTGTCTGCGCTGAGCCCACGCCACCGTCCGCTGCCGACAGCAGGCCTCTGCTTGTGGCCTCAGAGGCACGGATGACTTGGCCCTGAGGCGCCGGGTGTCCCCACTGTGCGACCGAGACGCAAAGAAACCTACCAGCTGTGGCAAAGGCCCAGGAAACTCCCCTTCCTGGAGACTGCCCAGCCCTGGCATCTGCCGCTTGGGGACCCAGCTGTCCCCCAATCCCAGAAGGCCTCACATGTGAGAGAGAAGCGGGCGACGCGGCCGTCACAGGCACAAGGGCCACGGGGAAGGGGACGCGGCAGCGTGGTGAAGAGGTGGGCGGCCCCTGGGGCAGAGCACGCGTGGGACAGGCGGGCGCTGCGCGGGATGAGGGGGTGGGGCCCTCTCAACACGGGGGGTGGGCGGCACGGCCAGGGGAGCAGCAGGGTGGGGGCCGCGCGGGGAAGCTGGCCTCCCGCCTCGGGGACCCTGGGTGTCCTTCCGCCAGGGCTTGGGCGGGTCCCTGTGCGGCCCACACCTAATGGGCAGGGTCCCCCTCCGCGCCGGCGCCCGCCCCCCACGCGGCGCAGAGGCCCGGTCTCGCGGGGCCGCTTACCAGAACGTGTCCCGAGAGCGAGGCGGCGTTGGCCACCGACGTGGTGAAGACGTTGTCGGCCGAGGCGCCCACGTTGGCCACCGTCACTGTGGTCACCTCTGCAACACAGGTGCCCAGCTCAGCCCGGCCCCCACGCAGAGGCTGCATCCGCACCGCCGGCCGTCCCGGCCGAGCCTTCTGCCGCGGGGCCGCGCCCCCGAGAGCCCCGCCCCACCCCCGCGGGCTGTCCAGGGTCCCCAGGTTTCGCCGGCCACACCTGGCTTCTGGCCCCTTTCAGAAGAAAACCAGCACGTGCTGCAGCAGGCGCCCGGCAGACACCCACCGGCAGGCGCTCCCCGAACCCTGACTGCTCCCCTCCCTCCCTCTGGGCCCTGCCTCTCCCCTCCACCACCAGGTGCCCCTGAGCCTCCGCAGCATCCACACACCGGTGGCTGCGCCCACCTGGCCCGCGCTTCCCCTCCCGCCGCTCAGCCACCGCCTGCCCCAAGCGTTCCCTCCCCCGAGCTCTGCCTGCGCCCGACGACCACGCCCTTTGGCTCGGGCACCGCCCGGGAGCCCTTCCTAGGAGCACAGCTCCTCCTCGCGGGGCGGCGGCCCCCGGGGGTCACACAGCATCCCAGAACGCCCCGTGCCCCGGGCCGTGTCTGGCGCGTGGGAGGCGCTTAGAAACACCGCCTCAAAGGCGTTTGCACGTTCCACGCGCCCACACGCACCCCACGGCCCGGCACCCCCGTCCCATCCATGTCCACGGGCCGACCCCCGGCCGCTGTCCCACAGAACCCACGTGCAGTGGGGACCCCGTCTAAAGCCCACGCAGACGGCCCTCTGCCAAGGAGGCGGCCTCCGAGAGCACCCAGACACCCCCGAACCTCCGTAACGCGGGACAGAGTTTGAAGGCTTTAACACACACGCAACACAACTCAAGTGTCGCAGAAAAAAAATGTCAGCACACTTTTCTGACGTCACACTCAATGACGTCACGTTGCTGCACTAGGGAGAACGTGTGCGAAAAAGATAAAAACCAGAAGAAAAATTTCACGCCCACAATCCCAACATTAATCCAGAATTCAGTAATGAAAATGGAACCTGTTCCTTGCTTCTCCACGGACCCCAAACAAAACACGTGTGGACCACAGGGGCTCAGCCCCGTCCAGCCCCCGACGGCACGAGATGAACGCCCACGTGAACACACAGCAGATGTATCCTCGCATGCGCGCACACCAGGACCACACGCGCTGGGACCACACATGCCAGGATGACATGTGAGGCCACACACGCTGGGACCACACGCGCTGGGACCACACATGCCAGGATGACATGTGAGGCCACACGCGCTGGGACCACACGCAGCGGGACCAGGAGGCGGCTATCCAATTCTGAAGCCTGCGACGCTCCTTAGGGCGGCAGTCCTTGGATGTGACACCCACGTGATGCTCTCCAGGGGCGCAGGCCCTTGGCCCCAAGTCCCTGAGGAGCCCCCCGCTGGGAAGGGATGCACCCCTGGGAGAGTGTCCACCTCCTTTGGGACACGGCCTGGGGCCACCGCTACAAGGTGCTGTGGGCCACTCCATGAGGCTCCATGGGCCCCGGAACTTGAGGAGGAAGATGTTCTGTGTGTCAAGAAACAGAACGTGGGCTGGCCCCTGTGCCAGCTTCCATCTGGGAAGGGGGCTGATGGGAACGCCACCGGGGGAGGGGCGATGGTGAAGAAAAGGCGGGGACAGACAGTCAGCCGGCCTCTGGAGTCCCTGCCCCAGAAAGCAGCTGGCCTTCCCGGGCTGCGCGACCGCCGTCCTGCTACCCGGCCCCCAGGTCACACCCGAACTGGCGCCTAGCATTCAGGGTCGCAGACATGCCCACCCGCCGGCCCCTCCAGGACGGGGTCCATGTGCGGCCCCACCCCCACCCGTCAGGTCACATGCACCCCGGACAGACCGACAGGACAGGCAAGGCGAGCAGCAGGTGCCGAGAAGGCTCCGGAAGAGCACCGGGCGCTGAGCAGGAGGGGTGGACTGTCCCAAGGAGAAGGGACCGAGGAAGCAGGTGCGCGTGCAGAGGGGTGTGCAGGGGCGGCAGGGCCCTCAAGGCAGGTGTGGGGCGGGTACTGGGGGGCTGGTCATGGCGCTTGGGCAGAGTAGTTGTGTGTGGGAGAGCTGGTGCTTAGGGCAGGTGTGGGCTGGTCATTCAGCTGTGTGCGGGCAGGTGCAGGGGGTGTGTACCGGACAGGTGTGCACAGACAAGCGCAAGGGGGTGTGTGCAGGGGAAGTGGGGATTGGTCATCCTAGGTGTGCATAGGGCAGGTGCAGGGCAGGTATGCAGGACAGGTGTGGGCTGGTCCTTCAGGTGTGTGCGGGGCAGGTGCAGGGGGTGTGTGTACGCGGCAAGTGTGAGCGGGGCAGATGTGGCCCGGTCTCGCAGGGCAGGTGCGTGGCAGGTGTGTGCGTGGCAGGTGCGCGCGAGTCAGGTGCGGGCCGGCGCGGGCCGGCGGCACTTGCCTGCAAAGGCGGCGGCCGCAGCAGCCTCGTCGGGGCCGGGAAGGGCCTCGGTGCCCATGTCCATGTGCCTGGGCTCAGCGGCCATCACCGCCACAGCCGTCACCCGCCGCGTCTCGCGCTCCGCCTCCGAGTCCCCGTCCTCCTCCGAGTCCTCGTCCCTGCTGAGCACCGGCTCCTCGGCCTCAGTTCCCGCCGCGGCCGCGGCCGCCGCCGCCACAGCGGCCGCGGCCGCCACCGCCGCCGCCTCGGCCAGGCCCAGCTGCTTGGCGGCGGAGTCCGAGTCCTCCATCCGGACTCCGCCGAGCCCGCCCGAAGGCGCTGGCCGGGGCCGCCCGAAGGCCGGGATGGAGCCCGAAGCGCGCCGCCCGAGGAAGGCCGCCCGAACCGAGCCGAGCCCAGACGAGCCGAGGCCGCCCGAAGCCGTGCGCCGAGCTGAGCCGAGCCGAGGCGTCCGAGCAGAGGCCGAACCGACACGAAGTGTCTCAGTCGAGCCAAGCCGACGACCAGGAGTACGGAACCGAAGAGGGCCGAAGAGGCCCGAAGTGCGGAGCCGAGGCTGTCCGAACTGGTACGAGGCGGCACGAGGGTTTCCGAGCAGTTCTGCTCTAGCCTTCCTTAGCTCCTAGGAGGCCGCGCCGGCCGTCGTCTCCGGCCCACTAGGTGGTCAACCGCGGGCCCGACACTCGCCGACCTCCGACACGGCACGGCCTAGGCTAACGAGTCTCGCGCCACAGGCTCCGCCCGCCTCGCCGCGAGCAAGAGCCGAGTTGTTCCGAGTGGAACCGAACGGAGCCGAACGCTCCCGAGCCCGGGGCCTCTCAGCCTCGGATCCACGCCCCCCTTTCCGAAAGCGCCCGAGCTCTGCCGGACCCGCTAATCGGGCCTCAGCCGCGGCTCGGAGTCAATTCTCGATAAGCGGTGCGGTCGGGCCCCTTCGGCCTCAGAGGCGAAAATGGCCGAAGGGACGCGAGCGGCGCGACGCCGAGAGGCTGCCGGGAACGCGGCGGACTAGGGGGCGGGGCTGGGGCAAGATGGCGGCTGTGCGGCGAGGTGAGGGGCGCGGCGAGCGCTAAGCGGGGAGTCTCGGGGTCTGGGGACCCGGGTGTCCCAGGCGAGGGCTGTAGGTTGCCCGAGGAGGAGTTGGGTCTCGCTAGAGCTGGGCGGGCCACCAGCCGGGCAGTTCGCCGGTGCGGCTCAGTAGAGAGTCCTGCCCGCCGGATTTCCCGCGCAGCCCGGGTTCCCGAGGCCGTCCCTCCTCGTGCCGGTGGCGTGGACAAGCCACGTTGGTGGCTCTCCGCCCTGCTGAGGGGCCACGGGTTGGACACGGGGTGCCGGTGCTGGCGGGGGCACCGGGCCCGTGTGCGGGCGTCCGGCCCGCTCGGAGTGCCGCGGCGGAGCTGTTGCATCCGCGGGCGGCGGCCCCGCGCCCCACACCGACGCCGGCGTTTGCGGCGGCCGCAGGGACCGAGCTTGTTCTCCTGGGCGCTCTGCTCGGGGTCCCTACAGGGCCCGGGCAGAAGGACAGCTCGCGTCCAGGTAGCCGGGGGCTTCCCTTCCTCCCTGCGGCCCGAGGTGGCCGAGGCCAAGGTCGGTCGCGTCCGCCATCCCGAGGCCGGCGGAGCGACCCGGGGGCCGCGGGCCTCACCGCCCGGCGCATCTCTTGCAGGGAGCGCCCCCTCCACGGCCGTATCCTGCTGCTGCTGCTGCTGCGCACGGGCCCGCGGCGACCTCAGACCCTGCCTCCCGCCCTGGGCGGTTAGGAGCCCCGCCCCCTTTTCCATCGGCGCTGACACCGTCCCACAGGCCAGCGGGGGCGGCGGAGTCTGTGTAGCTTCCGAGCAGAGCGCGCTGGCCCCGGCCCCCCAGCTCGCCCGCACCCGGGCCCTCGGTGGGGCCGCCAGAGCCGGGGACGGAGAGCCGCTTGCGTGCTTGTGCGGTGTGCGTAGGGCCGCTTCAGCACGAACAAGGGCGAAGTGTGCAGAGCCCGGGAAAGCGGGTGGTGGGTACTTAACTGCTCCCAAAAGGAGAGAAGGACGCTTGACTTGAAGAAAACGGAATCTCTTTTTTTCTATTTTGTCACGGGGCCAGCGTCAGGGCGCTGAGGCTGTCCCGCCTGCAGTGGTTGAAGTGGTGCCACACCAAGTGCTTTGCCTCTGAGCCTGGGGGTCCCTGTGAAGGGAGGTCCCGTCCCCCGCAGCTCCTGTGACACCAGTGGACTTATCCATGGGTGTCCAACAGGTGGGACTCCGGGGCCACCGGCGGGCACCTTCGCTGCGCTTGCAAGTAGGCGAAGGTCAAGGTCGAGTGGCCCATCTTCCCTGGCCGGGGCGGGCAGGCGGGGCGACGCGGCTGCTGGGCTGAGTCCTTAACGGTGTCCCAGCTCTCGTCGGTGCCCCTGCAGATGTTGATGTGTCTCAGTGGGACATGTTCCGCCCTGTACTTCCTGGCCACGCTCCTGATGATCGCGTACAAAAGTGAGTTGTGAGCGGGAGGGCGGGCGGTGCTGCTGCCGTTGCGCTGCCGTAACCTGAGCTCTGAGCTCTGCCCTGTTCCATCGCCTGCAGGTCAGGCGTTCAGTTACCCTCAGGAGCGCCTGGCCCTCGACCTGGCCCTGCTGTCGCTGATGGGGGCTCTGGAGGCGCCCCGGCTGTACCTTGGTGAGCTGGCTGACTGCGAAGACCTTACCTGTGTGACCCTCTAAACAGGCCACGCTCCTAACCTGGCTCTTGGGGACGTGTGATGTCGGTGCTGCACGCGTTGCCTGCAGGCCTCACCTTACAGCGTCATTAAATATTAAGTAGTTCATTGAGAAGCTTTGTTGAGGAGCCGGCAGCACAGCGTCCCTGGGGAGAGGCTTCCGTGGGAAGCAGAGCCGTGGGTAACTGCACTGTCCTGGAACCAGGACGCTCCCCTCCCCCGCCACCCTCCTCTCAGCCTGCGGGTAGGGGTCGGAGTCCCCACTGAGACAGCAGGCTGGGCAGGGTGGGAGGCCCCGTAAGAAGCGCTGCGTGCCCTTTGCTCTCTGCCCCGCCCCATCGCGCTGGGGTCAGGGCCTCCAGCCACGTCCGTCCGGCGACCACGGCAGGCGCCGTGCACCAGCACCGCGGTTACCCGAGCTCTGCCCCACGGCAGGTCCCACTCGGCCACCCTGAGGAGCACCCTGGGCCTCCGTGTCCCCGTCACAGACCTGGGCTGTGCTAAGGGTGGGCGGTGAGCAGCAGCAGAGGGGCTTGGCGTCCGCTGCCTGCCTGCCGCCCCACCCCCACCCTTCCCAAGCACCTGGGCGCATGCGGTCGGCCGTCCGCACCTGGGATGGGCATTTTCTGTGACTGACCCATTTATGAAACACAGTTTTGTTTTTTCTGGCTATTGAGTTTTGCAGACTGACCTTAGCCCAGAGAGTAAAATATTTTTGAAATATTTTTGAAATATTTTTGAAAAAAAATTTTGAACCAAGTCCCCTCAGCCCACTTGGAATTAGGAAAGGGGGTGGGGGTGGGGTGGGGCAGCCCCTCCCGGGACGCCTGCACTGCTGGGGCGCACATGCGGGTGGCATGCTGGCCTGCGCCCTGCAGCCTGGCCCTCCAGGGTGCACGCTGCTGGTGGGGCCCAAGCGGGTGCCCACAGCCTGGCTCTCACCGTGTCCGCTTTGCTCTCCAGGCACCAAGGGCAACCTGACGGAGGCTGAGGGGCCACTGGCCGCCAGCCTGGTCCTCACAGTGGCCAGCGCCCTGCTGTCTGTCTACTTCCTGCTCTGGCAGACCCTAGTGCTGTGGGCAGACGCGGTCCTCAGTGCCACGCTCCTGGCAGTCCACGGGCTGGAGGCTGTCCTGCAGGTGGTGGCCGTCGCCGCCTTCGTCAGCTAGAGAGGCGATGTGTGGCCTCGAGGACCACCCGGACGGGGCCCCTCCTGGGAGCCCTGGCCGGGAGCCAGCGGGCTTTGCCTGCTGCCTTCCAGAAGGAGCAGCTTCCTGGTGGCATCCCTGGCTGGCCAGGAGCCCCGCAGCACAGCATTCCGTGGGGTCGTCATGTCCCTGAGTGTTCATGCATCTGCACGGTGGGAAGCAGCTGTGTGGCTGAGACAGAGCCAGGGGTCCTCGGCCACTCAGGCCAAGCCCTGGACTGGAAGCTCCAGAAGATGCAGCGGAGCCTGCGGTGCGTGCAGGTTCCTCCTGCCGCTCCTACCCCCGGGACTCTGACCCGTCAACGCCCACGAGGGGCTGTGGGACGGCTCCCTGCCCCAAGGCTGGCGGCTGCCACTTCAGGGCTTGCACGCCCCGGCTTTGGTCGTTGGAGCGTCAGTCACGTTTGCGCTTGGCACCATGAGAACCCAGGTCTCGTAAGCCGATCCCTTCTAGTAACTCTTCTCCGTTGGTTCCTATTGCAGGTTTTCTGTTTGGGAGTGACATGTTCAAATGGATGTGTAGCTTCTCTACACCGTGTTTTTAAAATAAAGAACTGTTTATACCTCACTGAATTTTTTTCTGATTAAGGCCACCTACCTCCTCTGGGTCTCGGACCCCTGGGCCCAAGAGCATGTGGCGCTGGGCCAGGCTGCACCTCCCACTTGGCCGCCTGGAGCCTACCCCAGAGGCCGAGGGGCCAGGCCCTGCTTGGGGTTCGTCCTGGGCACTCCGGGGGGCTGGCCTCAGCCAGGGGCGGGGCAACACCAAGTTCTGTCCTGGGCTGGGGCGGGCAGGCCCCCGGCTCGCCGTGCCCCCGCACCCCGGGCCAGGAGGCACCTGCTTCCCACTGCCGGCGCTGCCACAGGGGCCTGAGGCCAGGAGACCCCAGGCCCCAGGATGGGGGCTGCGCCCTGCCCTCAGCACCCCCACACTCCAGCCGTAGAGCGTCTCCAGACAACACCGTGGCTCCAAGAGGCCAACACCGGGCTGGGACTCTGGGCCCCACAGGCCTCCTTGCAGGGGGCAGGGGGCACTGCCTCTGAGGGCGTGCAGGTGTTTCAGAAGGGGCCCCCTGCGGGGCCTTAGCGAGGCTGCAGGCGAGCGCGTGCCTGCCTGCTGCTCAGCAGGCTGGAGACAGCCAGGAAGCCAGGCCTCAGGAGGGCTGGGCCCCTGGAAGGAGGCGACTTCCAGCATCCCCTTCAGAGGCTGCCTGGGAGGCCTCGGAGACCCCCTGCCCTGGGGTCTTGGGACCAGGGGAAGGCAGTGTGGCTGGTCCAGGGCCAGGATCGGGGTGCCTCCCTGCCCCCAGGGCCTCCCAGAGAGGTGCTCCCTGCCAGCAATGCCCTGCCCTTCTGGGACTCCCGTTTCTGCCCGCACCCCTCCACCCCCAGAAAAACACCTGAGGCCTTGGGGGTCTACACACAGCTATGGGGCGTGCCCTCTGACCTTCACCCTGCTCAAATGGGGCAGGGGCAGGGTCTCTGCGAGTCAGTAGAAAAGGAGGGTGGCCCTGGGGGGATCATTCCGTGGGTCCCCTCACCAGCCCCAGGCGTCCCCAGCCTTTTGTCAGACACCACACGCTCAGGGGTGCCCGGGTTGGGTGCGGGTGACAGAGGAGAGGCTTCGGAGATCGCGGATTGTGAAGAACGGAGCCCACCCACTAGAAACTCACAGGCCGCCGCCCGGCCCTAATGTGTGTTCCCCCAGACCCGAGGGGTGGCCGAAGACCGGGGGCGGGGTACTCTGCCCCTTCTGGGCCCCTGGGGCTACAGTCTGACCTCCCTGGGGCACCCCGCCACCCCTGAAGGGGCCCAGCTCAGCGGCCCCAGGAAGGTCTCAGCCTCAGCGTGCGCGTCGCGGCGGAGGAGGGGCTCCGGGTCGCCCGTCCGTCCCTGGGCCCCCGGCTCCAGGGCAAGGGCTCGAGCCGGGCCGCGGGTGGGTGTTGGGGACGCCCCGCGGGGAGCCCCGTGGGGCGGGTCTGGAGCCGCGGGCGGCGCGCCGACGTCGCCGCCCCGCCCCCGCCCCCGCGCTGCGTCGCCCAGGTTCTAACCTGCCGCTCAGGTTCCTCCCGGCGGCTCCGCCCCCGTCTGGCCGGCCCAGCCCCGCCGCGTCCTCCTGCCCGCGGAGCGCGGCGCAGGCAGACGGGCGGACGGACGCGCGGCCGAGGGGACCGGGGCCTGCGAGCGGCAGGTGAGCGCCCCGCGGGGCCGGGGCCTGGTCGGAGCGGCTTCGGCAGGGGGGACGCGGGAGCTGCGCGCACCGACGGCGGGCGACCCGGGCCTCAGCTTCCCCGGGAGGAGGCGCCACGGTCTGCAGGCCGGGCCGGGGCGGGAGGCATCGGTCGGGGCTCGGGAGGCTGCGCCGGGCTCATGGTTAGGAGCCCGTTCCTGGGCGGCGCCGGGGCGCGGGGACGTTTTTAAGCCGGGGCACTGAGTCGGCCAGCGGCCTCGTGTCAGCCTCGGGGCTCGGAAGGGGAAACTCGGTCCCCCGTCGAAGGGGCGGTGAGCGGGGTCCTCCCGGTTCTGGAAGACTCCACACCCCGTTCCCGGGCAGGCCTCTACCCCTCCACCCGCAGCAGAGCGTTGAGGTAGCCAATCTCCCTGTGGGTCAGGCGGTAGGAGGTACTTCCTGGGTGTCGGGGTCCAGGAACCAGGGCCAGGGAACGTCGAGCTGGGGTCAGGCTCCGGGTCACGGTCGGGGTGTGGGAGTTTCAGGGAGGAGGCGGCTGGAGGCGGGGCAGAGCGGACAGTGGACGCGGGGCTGTGGGCGCCCAGCCTCGGGCTCCCCTCAGGCCCCCTCCGTGGGCCGGGCAGGCCGGTGGCAGCCCTGGGCGTGGGGGTGTGCCTGGGGGCAGTGGAGGGAGGCAGGGCCCTGGATGGGCTGTCTCTGCCCCCACCCCAGGTCTGGTCTGCCCTGGGCAGGGCCCAGCTGGTGGCACCTCCCCTGCCCGACGCTGCGCGCACAGCGCACACACACTCACACGTACCCAGGGCCCTGCCCAGGCCTCTCCCGGCCCTGGCCCCGTGCCCGCCTTGGTGGCTCAGCTCCTGCGGGCCCTGCCTCTTCAGCCTGCTTGCTCCTGCCTCCCCAGTGCACCCTGAGCATCTGCCCGCCCGCGGCCGGCTTCCCCGCTGACCCCTCCCTGCCACCAGGCCGGGTCCTTCCTCCCCGCAGCTCCCAGACCTGGGCACTGCGAGAGCCTGCGGGGGTCTCCCCGGTCCAGGGCCCCACCTGGCTCTCTGGAACTTAAGCCGACTCCTCCTCAAGGTCACTGGGCTGCAGGGCTGGAGTTTGAACCTAGAACCTGTCCCTCCGCCCACCCTGCCCTGCTGGGGCCTCCGCCCCCTCCACTCTGTGACCAGTGCTCCACTCTCCCTTTGCACCCGGAAAATGACCGCAGCGAAACGAAAGCGCAGCCTGGGCCGGCCCCTGGGCCCCACGGCGCCCCGCCCCCGCCTGCCGGAGAAGCCCCTCTCGCCCTCGGGACCCCAGGTCTCCCTGGACCCGGTGCCAGTGCCTGGGCCCACCTCCCTGCTGGTCCCGCGCTCCCCACCCGGCTCCTGGAGCTGCGGGGTCCCAGCCCGGGCGCCCCGGGGGGAGGGGCCCCGCGCGTCCGGGCCTGTGCGCATCTGTGTGTGCCCGCAGGCCGCGGTCTCACCCGGGTGTGTGGGTGTCTGGGCGCACGTGCCCAGCACCCCTGGCCCAGCCAGCCAGGAATCCCATTAAGCAAATATTTGGGCTCACCCACTGAGGTCACGAGCATTCCTGACATTCTCAGGCACTGATGGGCAGAGGAATCTGGCCAGGCCCCTCCCCCACCCCTCCCCAGAGAGGCAGGTGGGGGGCGGTGGCCGCAGGCCCCCAGGGAGCCCTCCCTGCAGGAAGGACCTCGTCAAACCGGAAAGTCCTGGGCCGCTCCCTGTCCTGGATACCAGCACCCCTGGTGTGTGACCGTGACTCTGACAGACCCCAAACCCTGAGACCTCTGACAGCGACCTTTGGCAGGACGCGGTGGGCCCAGAGATGCCGCCGGGGCGCGGACCTCTGGGCCCCAGGCTCTGCGCATCCCCCGAGGGGCTCCCTCTGGACTCTCCCCAGGCATTGGCTCCCTGGGGCCCCCCGGCTGCGGTCCCACCTTGACTGGTCCCCCTCCTGTCTCGGGTGGGGCGCTGCCAGTCCCGTTGCTGAAAGGCGCTCCCCCCCCCCCCGCCGCCCGCCGTCCGAGCCCTCAGGGCACCCTTCTCGCAGCCCCGCCCTCGCTGCCTCTGGCAGTGGGACCCTCTGCTGGCCCGTCCTGGGGTGTCCCTGTGGAGGACCAAGGGCCCAGGGTGCGGCGGGGCGGCGGCAACCGGGACGTGGGGAGGAGGAAGGGGGCGCGGGGCGGTCAGGGCTCCAGCCCCCGCCCCTGGGCCGGGCAGCAGCGGGGAGGAGACCCGCCCCTTGGCGGGGAGGCCTGAGGCCCCCGCAGGCCCGCGAGGTGTCAGCCTGCCCTCCATCCGCTCAGGTGTGAGCCAGGCACTAGCCCCTGGACTCAGGCCGCACTGAGGTCCGCCCTGCGCCGCCGGCAGCGCCGCCACCCGGGACGCCATGAGCCAGTCGGGGTCTCTGAGCTGCTGCCCAGGTCCTGCCAAGTGAGTCCCCACCCGCCCAGCTCGCCCCCCACTCCCCAACCCCGGCCGCCCCGGGAGGGTGCAGCCGCCCCGCCTCACCGGTCCCTCCCTGCAGCGGCAGCCTGGGCCGGCCGGACGCTGGGGCCAAGATGAGTGCCAAGGACCTGTTTGGTGAGTGAGGTCTGAGGAGGGAAGCTCTGCCCACATCACCCCCCATAAGGCTCTGCTGGGCTCCCCCCAAGGGAGGTGCAGGGCCGCCCCAGCGCCCAGAGGCGGCTCGAGGACCCTGACCCTCCAGGCCCCAGCCCCCCCCCCCCCCACCGTAAGCGGAGAGGCTTCACTAATAATTCAAGGCCATCGATACCAACTCTGCAGAGCTCCTGGCTGCAACCCGATCGGGGGCACCGAGAGCCCGGTGTCGGCCCGCGGGGGCCAGCCCCCCAGCCTGCCCATCCCCCGGCGCACCCCAGCCCTGCCCCAGAGGCTCACGCCCATTCACGCTTGGGGACAGGGAGCCCCAGGGAGGGCAGGGAGGTGTGAGCCGGCTGCCAGGGTGGGGAAGGCCCTGGCCCGGCCCCCCGGGAAGTCCGTCCCCTGCCAGGACCGTGAGGCCCTCCCTGGGGCCCAGCCTGGGGGTCCGGTTCACTTGGACGGGGGGCCCGGGGACCAGCCGTCTGGGGTGAGTGACTGGCGTCTCCCCACTCAGAACAGAGGAAAAAGTACTCCAACTCCAACGTCATCATGCACGAGACCTCCCAGTACCACGTCCAGGTGAGCGCCCATCCGGCACAGCACCCCACGTGGTGCCTCAGGGTCCCCGGGTGGGCGACACCGAGGCCCAGGGAGAAGTGGGGCGCCCAGGTTCTGACTGCGCAGCAGGCGGCCGGGGCCAGGGCCGGCCCACGCCATCCTGGACTCAGCCCCAGAAGGGCCCCCTCCAGTTCGGGAGAGCTCACAGCCTCGGGGACGCAGGGAGCTCTGGGTCGGTGTCGGGGAGAGAAGGTGCCAGTGGCGGGCACAGCCCAGGGGAGGCGGCGCCCAGGGCCCCGTCCGGCAGCCCTCGGCAGGGAACCCCAGTGGGAAGGACAGGGGCACCCTGGCCGCAGCACGAGGGGCGGCCCTGAGGGGAAGCTGGAACGGGGCGCCCCTGCTGAGCTGCGCGGGGAGGCCCCATGCCGGCTCCGAGCAGCCTCCTGGGAGCGCGGAGCTGGTCGGCTGCTCTGCTTCCTCTGAAGCCAGTTCCAATTCACTCTCACACCTCGGGGAACGGGCTCTTTACTCGGCCTTCCTGCTGCCCGCCAGGTTCCCGGTTCCTGGTCGCTGTCCAACCCTTCAGGACAGCAGCACTGGAGAGGGCTGAGGGGAGGGGGCCGGGACCAGGAAGGCGGGGGCCCCGGACCAGGAAGGCGCGGGGCCCCGGACCAGGAAGGCGCGGGGCCCCGGACCAGGAAGGTGGGGGCCCCGGACCAGGAAGGCACTTCCTTCCCCAGAGGACCCTCCCTGCCCGCAGAGGTCAGGCAAGTCACTGTTTTCTGAGCCTCAGTTTCCTCATCTATACAGTCAGTCCACAGAGACACCCGGAGTCCCTTGGGCTCTTGAACTGGGCTGTGTCGGGCGACACGCCCTCCCCGCCCGCCTGGGCGAGCCGGGCCGTTCTGTGCTGCAAGGCTGGTGACCGCCGCCAGCTCAGTGTCCAAGGTCAGGGCACAGACAGAGGGTGGGTCGGCTTTGTCCCTGTCCTCGGGCAGCTCTCCCACATTCCGGGGGCAGGGGACTTTGCCCTCCTCCGTGTGGAACCACTGTGCCGCCGGGCCTCCCACCCCTTCCTGGACTTTGGCCAGAGCCGGCGCATGGGAGGACCCCCGCCAGGGCTGCCCCTCCGCCCTCCGTGCAGCCAGGGAGGCTGGGGTGTGGGCAGGGTTTGCCTGCTCCTCCCAGATGAGGAAACTGAGGCAGAGGCAGAGAGGTGGGACCAGGTCAGACCACCCTGGCAATGAGGGGCCGCTGAAACCAGGTGGGTTTTATCCTCATCCTTTTTTTTTTTAATTAGCATCAGAAATATTGATGCTGAGGTCCTAGGGCAAGAAGTCCTGTTACAGGCGTGTGTGGCCACCGCCAGGCAAGGGGCTGTTCGGGACCCAGAAGGGCCCCGTCACCCTCGATGCTGACCCCTACCCCCAGCCCCACCCCAGGCGGCTCTCTCTGTCCCCAGTCGCTGCCCTCTTGTCGTTTTGCGGGGGGCATCCCCCACGGACGGAATCGTGCGGCTGCAACGGCGCTTGTTCCTGCTTCATGAACTTGTTCGAAGAAAACTGGAAGTGGGGCGGGGGGCAAGTCTCCTTCGGGCGCCAGGGACGCCTCGGTGGCCTGCCGCTGCCCACGGGCCCGGGCCCCCGGAGGACGGCAGGGTCCTTCCGGTCCACGCGCCGGGCGGGCGGGCCGGGCCGTCTCCCTGTGCAGCCTGTGGGTTCGTACGTGCAGCTGTCCTTGGCTGAACGGCAGTGTTCCGTTGTGAGGACACTCAGGTGCGCCCATTTCTTTCCCATTCATAGATGTTGTTGCCGTCGCTTGGCTCCGGGCTCTGAGAGTCCCTCTTGTGTTTTCCAGGTGCCCCTTGCTCCAGGCTTGTATGTGCAGGTCCCCGAGTCATTTTAAAGTCGCTTTGGGTTTGGTGTGGACGCCAGACTAACGCTGGGGCAGGGGACCCAAGGCTAACTTTTCCCCGAACGGGCCTGGAGTTCTGTTTCCAAGATGCTTTTCCCCCATTGCGTTGCTTGGGCGCTTTTGCTGAAACCGGCGACATGGGCGCGGACAAGCCTGTCCCGGACTCTCCGCGTCCCGGTGTCTCACTCGTGTGGTTTGTCCGTCTTGGAATCAGGCAGTGAGCTCTCCAGCTTTGTTCTTTTCCTTCAAGGTTTCCTTGACTGTTCTCAGGTCTTTGGATTTGCATTTACATTGTGCAGTCAAACTGTCTAGTTCTACCCCAAAAAAGCCTGCTAGGACTTTGATCGGCGTCCAGTGGAGTCTGTGGACCGATGGAGGTGCGGTGGCGCCTGGACAGCGCTGGGTCTTTCCGACCCCTGAGGGCGGACAAGGGTGCCTCTGGTTCCCCTCGGGCTCTTCCTGGTCTTCCTTGCTGTGGAGCTCTTGCGTGTCTTTAGTTGAAATACTCTTTAAGGGTTTGGTTTGTAAGTGCTGTTATAAATGGTGTATCTGTGTTTTTTAATTTCCTTTTCCTATGGTCTGGTGCTAGCCTGTAGAAAACCAATTGAATTTCTGTAACGTAGCCAAGTGTCGCAAGTTTAGGCCGAATTCCTTGATTTTTTCCCCTGAGGGTTTCGCGTGCGGAGTCACTTGATTTTTTGTGTGCACATCTATGTTGTCTGAAGATGAAGACTGTCCTTAATGTCTTCTTTTAGCCACTTCGTTTTTCTTACTGGATTGTTAGGGCCACCTGGACAACAACTAACAGAACCCTGGCCGTGCGTCCAGTCTTGGAGGACAGCTGCCTGGGCTCCCCCGTGGCGCGCGCCGCACGTTCTGTGCCCTTCGTGGACAGAGGAGGCGCCTTTCTATTCTCCGTCGGCTGCGACCTTTCGTCATGAATGGTGGTTGAATTTTATCACGCACTTTTTCTGAATCACAATGATTGCTTTTTTCCTGACTGTTGAACCAACCTTGCATTTCGGGAGTGAACCTCAGTTATTCGTGGTGTATTATAGTTTTTAAGTGTGGATGTACTAATTTGCTGACATTTTGTTAAGGATTTTTTTTTTGCGTTAATGTTTATTAGAGATATTGGTGTGTAATTGTTCTTATTTATTGATTTGGGAAAGACAGTAAAACGTTGGAAATACGTGTTAACCCACTGGTTGTTATCAATCAGTAAAGCTTCCCTCAACAGTTAAGCTGTTAGCAGTTACGTTTGGGGCGGGGAGGGGCGTCAAAAGCTATACTTGGATTTTCAAACACAAGGGGGTTGCGCCCCTGATTGTTCAAGGATCTCCTGTACTTCTTAATTTTCCTTGTGACTTTTTTGACCCGTGGGTTATTTAGGAGTGTGTTGTGTAATTTCCAATTATTTGGGGGTTTTCCAATTATCTTTTTGTTACTGGTTTCTACTTGAATTCCATTACAGTCAGAGACCTGTGTGGTTTCCCTCACTTGAAATTTACTGACTTGAGCCCTGGCTGCTGGGGCTCAGAGGATTGAGCGCTGGCCTGCGACCTGAAAGGTGGCCGGTTCCGTTCCCAGTCGGGGCACAGGCCTGGGTGGCGCGCCAGGTTCCCAGCAGGGGGCGCACGAGAGGCAACCGCACATGGATGTTTCTCCCCCTCTCTTTCTCCCTCCCTTCCCCTCTCTCTAAACAGTAAATAAATAAAATCTTCAAAAAAAAAGAAAGAAAGAAATGTACTGACTCGCTTTGGGCCCCACCGCGTGGTGTCCTTCGGTTTGGCCCTGCTGTGTCTTGCTAACAACGTGTGGTTCTGCCCACGTGCCGCTCCCCCCGGCGGACGGACGCGGGGCGGAGTCCGGCCTCTGCGGTCACCCACGGGCCTGCGGGCCGCGGCCTTAGCGCTGCACCTCGTTCGGCGCGTGCGCAGGCCCCCCAGCAGCCCTCCGCGCACGGGCTCCCCGCGCGCTCGCCCGCCCCCGCGTCTCAGCCCACGAGGGCTTGCCGGTGCCGGTCCGTAGACGAGATAAAAAGCTCAGCGGTGACTTATCCCTAAAGTAACAGTCACAGAGTTTCAATTTGCCAAGCTTTCGTTCAGTGAGATTGGGTACAATTTTCCGTAGTAAAGTTACTTGAGTGTATTTTCCTTGTAGGCTCTCTGTTCGTGTCTTCTGCCAGTTTAGCTACTGAGGTGTTAATCTTTTACTTAATTATTTATCTACTTGTGTATTTATTGTTGGCATCCGGAACGGTGATGCTTTAACAAAACAGCTTTTAACGAAGCAGGACTGGCGCTGTGAGGCACGTTCGCCTTACACATTACGACGGCGAGCCTTCGCTCTATCTATTGCACCTGTGTTTTTCCTTTTTTTTTAAAATTTTTTAAGATTTTATTTATTTTTTAGAGCGGGGAAGGAAGGGAGAAAGAGGGGGAGAAAAACATCCGCTGCTTGACTCTCGCCCGCCCCCTACTGGCCACCTGGCCCACAGCCCAGGCAGGTGCCCTGACTGGGAATCAAAGCAGCCACCCTTTGGTTCACAGGCTGGCACTCAGTCTACTGAGCCACAGCGGCCAGGACAATTGTTTTCCTTCTTTTTTTTAGCTTTGCGTATGGTATTTTGTCCAGAAAGAAATATTTACATTTCTTTATTTTTTTTTTAATTTTATTTATTTTTAGAGAGGAAGAAGGGAGGGAGGAAGAGAGGTAGAAAATCATCCACGTGTGGTTGCCTCTTGCACGTCCCTGCTGGGGACCTGGCCTGCAGCCCAGGCCTGTGTCCTGACTGGGAATCGGACCAGAGACCCTTTCCTTCACAGTCCAGCATTCAGTCCACTGAGCCACACCAGCCAGGGCAGAAATATTTTATATTTTTATTAAGTCAAATATATTGGCTTTTTGTTTTGAGTAGCTGGGTTTTCTTCCTTGCTAATGAGTCCGCCTCATGAAGAAGACTTTTCTGGGATTATCAGAAATCATCCAGCGTTTTCTTCTAGCCCTTCATGGTGTTTGTTTTACAGCGAGGTGTTAACTGCCGGGAGTTTGTGTTAGTGTGCGTCCTGCTGTCCGGCATTGTTCACTGAATTCAGCCCCGACCGACCTGTGGTGGAGCCCGGCTCGGAGAGATGGGGCAGGGGGCGGGGCCGGCCAAGGGTCCCCAGGAGAGATGGGGCAGGGGGCGGGGCCGGCCAAGGGTCCCCAGCGCTGCCACCAGAATGCTCGCCCATTCCCTGCACACTTACTAAGGGCCTGCTGTGTGTGGGTACCATCCCGGCCCCAGGGACACAGCAGTGAACCCCGCAGCCAGAAGCCCTGCCCACGGGAAACACAAAGGACGTCACATACAGACGATGGCAGCTCATGATAAATGAAACACGAGGCAGGCCAAGAATGTGGTGACAGTGATGCTGTAGCTGGGAGGACACTGCCTCAGAGCGGGCTGGGGGGCGGGGGGGGACAGCCGGTGCGAGGCCCTGTGGTGAGCCAGCCAGGAGGCGCGGTGGGTGGGTAGTTTGTGTAGGGCAGCAAAGGCTCCATCAGGCCTTGGCCGGGGCCTGCAGACCTGTACAGGGCACAGCAGGGGCTCCCTGAGGGTGCGCTGTGCCACTTCAGGCCCCCAGGGCAGGTGTTCCTCCCCAGGTACCTGGGTGCAGCCCCTTGGCCCTGGCTCTGGGCACGGGGAGTGCTCTGCCCAGAGTGACCACCCACCTGCCCGCCCCCAGCACCTGGCCACATTCATCATGGACAAGAGTGAGGCCATCGTGTCCGTGGACGATGCCATCCGGAAGCTGGTGCAGCTGAGCTCCAAGGAGAAGATCTGGACACAGGAGATGCTGCTGCAGGTCAATGACAAGTCGCTGCGGCTGCTGGACATGGAGTCCCAGGTGGGCAGCAGCTGGGGCAAGGAGGGCAGGCCCCATCCCTCGGGGCAGGCAGAGGCACAGCCTGCATGCCCAGCGGGGCCTGTCTGCAGGGGCCGGGGCAGGATGCGGGTGAAGGGCAGGCCAGCAGGGAGGGCTGCCCCGGCCGAGAGCCCAGGGAGCCTGGTCACCGCCCCCGCCCCCACTCCCCGCCAAGTCCACCTCTGCAGGAGCCTTGACACTGGCTGCGCCGAGCCAGCCGGCCAGGGGTGGGGGTCTGTGTGCGAGAGCTCTGGCCTCGGCTGTGGTCTGTCTGCATCCATGCCTGGGCTGCATCCCGCTCCTGTGCCTGCAAGTTATGCCCGTATCTGTGTCGGGGCACCAACTCCAGGGCTGGGCCCACAAGCCACGCCCCCCGCACGGCTCGGTGGGCCCCCGCGTGCAGCCGTGTCCATGGCTGCGCCCGCATCCGAGCCCCCGCCCTGCCCCCAGGAGGAGCTGGAGAACTTCCCGCTGCCCACCGTGCGACACAGCCAGACGGTGCTGAACCAGCTGCGCTACCCGTCGGTGCTGCTGCTCGTGTGCCAGGACTCGGAGCAGAGCAAGCCCGACATCCACTTCTTCCACTGCGACGAGGTGGAGGTGAGCGGGCGCAGCCGGCGGCCGGCCCGGGGCGGGGAGGCGGGGCAGGGGGCCGGTGCCGAGCCCGCCTGACGCCCGTCCCGCAGGCGGAGCTGGTGCACGAGGACATCGAGAGCGCGCTGGCCGACTGCCGCCTGGGCAAGAAGATGCGGCCCCAGACCCTGAAGTAGGTGTGGGATGGGGGGCGGTTTGGGGGGCGGCCGCCCCGGAGGGCCCCGCAGGCTGAGCGCCCTGTCCCCGCCCCAGGGGCCACCAGGAGAAGCTCCGGCAGCGGCAGTCGGTGCTGCCTCCCCGCCAGGGCCCGGCCCCCGTGCCCCTCCAGCGCTACGCCCAGGACTCCTCTCCCCCCAGGAACCGCGTGAGCCAGCCAGGTGGGGCCCGGGCGCTGGGCTGGCGGCTGGGGCAGCCCCTCGGGGCGCAGTCAGCGGCAGCTCGGCCCCCCATGTCCCCACCCAGGCTTCCACCGTCAGGAGTCGCAGGACGAGGAGCCGCCGCGGGCCGTGCTGGCTCAGAAAATAGAGAAGGAGACGGTGGGTCTTGGCTTGAGGGTGCCCCCCCTCGCCTGTACCACCCTTTCCCCAGGCCAGGGGCCAAGGGGCATCGCGCGGGCCGTCCCTGCCCTGGGCACCCAGCTGACTCCCACCCCTGCTCTGACCCCAGCAAATCCTCAACTGTGCCCTGGACGACATTGAGTGGTTCGTGGCGCGGCTGCAGAAGGCGGCGGAGGCTTTCAAGCAGCTGAACCAGCGCAAGAAGGGGAAGAAGAAGGGGAAGAAGGGGCCGGCAGGTGCGGGATGGGGGTGGGGACGGGAGCACGGAGCGGGTGGGCCGCAGGGCGCAGTGACAGGGCCGCCCGGGCTCACGCTGGCCCCACGCCCACGTTGCAGAGGGTGTCCTCACGCTGCGGGCGCGGCCCCCCTCCGAGGCCGAGTTTGTCGACTGTTTCCAGAAGACCAAGCTGGCCATCAACCTGCTCGTGAGTCCAGCAGCGCCCCCTCCGCCCCGTCCTCTTTGCGGACGTGGAGGGTGGGGGCCCAGGGCCGCGCCCCCGCCTATCCAGCCCGCCCGCCCGGCGTCTCCGCCTGGTGCTCACTGGCGCCCTCTCTGGCCCCCAGGCCAAGCTGCAGAAGCACATCCAGAACCCCAGCGCCGCGGAGCTCGTGCACTTCCTCTTCGGGCCCCTGGACCTGGTGCCTGGGGCCGGGCGGGGCGGGGCGGGGCGGGGTTGTGGGGCAGCAGCAGGCCGGCTGCTCGGCTGCGGGGGCGGCGCAGGCCCTGCGAGGGGTGCTCTGGCCTGGGGTGGGCCGGGCGGAGCTGCGCCCAGGGTGTGACCCGCTCCGGACGTCCTGTGCCCAGATCGTCAGCACCTGCGGCGGCCCGGACATCGCCCGCTCCGTCCTCAGCCCCCTGCTCTCCAGAGAAGCTGTCAGCTTCCTGCGGGGCCACCTAGTCCCCAAGGAGATGGGGCTGTGGGACTCGCTAGGGGAGACCTGGACGCGCCCCCGGTACAGCTCCGGGCAGGGAGGGCTGGGGGTTCTGGGCGGGGCCGGTGCTGGCGTGCGCGCGGCCGGCTCACCCTGGGCCTCCCCCCCCCCCCCCCGCAGCGCCGAGTGGCCTCGGGAGCCCCAGCTGCTCCTCTACGTGCCCAAGTTCCACAGCGGCTGGGAGCCGCCCCTGGACGTGCTGCAGGAGGCCCCCTGGGAGGTGGAGGGGCCGGCCCCCGCCCCCGCCGACGAGGTCAGACACGGGCCTGCGGCGCCAGGACCCCCCCCCCACAGCCCTCACCGCTGCCGCGCCCCCCCCCCGCGTGACCCCTGCCCCGACCCAGCCCAGGCGGCCCCCTCTCCCCACAGCAGACTCCAGCAAGCCGCCTGTCCTTTCGAAACTCCCCGAAGCACAGCCTCGCACCCGAGCCCACAGCCCCTGGAGACGTCCTGCCCCCGGTCAGCTCCCCGCACGCCCACAGGTGAGCTCCCCTGGGAGAGAGCGGGCTGCGCCCTCCCCAGCGGTGGCTCCCGGTACGGGCCACCGGGTGGCGCCGGTGCCTTGTTCTCGTGGTTCCCAGTGACACTTTCCAAACTGGACCCCCGTTTCCATTCTAACTTGGTGATATTAATTTGAGGAAAAATGGCAAAAGCCACCCACAAACTCACTACCCTCATCTGCCGTCTCTTCTTGTGTCTCCACATCTACGTGCCAGAGTTGGGGTCAGAAACTGACCAGACCCCTGAGCTGGAGGGGTCGCCAGCCCCGGTCCCATGCTGGGGCCGATTCAGGTCCAGCCGCAGCGCCGGGGCGGGGGCGGGGAGGGAAGATGGAGGGTCCGGGCCAGAACGGCCCCTCACCCACTCGCACCGCGTCCACGCCTCTCTCAGGGCCCGGCCCAGGGGCTGTCGGGGAGCTGGCCACCCGGCCACCCCCCAGGATTCAGCGGCGGAGGCGAGGGGCCGCGACCCCAGGCTTTCCCAAGCCCTCCCGTCGCCCCACCCCTCCAGCGGGGCCTGCGGGCCTGGCCCGGGCCGCCCTGTGAGATGCATTTCCGTCCTTTGACGGGGTTGGTCCCCTCCGGCCAATCCGGACAGGAGGCTGCAGCGGCTGCTCCCGCTTGGACCCCTCACCGCCCCCCCCCCGCCCCCGGCCCCCAGCGTCTCTGCCGCTGGACTGGGGAGGCGCCCGATGGTTGGCGGCCAGGACCGGCCAGGAGGGGCGCACTGGGCTGGGCGGCGGCCACAGGCCTGCTCTGCGCTGAGCTGGACGCCCCCAAGCCCTGCAGCCCGGAGGCAGCCCCCGCGGGGTCCCTGTGACAGCCCCGTGCGGGGGTCACGGCTCTGGGAATGCCCGGCCTTCCCTTCGTGGTCAGCCGCTCTGCGGGGACACCTGTGACCCTCTTCTCTCGGGTGCTCCTGGCTCTCGGGGGCTGGGCCTGGAGACCCCGAGGGGGCCTGGGCAGCCGCCGGCCTTGCCCTGCCCGAGGCACCTGAGTCCCGCCAGCGGCCGCCGCTGCCTGCTGCCCGGCGCCCCTCCCTGCGGGGGCCCCGACACTCTGCGGCTGCCACACTTTCCATTCCCGATGACAAGTCATGCTCTCTCTGCTGCGCCCTTGGAGAGCGGAAGGGAGGCAGCGGGCGCCCAGGAAGCTGCTCCCCCAGCGGGGCCCCAGGTCCGGGAGACCCCGCTCAGCCCCGTCCGCTCCACACAGGGGCTACGAATCCGAGCCCACGGCAGCCATGGCCAAGTACGTCAAGGTCCTCTACGACTTCACCGCCCGGAATGCCAACGAGCTGTCAGTGCTCAAGGATGAGGTCCTGGAGGTGAGCGGGGGCCCCGGGGGAGGGCCCTGCCCCAGAGGTGGGGGCCCCTCTGGGACCCTGGGCGCTGGCTCGTCTGCCACCCCTTTCCCCAGGGCCCTGCCCCGGGACTCCCATCTGCACCCACAGCTCCGGCCCCCGCCCCACCCCCAGCAGATACTGGGTGAGGGACCCCCTTCCTGGGAGGCGTTCGAGGGGGCAGGGGACCGGGGGACCCTCCGGCCCAGCTGGGGCTTGTCCCCGCCCACCCGCAGAGGCCCCTCGAGGCACTGTCCGGGTTTGGTGCCAGCCCCAAATCTAGGCCACCCCTGGGGGAGGAGAGCGGGGTGAGCGAAGCCCTTGGTCTGTGTCTACAGCCAGGCTGGAGGCCCCTCGCTCAGACTGCTGCTGGGGGGCCCGAGGGTGGGCAGGCAGGTTACACAGGGCCAGGGGCGCCTGGAGGGGTCACCATGGTCCCCACAGGGCTCGAGGGCCTCGCGGGGAGATGCCAAAGTGGCCTCTGGACCGTCCGTCCCGGGCGGGGGTGGCTGCGCACCAGTGGTCCCAGCGCCTACACTGGTGCCCACGGGGGAGCGGCAGGGGGCCGGCCGGTAGGGTGTGACCGCGCGCATGCGGCCCCCCAGGTGCTGGAGGACAGCCACCAGTGGTGGAAGCTTCGCAGTCGCAGCGGCCAGGCGGGCTACGTGCCCCACAACATCCTGGACGAGATCCGGCCGGAGGACGTGGGCGCCTCCCTGGAGCAGGTGACGCGGGGCGCGGGCCCTGCCCTGGGGCTCTTTCCAGCGGCGGCCGCAGGCTGGGCCGAGCCGCTGCGGGGGCGAGGGGGAGGGCAGCGGCGGGGAGGCGGGGTGGCAGGTGCAGCGAACGGCGGGGAAAGGCGTCCCCGCCCCCGCAGCCTGGATGGGACCCGAGCCAGGAAGGACAGCGGGGCGGGTTCCTCACACGCTCCGTGCTCCATCCCCGGCGGGGGCGGGGGGGGGGGGTGGCGGGGAGGAGGGACCATGAGTGGCGCTGATGCGCCCGCCGTCTGCTCTTCCCGCACCTGCAGGCTGGTCCGAAATACTGGGGTCCTGCCAGCCCCACGCACAAGCTGCCTCCGAGCTTCGCGGGAAACAAACAGGGTGAGTGCGCGGGCAGGGGAGGGCCGGGGCCCGGGTGGGGGCTGGGGGCCGAGGCGGGGGCGGGGCGCCCCGGGCGGCGGGCGGGGCCTGAGCCGCTGGCCCCGCAGAGCTGATCCACCACATGGACGAGGTCAACGACGAGCTCATCAAGAAGATCAGCCACTTCAAGGCGCAGCCGCAGCGGCACTTCCGCGTGGAGCGCAGCCAGCCCGTGCGCCTGCCGCTCACCTTCGAGTCGGGGCCCTACGAGGTCCGCGCCTGGCTGGAAGCCAAGGCCTTCAGCGCTCGGTGAGCCGGGGGCGGGCGGCGGGCGGCGGGCCGCAGGTGCCGCGGGTGTGGGCGAGGCCGCCACGCCCACGCCAGGGCTCGCCTTCACCGCAGCCGCACCCCCGCAGGACCGTGGACAGCCTGGGCATCCTGACGGGCGCGCAGCTCTTCTCGCTCAACAAAGACGAGCTGAAGAAGGTGTGCGGGGAGGAGGGCGGCCGCGTGTACAGCCAGCTCGCCGTGCAGAGGGCCGTCCTGGAGGTGAGCCGCCTCCCGCCCCGCCCCGCCCCGCCCCGCCCCGCACGGCGGCCCGGCTGACGCCCCGCTCCGTTCCTAGAAGCAGCAAGGCGGATCGGAGCTGGAGGAACTCATGAACAAGTTTCATTCCAAGAACCAGAAGCGGGCGGAGGACGACAGCTAACCTGGCACCGGCTGCAGCCGCGGCGGCAGGGGCGGGCCGGGCGGCCGCGCCAGTGCGTGGAGTGTTACCTTCCTTGTGTACGGATTTCCTACCGTGGACACGGAGCGAGTGCGGTGCTGGGGGCCGGCTCTCCTGCCTCGTGGCCCGTGCTCAGGCCCCGCGGCACCGCGCCCACACTCACCTGCCGGCTCCAAGGCCCGCCTCAGCCAAACTTGCCCCCCGGAGGTGCCAGCCCCTCCCCCAGGCCGTGACCCCCTCGGCCCGCCCCACGCCTCTCCTCGAGGCCACAGAGCCCTGTCCTCGCCCCCGCCACCCATGTGGGGTCCCTGGCACTTCCGAATCTGCCCCTGTCCCGCCCCCACGATGCTCACTTCCACACCCATCCCTGCCCTCCTCAGCCCCTCAGCCGCCGGGGGGCCGTGGGCCGGGAGGGCTGCTGCCCTGGGCTCGAAGCCGCCGGGGCCGGCGACCCTTGCCCCAGGCCGTGCCCGCAGTGCCACCCTGTGCGCGGCGCCCCAGGGTGGCCTGGGGAGCAAGCTGTGCTCCTCCGCCTCTTCAAAGGGCAAGCACAGACTGGACTCGGCCGAGCACCGACCTGGGACGCCCCCCTGCCCCCACCGCCCCCACCGCCGGCCCGTCCCTGAGGCGGAGCCCAAGACAGGAACGTCCTCCGGCCCCGTCTCAGGCCAGCCTGGCGCTTCATGGGGCCCCGGACTCTGCCGGTCACAAGCGCAAAGGTGGTGACATTAAACCGACTGTCTCCCAGCAGCTGCTGTCTGTCTCCTGGAGGTGGGGGTGGGGTCGCCGTGGGTCCGGGAGCTGATCCGAAATCGCGCCCTTTGTAAGGGATTCGGGCAGGGCAGGCTGTGGCTCGGCCAGGCCGTTGAGGTCCCAAGTAAGGCCGCTTGCCCCAGGCCCCAGGATCGGGGGCTGGGGAGAACCCCCTCCACACCTGTCCGAGGGCCTGGGGGGCCCCCTGGGAGGTGAGGGGCTGAGAGGGGCTTCCTGCCCAGAAGGCGGGGAGCCTGTCACCCAAGGGGAGTGAGGGGGGGTGCGAGTCAGGAGCAAGGCGGGAGTTTGACCTGGAGAGCAAAGCTGAGGGGGGGCCGCAGGGCGGCTGGAGGGCGCCGAGCGCAGCAGGGCAGGGCTGCGCGCTGCTCCCCAGGGGCCTGGCCGCCCGGCCTCGGTCCCACCCTCAGGGGAGGCCGCTGGCGCCCTCTGCTGGCAACTCTGCGTGCTGCCTTGCCGGCGGCCAGGGGGTGCCCTAGCACCTGTCCCTTTCCTGCTCCCCAGTGTCTTGACCTGTATGGCCCCATAGAAGCTGGTGGACCAACCCTGGGTCAGGATGTCCGAAGGCCCAGTCTTGGGGCGTCTGCCCCAAGCACCAGGGGTGACTGAGCGAGCTCGGGTGCAGAGGGCAGGTTGGGCCTGGTGGGGTGGAGTTGGGAGGGCCGCCCCTTGGCTGGTGAACCATGGAGGCAGGACCAGCCCCCCGGGTCTGGGAACCCCGACTTAGCCAAGCCAGGCCACACCCAGCCAGGCCTGTCCAGCAGGGCTGTCAAGAGGAACCGGGTGGGGGGCGGGGTGCCTGGTGCCCTCTGGGCCACCACTGAAGCCTGACCACCTCAGCCTCTCAGGAAAGGAGGGACCTGCCCCGCCTCCAGGCCCCAAAAGCAGGTCTGCCCTTCGGGCCGGGCAGGACCCACAGGCAGGGCAACGGGGGCTCAGAAGGGAAGGGAGCGATGGGGGCAACGTCCCTGCCGCTGGAGGTCCCCAGGCCCCCTCGTCCGGCACCACCAGGAGGCTATGGGCACCCGGACAAGATCACCCCGCCCTCCCCACCAGGCTGAGCCCCTACTCAGGGTGGGGGTGGACTCCACGGGCTCTGGTTGGGGCCAGATGTCCTCGTCCACGTGGGCCAGTGGCGGGGGGCGGGGGCCGTAGGACGGTGCTCATCCCACTGTGTTGGTTTTTAAAATGAGCCCCAGCGGGTGCGGCTCAGTGACTGAGCACCGGCCTGGGAACCGAAGGGCCGCTGGTTCGATCCCTAGTCGGGACACAGGCCTGGGTTGCGGGCCGGGTCCCCAGTAGGGGGCGCTTGAGAGGCAACCACACATGGATGTTTCTCTCCTTCTCCTTCTCCCTTCCCCCTCTCTAAAAATAAATAAAAACTTTAAAGAAGTGATTTTCATAGAAATATGCTCTTCACATGTTGACTGCTGGCTCTCCAGAATGCTATCCAGTGACTAGTTGATAAAATTCTGCGGGCTCACGCCCCTCCAGGCCTGGGCAGGTGGGGCCGGGAGAGTGAGGCTTTGGGGTCTGGACGAAGCAGGTATTTTGGAGGCTTGAGTGGAACTGGGCCAATTCGAGACATAATTTGTTCAGTACTGGCGGGCGCCTAAGGGCCGGAAGCAAGTTTTGAGAATCACTGGGCCGGTTCAGCTCTCCGCCGGCCGGCCTTGGGCCGGGACTCTCAGGAAGGTCCAGAGATGAGAGGGCGCGCGCGGCCCTTCTTCCTCCAGTGTGTCCTGGTCACGTGCAGTGGCCGCGGGGAGGTGCGGGAGGTTTCGTGCGGTGGCCTGCCACCGCTCTTGTAAAAGGAACAAGCAGTGTGCGTCTACGGTTTCAGTTTTGCTCCCTGACACAGTAAATAGCGATAGAGGCAGCCCCTGCCAACCAAGTCCTTGGGGAGTCTCGACGACATTTAAGTGCGTGAAGGTGTCCTGAGGCCCCACGTCTGAGGCTCGCTGGTGTGGCATCGACGGCGGCCGCGCCTAGAGCCAGGAACGGGGCACTTGCAGGGGACCCCGCGGGCCCCGCAGCGAGCGAGCCGCTGAGCCGTGCTGGGCTTAGTCGCCCGTGTCACCCCCTCGGCAGCCCTGCTCCTGTGGTGTGTCCCCAGGACCCTCCCTGGAGTCCTCAGGGGAAGGGTGCAGGCGTCGGGGACGGGAGAGCCGAGCAGAAGGCAGGCACAGCGTCCGCTCGGAGCAGAGGCTGCGGAGGAGAGTGCCGAGTGACCAGAGCCCCCCAAATGCCGCACATTTGAAATTCAACCCGCACTCTGTGGATTGAAATACACAGACACGAGAAAGGAAAAGCAACTGTTGGAAATAAGACACATTTTACAAGAACTCGTGCAAACAAAGGCCTTGGACGAGCCACGAGGGGCCGGGACAACGTCCCGCTGGCAACGCTGAGTGAACGTCTAAAGAGTGACGGGGGCGGGGGAGAGACAGGAAGAGGTCAGGACAGTTCTGCGAACAAGCAAGCGCCCTCCCTCCAGCCTACGCCCCCAAGGCCCCGTGACCCCGGCCCGCACGTCCCACAGGCTCTCCCTAAGCAGCCGCGATTCTGGACGTGCGGGTCAGCCTTTCGGGGAGCACGTCCGTCCACGGTTTGCAGCCCACGTGCTTCTCCCCAGACGCTTTGCCAGACGGAACCAGACTCGGCCCGGCCGCCCGCGTGGCCGCCCTCTGGGGCCTCCCGGGGCCGGCGGGGCGGCACGCAGAGCCTCTGGGTGCTGTGGCGTCGGACCAAGCCAGAGCCGGCCAGGCCGGCCACCCCCCAGGCTCTGGTTTTCAGCTGTGAGAAAAGACACACAACATTGACCTTGCCAACGCGCCCCTTTCCAAGCGCACAGCTCAGGGGCAGCAGGCTCACTCACACGGCTGCGCAGCCGCCGCCGCCGCCTCCAGAATGTTCCATCTTCCCCGACTGAAGCTCTGTCCCCGTTAATCACTAACTCTCCCTCCCCCGCCCCCCGCCGGGCCCCAGGCACCCACTGTCCTACTTTCTGTGTGAGGTTGACGACGAGGGACCTCCTATAAGTGGCATCACGCAGTGTCTGTCCTTCTGTGCCTGGCTTGTTCCCTCAGCGCAGGGCCCTCCAGGCCCAGCCATGCCGGCGCCAGGGTCAGAGCACCCGCCTCTGTGGCCGAGCGACAGTCCCCTGTGCGGACCACAGCAATTCGGCAACAACTCCAGGGCGGGGGCGTCCCCCCTCCGGCTGCGTGTCCTGCATGCAGAGCTGCTCGGTCAGGCCCCAGGGTCAGGCGCGCGGCCCCGTGACACGGCTGCGCTCCAGGTGCCCGTTGCAAGCCCAGGCTGTCGCTTGTGCTCCTGACGCCCGCCCAGCTGTCAATCGGCCGTTCCCGTGACCCCTTCCTCAGGTCGGATCGCGGTGCTAGAGCAGCTCACAGAGTCCAGGAAGCTAGTTTACTGAAGAGGTGACTGGCTTATTGCTGTTCACTGGAGGAGACACCCCCCAAACAGCAGCCTCCAGCCGGGCCGGCAGGCCTGCTGGGCGCGTGGGCACGTGGGCGCATGGGCGCGTGGACGCGCCCGAGCTGCTGGCCTCCAGGGAGCAGACTCTCGGGTGCACGTCGCACCCAGGAAGGCAGCGAAGCCCGGCTGGAGCTGCACGCGGTCTGGTGGCCTGAATCCACAGCTGTCCAGAAGCAGAGGGGCAGCCTCCCAAGGAGACGGGGCTCTCCAATGACCGGGCCACGCCCGTACGGCCTTTTTCTTTGCTATTAATTTGTATTTCGTTTTTCTCTTTTCCTTGGAAGATGTGTGCCCTTATTTACATGCCCTAATCTACTGGGGAAAAAGGGAAATTGGATTATTGAGTCTGCCATCAAGAACTGGGATCTAGCCCTGGCCGGGTGGCTCGGCTGGTTGGAGCGTTGAACTCATACACCAAAGGCTGCGGGTTCAATTCCCCGTCAGGGCACATACGGGAGGCAACCGATCGACGTTTCTCTCTCTTCCCCTTCCTCTCTCTAAAAATCAATAAACATATCTTCAGGTGAGGATTAAAAGGAAGAAAAAAAAAAAGCTTGGATCTCTCTGGCCTTGGCCGGGTATCTCCGTGGTTAGAACACTGTTCTGATACGCCAAGGCTGCAGGTTCGATCTCCGGTCAGGACACACACGAGAAACAACCCAAGAATGCGTAACTACGTGGAACAACAAATCCATGTTTCTCTCTCTCAAGTCAATAGAAATAAATAAAAGGTTAACCTCAGACCCACCCAAGATAAGGACGGCCTTGGTTTCATTGTCTACGGGTCAGAATCCTGGTTTACGTTCCTCATGAGGACTAGGCTGCTCCGCCGACCGGACTCTGTTTTGAATTCTTCTTGCCATTAGGCTCTGCACCTGCTGCCTGTCACCGTGGACACGAGAGACGACGCTCAAGAGAGGCCCCTCCTGCCCTCGAGGAACAGGAAGGCTAATGTCAGAAGACCTGACTGTTGATCAGCAATGCACTCGGGGAAAGATTTCCATCAGAAGGCGGATGAAGAGCGACCCTGGGACTCCAGCCCCAGCTGGTGCGGCTCAGTGGATGGCGCGCCGGCCTGGGAACCAAAGGGTCACGGGTTCTGTTCCCAGCCGGGGCACAGGCCTGGGGCCAGGGCCAGGTCCCCAGCGAGGGGTGTGCAAGAGGCCACCACACATGGGCGTTTCTCTCCCTCTCTTTCTCCCTCCCTTCCCCTCTCTCTGAAAATAAATAAAATCTTTTTAAAAAATGAGACTTTCTTTTTTTAAATCCTCACACAAGGATGTTTTTCATTGGTTCTAGAGGGAGAGGAAGGGGGAGCGAGAGACACCACGGTTGCCTTCTGCACACGCCCCAACCAGCAATCAACACTGCAACCTGGACGCGTGCCCCGACTGGGAACTGAACCTATGACCCTTCGGGTATGGGACGGCGCTCCAACCAACGGAGCCGCCCAACCGGGGCTGACAGAGACGGCAGGCTGGCAGGGTCTGTGCAGGCGGCTCAGGCTGTGGGCGGCCCTCTCACACTCGGCCCTTCCCGCCCTTCCTCCGGCCCTGGTTCACCTGACTCAACGCCTCCACCCGGCGCTCTTCCCCAGGGTTTATCACCCTGGCCCAGCTCAGCTTCCCTGTCCGGGTGGCCTCTGCACGGTCGCCCATCCCCCCTCCCATACCCCCCCAGGGAGAGGGAGGAGCAGGTGGCCCAACCCACTGGCCACACCCAGGTCGGCCACAAGTCCCTGGCCCGCGCCCAGCCCTCTCCCAGGTGGGGCGCACTCCCGTCCCTGCTGCCCCGGGGCCCCTCCCCTCTCAGCTCCCGCAGGGGCCTCAGACGTCCCGGAAAAAGCGAAGCGTCAGCAGGGAGGGCCTCTGCCCACCCACCTGTCTGTGCCCAGCTCTGCCGCCTGTCCCTCCGGTCAACCCTGACTGATGACAGAGGCCAGCCTCGCATGAGTGCCCTGGATCCCGGCCCTCGTCCACCAGGGACCGGGCTTGCCCGCCCTCCTCCTCCTGCCTCCAGCCACAGACCCGCGGCCACTTCTCCCCGCACCGCCCGCCTGGCTCCCTCCAAGCAGCGCCCCCCCAACCGCGGCCCTCCCCCTCCGGCCCTCTCCCTCCCAGCCTCCACCGCAGCGCCCGGGCAAGGCCAGCACTGAGGTGCACACGGGCCACACCCGAGGCCCTGGAGTGCCCCCCGCCCGTGGCCCAACCCCAGCTCCTCCCTGACCTTCACCTCCCTTCTCCTGGGCATCTGCGGAACACGATGTCTGACGGAGGCCTTGATCCAGGAAATATAAAAAACTCCAGATCGACTGGGGTTATGTTTCCTCCGCCTGATTTGCGGCACGAAGCCCTTGGGACCCCTTGTGAACTCAGTGCTACCAGTGGGCACCCCAGAGCCAAAGCCCGGGCAGGGCCCCATACGTGTGGCTCCAGATCTGCAGGAGATGGTGAAGCCACAGGCCTAGTCTCCTGCCGCCTTGCCTTTCCCGGCCCTTCCCAGGCACCAGGCACGACTGACCCCAGGGCAGGCCTGGAGGGGCGGCCAGGCCTGAGGGGCGGCCAGGCCTGAGGGGCGCAGGTGCACGCTGGGCGCCCGCAGCCCCACGAGGGCCAGGGTGGGCAGCGACCGAAGGCCAGGCGCGCACCCCAGCTCGCTCCGCCCACGCTCTGATCGCGGGAGCAGCTGCCTGGCACTGCCACTGTCAGGGAACAAAGGCCCTTTTCGTCGCCTACGCGGCCCAGGGCTGGGGGTCCCGTCGGACAGCGCTCAGGCCGCGGCCCAGACGGAGGGCCGAAGTCTCCAGGCCGCTCTGGGACTCGGCGCCTCTGCTCACTGCCCTCGGTACAGCGCCCTTCGTTTTGCAGAGGCCGGAAGCGACGGGGCGCGCCCCGGGGGCACTGCGAGGCCGGGGGGCGCGCCGCCTCCGGGGGCGTCCCACCCCGGCTGCTCGCTCAGTGCGCGCACAGGACGCGCCGGCGCCGGGCTGCTGCGCTGCCCTCTCCGCGTCCTGCCCCATATCATGAGCGAGCGCAGGGGCCCCGGGACCCCGGGACCCCGGGATCCCCAATTCGGCCGCGGCGGTCGCTGAGGGGGCGGTACCCCACTCTGGGGGCGGGGCGTAGGTCTCGGGGGCGGGGTTTCCTCCCGCAGACGGGGCCTCACCGGCCACCCGCGCCGCTCCCGATTGGCCGGAGGCCGGGGCGGGGCCGCGGGGCATTGTGGGCCTCCGCGCTGCCTCCACTGCCTCGCCATGTCGGGCTCCCCGGTAAAGCGGCAGAGGATGGAGAGCGTGCTGGACCAGCTCAAGCAGTTCACCACCGTGGTGGCTGATACGGGCGACTTCCACGGTGAGCCGCGCGACGCGCCGACTATGGACGCCGGCGGAGACCGTGCGCGGCGGGTCGCGGACGCCGAGACGGCCCGCTCCGGGCCCCGCTGCTCCGCCGCCCCGCTCCCGCGGAGGGGACGGGGGGGCCCGGGGACGGCGTCGGGGGCGGTGGACCGGGGCGCGGGGCCGGAGAACGGCGCTCCGGCGCGGGCGCGTAGGTTGAGCCCCGCCCCCGAGCCGAGGGCGCCCCTGCGGCCGGGCGGAAAGGCGCGGGAGCGGGCGGGCGTCGGGTCGTGGGGGCGCCGGGTCGGGGAGGGTGCGAGGTGGACCCGGAGCCGGCCGCAGGCCAACCCTCGTGCTTTCACCTGCCTGGCGCACACGGAGCGCCCCGGGCCTAGGGGCACCGGCTTTGGCGGGGTGCCGGCCACCGGGCCGCGGAGCTAGGCGGGAGCCCGGGGCGCCGGGCAGAGCAAGGGCTATGCTGTACCAGTTTAGACTTCTAATGTGAGTCGCCTGTCGCCCGGAGCCTGGAGGGCTCCGAGGTCCGTCCGGAGCCCCGACCCGCTCCGCCGACTGGAGCGCCGTGGCTCTGTTCCGTCGGGGGAACTGGATTTCCAGGGAGCTCGTGCCCGTGGGCGTGAGCGCTCGGGGCTCCCAGACGGAAGTGCCTCCTCTCTTTTCTGCTTTCTCATGGTGACTTGAGAAACTGGGTGTCACCCCTCTTTGGTAACACTGAGTGTGAGTGTTTTGTTTTCTTTAAGAGGACTGCTTTTATCTAGCGGAGCTGACCGGCGTGAATAAGCATGTTTGGTATCAGCCTGGGCCCAACCTATGGGCTTACTGGCTTTGTACCTTAATCCTCTGACCCGCGCGGCCTCCAGGGGCCTTGGTCTCCACTCCGGCTGCCCTCTGGCCTCCGGGCGAGGCGGCGGCCCGACCCCAGAGGGACACTGGCCGCCCTGGTCCCTGCAGGTGGTCAGACCCGCCCCTGGGGAAGGCTTGCTTTCTTTTTTTTCTTTTTAGAGAGATCAACACCCAAGAGCTGACATTTTTACTTTTTAATGAATATTAACTTTCTAAAAATACATTAGTCGATGCTGTCTATTCGTAAACGTTAGGTCGTTGTGGGCCTTGGGTTTTGTGGGCGTTTGTGAAGGTTCTTACCTTTGTGTGGGTGGGGGTCGGAACCAAAGCCGTGGCTGCTCCGCCCAGAACAGGCCCCCGCCCCGCGCCCCAGTTTTGCCTTCCCGGGACCTGCACCCACCGGCTGCATCCCAGCTTGGTCTTGTACTTCTGTTAAGTCAGCTTCATCGGGACTTGACTGATTGGGAGCAGCAAGAGGCGCGCCTCCGCGCATCGACTCGGGCTTGCACCCGCCGGTGTCGTAAGCAGCGCCTCAGAGCGCGGTTTCTTAACCCGGCGTTTGGAAACAGAGCCCCAGGAGTTGCTGCAGTGGGAGGCCACAGGGGCCCCACGGCGGCATCTGGTGCGGCCACGGCGTGATCAGGACCCAGAGCTTGGCACTGGACCCGCTCGCTCGCCAGCGGCCGGTGGGCCTGCGCAGGGGCCGCCAGGGTCAGCCCGCGCGGCGCGCGGCCCGCTCTGTGGCGGGTCCGTCAAACTGCCGGCCCCTCGTCTCGCCCCCATCTCTGCTCCCCCATCCAAGGCACTTTGAAAACACTGACCTGCCCAGCGAACTTACTGAAGCAGCAGGTCCGCTGGCCACTCCGCACTCCCGCGTCCCCCTTGGGCGGCCTGGAGCTCCCTGCCTGGCCTCCTAAGCGGGAACGGACGTGCAGAGGGGAGAGCGGCTTAGAGGAGGAAGCAGTCGTCTGTCGACGACTCCGGTCTCTGGCACCAGCGCCATGTGGGAGCTGGACGTGCCTCTGCTGTGCTGACCACTCCTGGCTGCTCCCTCCCGCCCGGACGCATGACGTCAGCCCTGGCAGGGACCCCGCTGGCCCTGGTCTTGCTGATGGAACCTTCATTGTGCAAACAGCTGTCCCGCAGCTGGCCCTCCCGGATGGGGAGGGACGTGTGTGTGAAGGGTGGCTGTACCCTGGCTCAGAAAACACTTATTTTAGATATATACCTAATTTTTAGAGAGAGGAGAAGGGAGCGAGGGAGAGAAACCAGCTGGTTGCCTCTTGCTTGCCCCCAATTAGGGGCTGCCGCAAAACCGAGGCGTGTGCCTTGACTGGGACTTGAACCGGCGACCCCTCAGTCTGCAGGATAGCGCCCAACCCACAGAGCCACAGTGGTCAGGGCTTGGCAGCTGCTCTTGACTCTGTCCAGCGTTTGGGGTGTGGAGGGGACCCGGCATGGCCTCAGGGTGGACGCAAGCCTCTACTCACTCTCTGTTTTCCAAACCCTGCCCCCAGCCATCGACGAGTACAAGCCCCAAGATGCCACCACCAACCCGTCCCTGATCCTGGCAGCCGCGCAGATGCCCGCCTACCAGGAGCTGGTGGAGGAGGCCATCACCTTCGGCAAGAAGCTAGGCGGGTGAGTGCCGGCCAGGGCGCTGTCTGCGCGCCCCTCACGGGCGGAGGCTCGGTTCTCGGGCCCGCGCTCAGGGACGCTGCCTCTGCCCGTGTTCTCGGGGCTCTGCTGGGGTGCGGCCTGCGTGTGGAGCCCGCAGCCCCAGGCTCCTGTCCCGGTCAGGGCCCCCGCTGCTCTGTCGTTGGGCCTCTTTTTTATGGGTGATTTTGAACGGCTTTATTAGAGTGAGGTCCACTGCCTCGGGCGCACGGTCCCGCGCCTCGAGGTGAGCCTGTGCGCGGCCGCAGCCCGAGCTGAGAGTCCCTGGCGCCCGCCTGCGCTTCGTCCTGCTCCTGCCCCTGGGCCGCCATGCTGGCGGTGGTCTCCCCAGATGTGCCTTTGTTAGGGGCCGTTTATATTTTTCATGAGGGTGAGGACGGGGCCTTTGGGAAACAGTGGCCCCTGACCGGGACTCTCGGGCTGTGCGGGTGTCAGGCCTGCACTGCACCCCGAGTCCTCCCCGCCCCCCAGCCGGCTTCGCTGTCCCTTCTCCCCCGGGATGGCCCTCGGGGACCCCTGCCCCGGCGTCAGCGAGGCCTCAGTGCTCCTGGAGGTGGGCGCCAAGGCGTGTCTTCGGGGCTCGTGTGCCCTCCGCCCTTGTCGGCTGCCCCTCAGTTCTCACCGTGACGCCGGCCCAAGACCCTCCTAGACACTAGGCAGCAACGCCAGGCCCTGCACTGCGCTCGCCTGCTTGGGCAGCTCCAAGGGGAGGGTTTTTTTCAGCTGCTCAAGGATGGAGGGTACTGTTGGGGCAGCCAGCAGGCTCCGGGGGGCGTGCGGCGGCAGCCCCACAGCGTGACTGCGCTCACGGGCAGAGCTGTGCATGCGGGCGGTTAGGCTGGGGGACTCTGCTGTGTGTGTTTTACTGCATAAAAAACCTCGTGAAGAAAAAGGCGGCATGAAAGGGAAACCAGAATCGGTTTCGTGGAGTCCTTTGCACTTGAGCAGACAGGTTACTCACCCGTGTTTCACCTTTCAATTGCAGGTCGCAAAAGGAACAGGTTCAGAATGCCATCGATAAACTTTACGTGCTGTTCGGAGCAGAAATACTGAAGAAGGTTCCAGGCCGCGTGTCCACAGAAGTAGACGCGAGGTAAGGGCACGGGGCCAGGGTGGCGGCAGCTACTGGGTCTGTGGCCCCTGCCAGGCCAAGCGCGCCCGCGGCCGGCTGGCTTTGGCAGGTGCCCTGAGGGGACGCCGTCACTGACTACGGAGGCCCGGCTCTTGCAGGCTCTCCTTTGACAAGGACGCCATGGTGGCCCGGGCCCAGCGCCTCATCGAGCTCTACAAGGATGCCGGAGTCGGCAAGGACCGGGTTCTGATCAAGCTGTCGTCCACCTGGGAGGGAATCCAGGCTGGGAAGTAAGTGTCCCCCAGCCCAAGCGGCGGGGCCCGCAGCCCAGACAGGGTTGTGTGTCCAGGGCGGGGGCCCCGGGTCTTGCCCACTGACCCTTAGTAGCAAGAGTCCCATGAAACACCCACCGATGTGCCCCCCACCCTCACTGGGCACGCGCACACAGGTCATGAAAACGGACCCTTTTAGGCCAAGCACAGGCCCCGCGCGGGAGGGGGAGATGTGGGGACTTGGGTGCCACCCTCTGGGTCTCACCTTGTAGCCGTGGGGGACAGCTGTCCAGGAGCCTTGCATGTGCCCCACCCCCCACCTGGCAGCTGCCCGCCCGCCCACCCGCCCTGGTTCACATAAGTGGAGTCGATGACGTGGCCCCGTGTGGCCCAAGCTCGGGCTGCCTTCCTCCCTAAGCAGAGGCTCGCGTTTTCTGTGTGTTGCCCATCCCCCTGCACACACGTGGCTGGTCCCGCCTCTTGGGCTCCGGGGCGGGGGGGGGGGGGGGGGCCTGCTTTGAAGGTTTGGGGGCGGGCACGTGCGTTGCCTCCGGGGTGCCTGGGTCGTCTGGTCGCTCAGCACTTGCCCTTTGGGGGAGCTGCCGTGCCCCGCGGCTGCTCTGCCCTCGGCCAGCGCCCAGCAAGTGCGGGCTCTTAACTACCCCCGTGGCTACGTGACACATCTGGAACTGCCCCCTTCTGTGGGAATTGGTGGTGGAGGCCTCAGCAGAGGACCAGCTGTTACAGCCCATGCCCCAGCCACGTGACAGTGTGTGGCCATTGCCCTGTACTCAGGACGCAGCCCAGGATGTCACGGGGACGGAGGGGCTGCTGCAGGGTGGCCTGGGGAGGGCGAGGGGACCCAGGGGAGGCGGCAGCTCCACGTGAGTTGGCAGGACAGCTCTGCTCAGGGGCTGGGGACTCTTGCCCCTGCCCCCGTTGGTAACGTGGCCTTCCTAGAGAGGACCCCAGTTGCTGCCAGAGCGCAGGGGTGCACTCCGTGTGCTGGGGGGGGGGGTGCGGGGAGCTCACGCCCGCCTGTGCCCGTCCCACAGGGAGCTGGAGGAGCAGCACGGCATCCACTGCAACATGACGCTGCTCTTCTCCTTCGCCCAGGCCGTGGCCTGCGCCGAGGCAGGGGTGACGCTCATCTCCCCCTTCGTGGGGCGCATCCTCGATTGGCACGTGGCCAACACAGACAAGAAAGTGTACGAGCCCCTAGAGGACCCTGGTGAGCAGCCTGCGGGTGCTGGGGTGGGCACGGGGCGGGCGGGGGCCCAGCGGCCACTCTGCCTGGGTCGCCTCTTCCAGGGGTGAGGAGTGTCACCAAGATCTACAACTACTACAAGAAATTCGGCTACAAGACCATTGTCATGGGCGCCTCCTTCCGCAACACGGGCGAGATCAAGGGGCTGGCGGGCTGCGACTTCCTCACCATCTCACCCAAGCTCCTCGGGGAGCTGCTCAAGGACAACAGCAAGCTGGTGCCCGTGCTCTCAGCTAAGGCAGGTAAGGATGTGGGGCCACTCGGGGCTGCGGGCAGCAGCCAGGGAGGCGCAGCTGCAGGGCCCCCGCCCCGTGCCTGCCAAGGGCTGGGAGGGCGCTCGCAGATGTGGGCGGATGCGGAGGGCCCTGCTGCCTGTCTTCCCAGCCCAGGCCAGCGACCTGGAGAAGATTCACCTGGACGAGAAGGCCTTCCGCTGGCTGCACAACGAGGACCAGATGGCTGTGGAGAAGCTCTCAGATGGGATCCGAAAGTTCGCGGCCGACGCCGTGAAGCTGGAGCGGGTGCTGGTGGTGAGTGCCCAGGGTGGGGTGGGGCGGAGCTGGCACTTGCCCCAGGACCCTCCCTGCGCCGCCTTTTGGGGGCCGCCCTGCAGGCCTGCCAGGGCTGAGGGGACCCACAGGTGGTCTGACGGGCTTTTCTGGCCTGTCACCTGCTGTTTGTAGGAGCGAATGTTCAGCGCGGAGAACGGGAAGTAGCCCCCGGCGGGGCCACTGGGGAGCACCGGCTTTGAGCAGGGGTCTGAGCTACACGTGCCTGGTGACGGATCTTGCGTGTTTTTTTTTTTACTGCTTGGAGCAGGGATGGATCACAGAGTTCTTGATTTTATGCAAAACTTTGCCTGATGCATTAAAACATGGTGTTTTCTGTGCTGGGCTTCATCTCCCCACTCTGTCCCTGTGTCCCAGCCACAGGCCTGGCCACAGCGGAACTGGGCCGGCCCCACTCACAGCCACAGCCCACCGCTAGGCAGAGGCCCCAGGGCTAGGCAGTTACCAGGTGGGGGCCTGTGCGCCTGGCAGGCCCACTTTCCACCGGGCTCTCATCTGGTCCACTAGTGCCACCTGGTGGGGACAGCCCAGCAGCGCAGCCCACCTACACTCCGTGTTCTGGATGCACCCCTGAACCCTGGAGCAAAGGCCATGGGGCGGCCCTGTGCTGGGACTCCGTGTGCCCCGTGCGGCGCTGAGGACTTGGGGTGGTGCTGGATGGGCAGGCAGGTGGCTGTCCACCTCTGCTCCCAGCGCACAGAGCAAGGCAGGGTGAGGATACAGGATGTGGAAGGCAGTGCCAGGGAGCACGCCCAGGGCCTGGGGGCTCCACCTGCCCAGGCCCCTGGTGTGGGTGGCCAAGCAGGTCCTTTGAGACTGGGCAGAGCCACCCTGAGGTGGCTCTTTGGGCTATCCGCCCCCCCCCCCCAACTTCCCATGGGGACACCAGGCACTGGCCACCGTGGGTGAGCAGGGCCACCTCCACTTGCTGTCAGAGCAGCTCATCTGGGCTGACTTGCCCCCGAGGACCCCAGGCTCTGCAACCTTGGGTGCCAGACCTGGCTCAGCCCCTCCGAGGGGGCTGCTGGCCCTTCTCTGCTGGGTGCCTCCCAGCCCAGGGGCGCTGCACACACGTCTGACCAGCCAGTTTCAACATCCAGTTCTAGGAGACACCCTCCCCTGCCCCCAACAATGCTGCCTGCCAAGACCCTGTCCACAGAGCCACAATTTGGGTTCCTTCCTTCCCAATGGTGCCACTGGACACACCTGCACTGCTCTCAGGGGTGGGTGTTGGGGCCTGTTTAAAGACCCCTGGGCACGTGGGGACCACAGAAGGCACGGGCAGGAGGACCCTACCCTGCCTCTTCCCAGGCTCCCGGATGACCCCCAGCCCCTCAGGCTGCCCTTGCTGAGCCCCACCTACATGTGCCCCATCAGAAGCCTGTCAGCAGGTGCTTCCAATTCTTTCTGGGTGAGACACCCTAGCTGGGCCTTTCAGGTTTTGGTGCAGGAACAGCCATCACCACGTGGTCACAGGTACAGGCTGACCAGGAGCCCTGTTTGCTTCCTTGGGAAATGCCTGATGGGGCTGGGGCCGGGGGGGGGGGGGGCGTGTGCCTGGTGCAGCAGAGCTAGTGAGCCCAGGTCGGGAGAGGGATGGGGGACACACAGCAAAGCCCACAGCCCAGCCAGGCCCTGGCGGGGAAGCCGGAGGGCAGGTGGTCAGGCCGTGTGGGGGGAGCTGGCTCAGCACGGCCACCCGGGGCTGGGGAGTAGCCTGGGCAGCCCCAGGCGAGGCCTCTCCCCCAGCGGAGCCTGTTCGTGTCCACCCTGGGCCCCGAAACAGTTGCAGAGCCGGGTGTGCAGTCCCGGCAGCCTCTCCTGACATCGGGTACGGTGCCCCGGCCTGACCTGGGGCCACCGCCACACCTGAAACCACGCAGGAGGCAAGGGCTCCAATCAGGGCAGAGCTGGGGTCAGGAGCTGTGACCACAAGATTCATTTTCTCTTCACCTCTGACCCAAATCAAAAGCGCTGATCCAGTACCGGCCAGCTAGCGCCCGAAGGGCGGGGCTGCAGACCACGGGGCACGCGCTCACCCCCGCCAGGGTGCCCAGGGCCGCCCAGGAAGAGCAGAGGGGCCCCGACCCCACCCCGGGACTCCCGCAGCCGGCTCGCTGGGCGCCACTGCTCCAGCGACTGCTCGCACGGGGCCTGGGCCCCACCTGGTGGCCAGGGCAGCAGCGCCGGCCCGGATGCCCCTCAGCGCTGGCCCCCGGAGGCCTGCCTGGGGTTCAGAGTCACTCTCCAGAGCTGGCACGGGAGCCGGGTCCCTGAAGGCCTGCAGCGTCTGGCGGCCTCTGGGAACACCTGGGCCGTCTGCGGGTGGTGGCATCCACTGGCAGGGAGGTGGCCCAGTGGGCAACCGCGTGTCACTTCCTGCAGGAGGGACTCCAGGTCAGGGCTCAGGCGCGGGCACCGTCCGTCCCCGGGAACGCGGCCCAGCACAGGGGCCGGTCCCAGCCAGGAGCCCACCCGCCGCCCAGGCCCCTCGCCCAGGCCCCTCACCGGCTGCCGCAGAGAATCAGCAGGCTCTGCACGGCAGGGACGGTGGAGTTCGCGTTCTGGCCGGTGACAAGGTGGCGGTCCAGCACGACATGTACTGCGTCGGGCTCGCTGGCTACAGGACACCCCACGGACACAGCCTCAGGCAATGCCACACAAGGGCACGGCCCCAGACACGCCCGCCCCCCGCCGGGGTTGTGAGCTCCCAGGGACTCTGGTCAGCAGGGGGGTCAGCTGGGGGGGTCAGCCTGCCAGGCTTCCAGACCGGCTGGCCCCCCCGGCCTGTGGGTGCTCAGCCCCGGGAGGCCGGCTTGGCCCGTGCGGCCCCACCCGCCACCCGGCGGTGCCCGCCCAGCTCACCACTGAAGCAGGCGCCTGCGTCCTTCACGAAGTCCTCCACGACCAGAGGCAGGCGGGCGAAGCCGGGTGCCCTGACGAGCTCGCACACGGAGGGCTGCAGGGGCCTCGTGTCAGGCGGGCCCAGCCGGTCGGGGCCTCGGCCCACCTTGGGGCCCCCAGGGCGGCCAGCCCCATGCGGGGGGGGGGGGCTGGCGGTCACCTCTGCTCCAGCATCGAGGCACGAGAGGGGCCAGAGCACGCCGAACCCCTCAGTGGTGGAGGGGCCGGGGTTGGCTGCAGAGCCATATGGCCTGGGGGTGGGATCGCGGCTGCAGGAGCTCCGAGGAGCCACGATGCTCCTCCACTGAGCCGCCCTCTCTTGGGCCTGGGCCCCAGACCAGGCCTCCCTGTTCAGCCCCCGGCAGCCGGGGCCCGGTCCTCGCCACGCGGGCCCCCCGGGCCAGCCCCTGCCAGCCGCAGCCCCCAGCCCGTGCCTGCTGGACATGGCCGGCTCTTCCCCCTCCCCCGTGCACAGCCGGCTCGTGCACAGGTGGTCTCTGTCCTCCCCCGCAGCCCAAACGGGCCTCCCAGGACTTCAGCAGGGAGGGGAGTGACGGGACAGCAGACGCTGCCAGCCTAGTGCCATCTGGACAACGGAGTGTCACCCCAGCCAGCCGTGACCGTGGGCCCCGCGGGGACCCTGGTGTCCCCGTGCCCCAGGCCTGACAGCTGCCTGGGGCCCCAGGGCTGCACTCACCCCTGTCACGCTGTAGCCCTGGAACACCCAGGACCTGTCCTCAGTGGTGGCACAGCACAAGGCGGCAACACCGTGGCCAACCGCGCAGATGGGCTCTGAAAGCAGCAGACGAGACAGAGCCTGGGGTCCTGGGCGCCAGCCTGGTCCCCCCACGGCCCCGGGGCCGGCCTCCTGCAGGCCCCTGCCCCACCTCCCCAGACGCACGGGAGCGGCGGCCTGCGGAGCCAGTGGCTTCCGGCGCAAACTGCACGCCCTGGCGAGCAGTCATGAGGGCAGAGCGGCCCCTTGCCCACCCGGCGCCCTCTACCCCACGGCCCCCGCCCCAGGGTGTCCTGTGCCGCTGTCAGACTCCCCCTGACAGCCACCGTTTCCAGGCACAACGGTCACCGCCTGGAAACCTGCCGCCTCCTGAGTGCGGGGGGCAGGGCCCCATCCTTCCGTCCAGAGCCAGCGCCCGCCGCGCTCCCTTGGCTCCCAGCCTCCCACCCAGGCGGCTGCCTGGCACAAGTGCGTTCCCACGGCTGAGCTGCCCGGGAACAATCACTGCCTGTCCCGGCGGTGCTGGGACAGGAGGCCCCGTTCTCACCAACAAAGGACGCTGTGTGGAGCCGGCTTTTTGTCTGCTGGTCCCTAATGAGCATCCTGGCCCTGCCCAGCAGACACACTCATCGTAGCCGGAGGCTGACCGGGCGCTAGGCCAGGACCCCACAGGGTGGCCTTTCTCCCAGCCCCCGCCAGCCGCGGCCCCAAGCCGGGACGCTGAGGGTTCCCATCAGAAGATGCCAGCATCCTGTCTGCTCCCCAGGGGACACAGCCAGCAGCCCGTGAGGGGCCAGGCAGAGGGCCCCCAGGGCTGCTGACGAGAGCACAGGAGGTGTGACAGCCGAGCAAACCTGCCCACTAGCGGGTCAGAATCACCAAAGCTCCTTACATCGGAAGAGCGATGTCTCCCACTCGGAGGCCTGAACGCTGCACCCGCCCCCCCATCCCCGCCGCCGCCACCCATACCCCACGGCAGGCGCCTCCCCCGCACACATGCCCGCCCCAAGGGCCACCTACTGCTCTCCGAGCGGAAGTGCTGCAGGATGCGGGCCAGGGACCCGCTGCTGGCAAGGTCGGCCAGGGCACCGGGGCAGCTGGGGATCAGGAGGGCGTGGTAGCGGGCACCTGGGGGAGACCGCGGGCCCATCAGTCCCCTCTGCTCCAGACGCCAGATGCCCTGTCCCTTTCCCAGCCAAGGCCCCCGGAGCGCGTGCACCCTCCCGTGTCTCTGAGCACCTGCCACCTCTCCCCCCAGGAGGAGCTGGGTGGCTCTGGGTTCAGGTGGTGGCCCCAGACAGTCACAGCACTTGGCAGCGAGCCCAGGAAGCTCCGGGAGCAGGGGATGGGGGGCTCTGTGGGGCCATAAACCCACCTAAAACCCCACACACCCCACCCTCCAAGGTCTCGGGCCCTCACCGTCGATGGACTCGAGCTTGGCGGGGCTGGCGTAGGCCTTGAGGCGGAAGTCCTGCACCCAGCGCGCATTGCTCTCGTTCACATCCACGAATTCCATGGTCTTCCCCTGCCAGAGCCCCGAGGCCAAAGGTCAGCCAGGACACCCCCCTGCTGGCTCGCAGGGGTGCTCGGAAGCTCTGATGGGGGCCCGGGACCGACAGCAGCCCCTTGGGGTCAAAGGTACCCAACAGCCCAGCCCCCTCACTAGGGCTCAACACACCCTAAGCTCCATCCATCTCAACGCCCAGCCCCCTGGCTGGCCCTCAGTCTCCCACCTATAGAACGGGAGCAACTGTCCCACCCACCCCAGGGGCGACACTGGAAACATTCAAAATGACAAAACCGCATCAGTGCTGTGGCTCCCGGGGCCCTGGGCCATCAGAGGGTTGCGAAGCCTCCTGGCAGGAAGTCTGCGCCTTCCTTGCGGTCTTGCACAGACACTGACCACAAGGACCAGGTCTCCCTGGCCACGGGCGGGGCCAGGGCTTGACGAGGCCAACGCAGTCCTGGCCCCTCAGCCCAAGCCAGGTCCCTCGGGGTCACAGCAGCCTCGGGGACAGCAGGCCCCTGGCCTCGCCCCCAAAGGAGAGGTGGGAGAGGGCGCTGGACTCACCCCAGGGGTGGCCACCTGCAGGTTGAAGGCGGCGCTGGCCAGCGTGAAGCAGTGGAGGAACGACTGGGCCGACACTCCTGCGAGGAAGGCACGCGGGGTGGGCGCCGGGCGGACAGCCCCTCCTGCCGAGGAGGCTGCCCCCCGCTCCCCGGGCCCTGCCAGCCCCCCGTCTCCGCAGGGGCTTTCTCCCTAGCCTGCCCGGGAGGCCTTCCCAGAAGGCCAGCCCGGGAGTGCGGACCCCTCACAGGCAGCTCGTCTGCTGGCGCAGTCGGTGGGGACGGAGCGCCCCCATCAGGCCGGGGACGGGAGGGGCCCCATTCCCGCCAAGTCTGACAGGGAGCGCAGCCCCCGACCGCCCTGCGGGGGCTGGGTCATGGCTCCTGTCACAGGAAGGGGGGCATCCCCCGCTCCCCATGGGCCAGGACACCCCCGCAGGGCTCCCCGCCCTCTCCTGCCGACACCCAGGCGGGAAGGGCAGCTGCGAGGGGCTGCTGTCCCGGGGGGACATCCACTTCCAAAGAGGCGGGATCCACGTCGCTCCACCTTCACTTTGACCCTGGGACTCAAACCCTGAACCTTCTTTCTATCTTGTTCACGCTCACAAATTAACACAAACACGTGTACTTTGTAAGAAGTTCACGTACTGAACAAAGACTGTCTTTCGGAATCAGGCCCTGGTCCCTGCGGGCAGCTGCCTTCCCAGGTCCTTACATCCTCGCTCCTGCACCCCAACCACCACCTACTTCATCCTAGGGCCCCTGAAGGGATGATGCAGGGCCCAGGGGTGCCCTGCAGCCGGGGTATCCTGCCCTCGGAGCCCAGAGGTCGCTCCAGAGCGGCACCCCTCCCCCACCTCCTCGACATCCCGTGCTCGCGGCACAGCCAAGCTGGTGCGACCCTTCCCCTTATCCCGCTCCAACAGCCACCTTCGGAGGTAACCCCCTCCCTGCCTCCCCTGGGCTGAACCCCGCTCTCAATGGCTCCTCCCGCCCCTGTACTCCCCGTGGGGGTGGGGGTCGACCCTGGCTGGCCCCTCCCGCCCGCACTCTGGGCACACGGGCCTCAGGGCCCCTGGGCTCAGCACACTGTGACCCCAGGACCCGCAGTCCTGTCTCCCTGTCCCACTTGGGCAAACAGAGAAGTCGAGCAGAGCAGGCTCCACAGATAGAGCCCGGGTCCCAGCCCTGGTCCCCCACCTGCCCCCATGTGGCCTTCGGCTCATCACTTTCCTCCGGGACGGGGAAGCATCTGGAAGTGCTCAGAACAGCACCAGGTGCCCTTCTCTGCTCACAGCCTCCCTGCCGGCTCTCAGCACCCGTAGGCCTGGAGCGAGAGCCGACGCTCGCAACACCGGACCCCATGAGAGCCACGCCCGCCTCTCCGGGCCCTTTACCACCGGGCAGGAGCGAGGGGTCCTCTACGCCTGCACAGCTCCCCGCCCCCAGGACAGTCCCTCTCCAGCCCCTCGTCCTCCTCGGTGTGTGCCAGCGCCAAGGTTATCTGGCCGCAGGCCTGCCGGCGCCCCACGTCCCGGGACACCCACTGCCCCTCACGGCGCCCCGGACTCCCCAGTCCTGTCCCTGAGGGAGGGACCCCCGGCACGGGGGCGTTTGCCTCTCCCGCGCCGCCGGCTCCCGCCGTGCCTCCTCCACGCGAGTCTCACCCTCCGCGGCGCCGCTGGCCACGAGGAGGCAGGCCGGTCGGCTCGAGATGCGTTCGGACGCCATGGACTCCACTGCAGTCGGCGCGGACTGCGCCTGCGCGGAGCGGGCGTACTTGCGTGCCTCGCCGGGGAGACGCCGATCACGTGCCGCGGCGGCCGGGGGTGGGGCCGGGAGCTGCGCTGGGCGCATGCGCAGTCCAGCAGCTAGCCCAGCTCCGTCCCGGCGTCCCCCAACGCGTTCAGCAGGTGGCCCCGGAGGGGCTACGGGGAGCTCTGAGCCCGGCCGCGGGGCCGCGGGGCCGCATCGGAAGCGGTTTCATCGGAGGCTGTCCCCGGGGCAGCCGGCAGTGGTTGGCGGCGCTCTCCGGGCGCCGAGGCTGGAAGGAAGGGCCGCCCAGCTCCGTGGCCCCCGCAGTCCCCCTGCAGGCGCCCCTGCTGTTAGTGTGGCGGGGCGGCCTCAAAGCACCTCTGAGGTCCTGCCAGCCTCTGCTGACGGGAAACCTCGGTCGTGGGTGGGCGCTGCCAGGGTGGGTGAGTCTAGGCTGAGGCAGCTCCCCTGAGTGCCCCTGATCCCGCAGCACCGGCTCTGCCCGCAGTCCAGCTCAGCCCCACGCTCCCTCGGGCCCTGACCCCCCCGTCTGACACAGTCGGAGCGCCTTGCCCTCACCCACTGCAGGACTCGCCCTCCACGGGGTGAAGCAGCAGCTGGGGACCCCTGGCACTGGCGGGGCATCGGGACAGGTGACAGGTGGGAACCTGGTGCCTGTGTTGGATGGGTGGAGACCAGCAGGCCTGAGGGCAGACCACAGGCTGGGCCTAGCGTTGGGGAGAGCTTTCTGCGTCTGGGGAGGGACTGCCTCCCCACCGCGCAAGTTCATCGGTGTAAGGAAGACCCAGGGGCTGGAGATGTCCACCGGTACCTCTGCTGGCCCAGCCCCACCCGCAGCGCCCCGGGGTGTCCCTAGGGCACCAGAGCTGGCTGAGCCACAGGTGCAAGGCCTCCTGCCGGGACAGCTCTGGGTCTCCAGCAGCCTGCCTCCTCCCATGTGGGGCCTTGTTAGGTACTTTCTCTGTCTCCAGGGAAGTGGGTGGAGGAGGAAGCCGGGCCAGCAGTAATGCGCCTATGCCCTCCTGTGCACCTGGGGTCGTGCGGGGAGCCAGGGAGCTGGTGCCTGGGTCCAGGTCTCCTGTGTGGGCGGCGTCCTTGGTCTGTGCGTCCTGTGTGCACAGGACGCCACCCAGGTCGGCATCCTTGCTGTGCCGCCAGCGCCCAGGGCGGACAGGCCTGTGACGGTGCAGTCCTGCGTGGCACTCTAGGCTACGGGACCTCCAGTCTCAGTCACCCCTTCCCTGGTGATGCCCACCTTTCTGGAACTCACCTGGCCAAAGACACCGTACAGAGGGGTCCAAGGGCACCATAGCCAGTCACTGGGATTCAGGGAGTCAGAGAGCTCTGGCCTGGCAGCCAGGATGAGGGTCTGGAGCAGTGAGTCACCCGCCACCTCTGCTCCAAGGGGAGGAGAGGCCCTGAAGCATCGCCAGCTCGTGGGTGTAGCTGGAGGACCGCGGGGTCCCAAAACATTGGCCAGCCCCATCCCCCAGACATGCCAGTAGTGCACTCCAGGGTGGGGTCCCCAAAGAGGAGTGGCACACTCTCGGGGGCAGGAAGGGTGCCCGAGAGGAAAACAGAGCGGCCCCCACACATGCACTCTCTTCATCCCTGTACAGGACAGCAATGCCCTGCAGAGCCCGCCTGTGACATGACAGCAACGTGGGGACAGGGGCCTAAGACGCTGGTGCTCAGAATGCAAAGGCTGGGAGTAGAGGTCTCTGGGGATTCCACGGGGAGCCCTGCTGGGCGTGAGCGGGGCTGCCCTTGGGTAGCGTCCCTGGGGGCCTGCCCCCATTTACAGTGTGCGCTTTTCATACCCTGAACCTTTTTGTATCTGGTGGTTTGTTCAGACATTAAAAGTTGTCCTGTAGCCCTGACTGGTGTGGCTCAGGGGACTGAGCACCGGCCTGCAAACCAAAGGGTCGCCGGTTCGATTCCCAGTTGGGGCACAGGCCTGGGTTGTGCGCCAGATCCCCAGTAGGGGGCGCGAGAGGCTACCACACATGGATGTTTCTCTTCCTCTTTCTCCCTCTATTCCCCTCTCTCAAAAAAAAAAAAAAAAAAAATCCTGTAGTAAAAGTAATTTAAAGGAGGCTTGGGTGTCCCTGAGATTTTTTCACACCGGAGGCCTTCCCCCGTTGCTCAAGTTGAGGGAGTCAGTGGAACAGGCTGGGCCTCCAGGCCCAGGGCCTCAGCTTGCTGATCGGAACATGCCCGCGAGGAGACGCCAGCACCTGGGTGTACAGGAAATTAGAAAGAAATGAGGTCGTTACAAAACGATGGCACAGCGTGACCTTGTGGGGATTGTCCACGTCCTGAGGCTGGACCAGCAGCTCTGCCGGGGGAAGGGAAGTAACTGATCTCCACATATGACACCTGACGTCCCGATGGATCACAAGCCTTAATGTGAGCAAATGACGAACACTGGTTGAGGACGTCCTCCCGACCGAGCCTCCACAAGCTCCCGTGGCACAGGGAACAGAGCTGGACGTGACAAACTCGGTTCCAGGACCTCTGTCCTCAGGACACACAGCGGAAGGCGAGCCAGCCACGGGGTGACAGTGTTTGCAAGGAATAACAACAGCTTAGTGTGCAAAACACAGAAAGGAATCCTACAAATGAGCAAGAGGCAGCCGCTTCTTCCAAGAAAAACAGACAAATGGTGCTGGCAGGAAAGATCCCAGAAGGCGAAACCCCGGTGGCCCAGACCCCCGTGAGGAGGAGCAGGCCAGGTCAGGGCGAAGGAGAAAAGCGGGGGCTGGTGCCGTCCCCACGCAGACTGGCAGGACCCCGTGTGCTTCACGCCACGCGCCGTCCGCAGGGCGAGTGCAGCGGCACCCTCGTGGCTGATCCCCAGGCACCAGACGGGCAGCAAAGGCCGGCACACACGGCGCAGCCCCACCGGCGAGTGTGTGCGTGAGACACGTGCGAGCAGAGGCTTGAGCTGACCTGCGCCCCCACGTCCACAGCAGCCCCAGTCACCGCGGCGCAGAGGTGGGAGCCGCCCACGTGTCCGTGGACAGAGGGTGGGCCCCTGGAATGTGGGCCTCACCCACTGGAGGGTTATTGAGCCTTGGCAAGGCAGGACGCCCTGGCGCCCACTACCACATGGGCGAGACAGCCCCAGGACACCGTGCCGCGCGAAGTCACGCTCCCGCGGGGCCAGTCCCGTGGGATTCCACTCGTGATGGGCAGGAGGGCGGGGGCTGGGAGGGTGCATCCCGCGGCAAAGCGTCACTTTGTAAGATGAAGAGGTCTGGAGAGGACGGCTGGCCACGAGGTCACACCACCACGTGACTGCATCGAGCATCTAAAAGGTTAAGTGAGAAAACGTGTGTGGCCCAGCCAGGGGCTCCGTTGGTTGGAGCATCATCGAGGAGCCCGAGGCTTTGGGCCAGTTGACCGGGGCACCTACGAGGAGGAGCAAACAATGGGTGACCGAGGAGTGAAGCACATCGCTGCCTCTCTCTTCTCTCCTCCTCTTCTTTTGTCTCCCTAAAAGCAACATACAAAACTTTGTAAAGGGTGCACAGCACCCCCCTACACAGACGCAGGGCACAAAGGGTGTTCCAAGGACCTTCGTTACCGCTGTGCCCAAAGGGGCAAAAAGTCTGAAACCACCTCAACACTCCGCAGAGAATCGCTATGGGGGGGTGGGGGGCGGCGCGGTGGGTGGAGCGTCACCTCCGCTCCCTCCCCGGGTCTCCTCGAAGAGCGGAAGGGTTTGCGTTTTGCTTTTAAAGCGCCAGGTACTGACTAGAGAACGGGAGAGGGTCCTGGGCCGCAGGCAGGTGGCAAGTGATGCTGACCTGGCTGAGTGGCTGCGCTGGAGCCTGGGGGAGGGAAGCAGGTGGGCTGTCAACGGGAGGGACGGGCAATGTCAGGCCCGGGGATAGTCAGGCTCCGGCCTGTGGCTCGGGGCAGCAGGAGCAGGTGGGCACAACGGTGGTCGGGGGCCGCCGCAGGGCAGGGGCAGACCTGGGCCCGGCTCAGGTCTGTTGTGGGTGTTCGGGCAGAATTTATCTGGGCATGAGATGGGGGCGCCACTGTGGTGGGGCGGGTCCAGGGAGGGCCGGCGGGCGGCGGGGGGGCGATGCATCACCCAGTTACGTCCTCTCCAGGGGCGGGGGGGTGGGCGCCCAGAGCAGAGTTTGTGGGGTCCAGTGGGCCTTTGCCCCCAAGCCCGTGCCCGACAGCCTGGCCACAGCTGGGCTCCCAGGCAGGCCCGGCCAGAGTGAGCGCAGGGTGGGTGGCAGGTGGGAGACAGAAGGAAATTCTCCACCCCCGGCTGCAGCCTCCTCTGCGCCCCCCATCCCCGGGAGGGGGAGCTCACTGCAGAGGCGTGGGAAGGCCCCTGTCCCCCACCCTTAGCTGGAGAGCCCAGCCTGAGGAACAAGGTGCCCCTCTCCGCCCCATGTCCTCAGTTGGACCTGTGCACTGTGGCCAGCAGCCTGGGTCTCAGGGAGCGTCCATCTTGGGTCAGGGCAGCGGGAAGGCCTGGCCGCGGCGGCCTGGGATGGGGCAGGCCCGGAAGGGGCAGTGAGTGGAGGTCACCAGGATCGAGAGCAGGGAAGCAGCCGGGGAGGCCCATGAGAACCCTTCCCCGGAAGCCGGGGTGGGGGGTGGGTGTGCATGTGATCCCCCACCCTGGCGGAGGCCCTTGGCTCCCGCAGCCGTGAGCAGGTGAGGACGCCAGCCCAGCCTTTAGACAAGAGTTTATTGTAGACTCGGGCGCCACTTGGGCCCCGGGCGCCCGTGGCCGGCTGGCCGGGCAAGGGCGTGTCAGGCTCCCACCGTGCCCAACGGCACCCCCAGAGCCTGCCCACCGCCACTGCGCCGAGGGCCATGCTGGGACCGGGTGTTCCGGAGCGCTGTCCCTGTGGGCACCGCGGGCAGTGGCCCTGGGTGACAGTCACCACGTGGTTCTACTCTACCTGTTATTGCATTTATACGCTTGTTGGACTCAGAAGACACTGGGTGAGGCAGGAGAGGCATCTCCAGGGGCTTCATGAGGCTAGGCAGGCGCAGCGGCAGGGCAGGCCCTTGCTACCCACGCACCCCCACCCCACGCCCACGCCTGGCTCTCAGCTGCCCCAGCCTCCGGAGCTCCCCTCGGACACAAGCTGGAAGAGGAACCGTGGGAACCCCTCCCAAGACTGGCCTTGGGGCTCTCTGTCTGCCCAGCAGGGGCGGAGGGGCAGGCGGGGGCCGTGTGGCGGCCTCAGGGCAGCCCCACGGCAGGGCCCACCCAGATCGACCCTCGCCCCCCAGCTGCAACCAAAGAGCAGAAGAGGGGACAGTGAAATAGCCACACCCTTTAATGTCCCCCCACGGCTGGACCCCTGTCAGCCTGGGGCTTGCTCCTGCCCTGGGGGCCCATTGGGAAGCTGCTGCCAGGAAGCCCGCAGGACCACCGGGGACCCTCGAGACAGGCTGGCGCGGCGGGTGCTGTCCACGGTCGGGTCACCCTCAGGGTCCGCCCTGCCCACGGCCCCCGGGCGCCTGGGCCCTGGGCCCTCCGCCCCATGTCACAGCTCCCCCCCGTGCTGCTTGGTGACCCTGGGACCTGGGCTCCTTCTGCCTGGGAGGTTGGGGGGAAGCGTGAGGGCCAGCCAAGGGGGCTTGTCCACCCCTCCCTCTGCGGGCCTGTGGGGCATGGGTACGTGTATTTCTTACAGAGGAGGGGAGAGCTAGCTGTGTGTGAATTCGCATGCACGAGGTCCCCGAGGACTGTACAGGAGCGGCTGGGTCTCTGCCCGGTACCAGCCCTCACTTTTTCCGGACCAGGAGGACGACACCAAGAATCAGGGCTGCAGCCGCCACGGCCACGCCCCCAGCCAGCAGCAGGGGGGTCAAGTTCTCGAAGGGGCAGGGACCTCGGCCCCCGGGGCCCCCACCGGGGGCCTGGTCCTCCTCAGCCCCATCTCCAGGGCCCTTGGGCTCGGGGGCTGCATGGGGGCCGCTGGGGGCCGTGGGGGCCGGCTTCAGGTTGCTGTGGTTGTTGAGAAGGGCCGGGTCCGCCTTGGCCGGGGTCTTCTTGGCAGGGGGTGGGGTGGGGGCCACTGGCGGCTCCTGCTTCTCCACTTGGGCCTCCTTCTTCCCGGGCTTGGCCGAGGGGGCTTTCCCGTCTGCCGTCGGGGGTCCTCTGACCTCGGCAGCAGCCGGAGCTACCTTGGTGTCGGGCTTGGGGCTGCTGGCCGACTTGCCCCTGGATTCCATGGCGGCCGTGCCGGCAGGCTGCACGGGGCGTGCGGACAGGCAGGTGGCTGGACCGCGGCGGCTCAGTACAGCTCAGCCCTGCGCATTACATGGACCTGGGGGAGACACAAGGAGGCGCTCCCATCCCGCCCCCACTGCCGGTCCCTGCCGAGTCACCGCCCAGTCCTCTGCTCAGGGTCCTCCTCTTCGAGGGCCCAGCCTCCACTCGCGCCCACAACTACTCCCTGAGAAGCCCCCAGCCACACAGGCAGGGGCCGTGGGCTCCCCGTGGGCGGGTGGAAGCGGATGAGACCGGCCAGGGCCAGCTTCCTTTTCTGTAAAACAGTCCTCTCTCCACACATGCTGTGTCCGTGACAAGGCCGGAGAAGAGTGTGCGGTCGGGGGAGACGGACAGCAGCCGCGTGGGCCAGGGCAGAGCCGGCTGTGTGTCCTTCTCCGAGGGGCTGGGTCCAAGGCAGGGGCAGGGCAGGGAGGGAACCTGGAACTGGACTCTTCGGTGCCCGCAGGGCAGGAGTGGGCCCACGGCCCCAGGCCCTGGATGCGAAGCACCGAGACATGTCCCGAGGAGGCTGGAGAAGCCAGGAGGGCGGTGACGGGCCTGTGCTCCCTGGCCCGGCGTCTGCCCTGGCACCCCCCCCCCCACGCCGGCCTCACCTGCTCCAGCTCAAGGGCAAGGCGTCCTTCCCAAGCCAGAGGCTGCACCTGCCTCTGCGGGCAGAGGGGCCCCCTGGAGTTAGCCTCGGGTGGGCACTGCCTTGTCAATCAGCCTCCGCATCTGGGCCAGGCGGAGGGTGGGGGTCCGGGCTGAAGGAAAGGCCTGGCCCCATCCTTAACGTCTCGACTGGGGCGACGGAGGGCGCAACGGGCACCCAGCCCCCCTCGGCCTGAACCCGCGCTCCCTGCAGGCCTAGGCGCCACCTGTCTGCCTCGCCCCTGGAGGATGGGAAATCCCCGACCCGCAGAGCCCCCAGAGGGGGAGGCCATGGTCGCCCAGGTTCCCTACCGGGCCCAGGGACTCTAACCACACCGAAGGTCGCCTGAAGGTCACAGCACGACGGGGATGTCCCAGGGAGGGCCGGGCCGCTGCTCCACTTCCCAGGGAGCTCCAGCAGCCCCTCCCCCGGTCGTTCTTGAGGGGCACCCGGCTGCTGGGGGTCAAGTTCGCAAAGGGCAGGTGGTCTGCTTCCCCCGCCCGCCCTCGGTTATTTTTGGCTCGCACTGACGTCACCCGGCTGCCCCTTCGCCCGCCTCGGGGCCGCTGTACCCGGCGAGTGATGACCTTCAAGTTGGGGAACTGCCGCTGCGCCCCGCGGGCCCCAGCGCCCCCATCCCGCCCCGGCCCCAAGCCGAGGAGCCCCGGCCGCCTTACGCTGCTGCTCCTGGCGCTCCCAGCTCGGCGCTCGGCGCTCTCCGCGGGGTCGCGGCGGCGAGCGGCGGGCGGCGGCTGCAGATGCGAGACCGGGAGTTTCCCACAATGCAGTGCGTCGGCGCGGGCACTGGGGGCGGGGCCGCAGCGGCGCAGGCTCCGCCTCCCTCCTGCAGCGCTGCGCCGGGGCCGCAGGCGGGTCTGGGGCCCGAGCCCAGCCCCGCCTTCAGTCCCAAGGGTGGTTTAGGTCAGGCCGCGAGGGTCAACGGCCGCCCTCCCGCAGCCCCACCCAAGCCGCGCGGGAGTCCGGAGCGACTCCTCCGGACCCCTGCAGGCGCAGGCAGAGGGCGCTTTCCTCCCCCACTCCCGCCCCTAACAGAGTCTCGGAGAGCGCACATCTACTTAGAATATTTATTTATCTTCTTACATGACAAGACACAAAAAGTCACTTCTTCAAACTCCTCCAAAGGAAAAAAATATAAATCTGTAAGCAGCAGCAGCAGCTTCCAGGGGTACAGATGTGATGGGGACAACCGTGAGCTGGGGGCTAGGCCTTAGCCCCAGGTAGTGTCACTGGGAAGGGGCCTCCTCAGAGGCCTGGGACGGGGACACAGGGACACAGCACCAGCACGTCAGGACCAGTCACCAACACGATCACGTGGCAGGGTGGGGGTGGGGCGGGCAGGGCAGCGGAGCCTGCCTCAGTTCACACGGATGGGCCTGGAGGTCGGGAGGGCGCAGCGCGGAGTGTGGTCAGGGGCTTTGAGCAGAGGGCCAGCGAGCAGGGTGGACTCTGAAGAGGCAGCTCCTGGCCCCGCACCCCCGCGAGCAGAGCAGGTGCCCAGGCTCCCTACTGGTCTTCATGCTCGCCCTTCCCCTGGCCAACAGCAGACCCGCGGTGCCAGTCTCAGGAAAGGAGCCAGACTAAACCAAGTTTCCTGGCAGGGTCAGTGGGGAGCCTAGAGTGCACACGTGCACTGGCGCGCGCGCGCGCGCACACACACACACACACACACACACACACACACACACAGGCTGCCTGGCCACGTGGGAAGGGCGGGCAGCAGCCCCCCGCCCCCCTCAGCCCCATGTCAGAGGGGCCAGGCCAGCTGAAGGCCACAACCAGTTCCACAAAGCACTCGCATGTGCAAATGCTCTGGGCCCCCAGCCTGGGGTGGGGCAGGGGCCCCCAAGGAGGACTGCTGGGTCCAACAGCTGGGGTGGGGGCTCCCTGGGAGTCAGACGCCCCACCTGGGATCCCTGACTCAAGATGGGGGGGCAGGAGACCCCGATGCCCCTGCAAGGCTGGCCAAGGAGAGAAGAGCAGCAGCGGGAGGCTGGGCAGAGCCACTCGTGCTCAGCGAGTTAATAAATAGGTTTGTGCAGGGTCCCCTCTGTGGACTCGGGGCCACGCCCCGGGGGCGGGCCGGCGGCCTGGAGGGAAAGGTCCACCTTGCCCAGCCCACGCCTGGGGGGAGCCCCCAGCTCAGAGACCAGCTCTGTCCCTGGGGTGTCCGGGCCAGGCTGGAGCTGGAGCAGCGCGGGCCCCAGGAATGTAAAGGTTTCTGTGGTTTCTACATAAATAACACCCATTGATCCCAGTGGTTGTGCAGGCAGGACCCCTCGGTGTCCGCGTGTGGGGGCCCTGCACCCCTTCCTCTGCCCGCTGCCCGCCCCCCCCCCGCCGTCCGGGCCGGGGGCGGCGAGGGAGACCTTCCCTGGCTCCATCCTGGGCAGGCTGCCCGGCCTCAGCCCCACTCTGGTCCTGCTCGGTGCGGGCGCGGAGGGCCCGGGCTCAGGGCTGGGGGTGCTGCAGCAGCCCCAGCAGGGTCTCGGCGATGCCCAGGAAGTAGACCACCTGCGCGATGCCAAACAGCGGGGCGATGACCAGGGCACGGCAGTAGGCGCCCTTCAAGAAGGCTGAGGGACCCTCGTTCCGCAGGATCTTCCTGTGGAAACAGGGGGTCAGAGCTGGTGCCGGCCTCCCCCGTGGCCCTGCAGCCCCGCGCCCCCGCCTCCTGAGGCACCGCGCCCACCTGGCACAGTCCAGGAACCCCGAGTAGGTGTCCTCATTGACCCCGCGCTGGAGGGACTGGAGCCGCGTCTTCACAACTGCAGGGAGGCGTGCAGGTCAGCGTGGGGGGTCCGCTCCCCCCCACCCCACCCCTGCCACCCCCAGCCCCCGCCGGAGGCCCAAGCCTGCGCACTGACCATCACAGGGGTTGACGGCCACGGCGGCCGCACTCCCAGCCACGCAGCCCGCCAGGAAGGACACGTAGAAAGGGGACTTCTCCCCGGAGGCCGGCTGGCCCAGCTGGTTCAGGTTGGCAAAGAGGGGGAAGTAGACGATGGAGAAGGGGACGTCCCTGCAGGCGGGGGTGGCGGCGGGTGACTGGGCGGCAGGGCGGGTGCCTCCCTCCGCCCGCCCGCCCTCCGCCCCCACCGACCCCCCCACCTGAGCAGTGTGGCCCCCAAGCCCTTGTAGAGGCCGGCGATGCCATGGGTCCGGAGCAGGTCCCGGGTGAGCTGGGTGGCCGTGGGCCGGGGCGGGGCCGGCGCCTCCACCGAGGGCTGGGCGCCCCCCCGTGCTGAGAGCTGAGCCTGGGCAGCCAGTATCTTTTTCTGGGCGGCTGGGGAGGAAGGGGACAGGCCCGCTGGCTCTCCCTCCAAGTGCAAGACAGCAGCAGGGGACAGGGCCCGGCTGCCGCCCCACCCCGGGGCTGCGCTCCCCACGCTCACCGATGCGGCCTGCGTCCTGAAGCTGGATCTTCAGCATCTCCATGGGGGTGGTGACGATCACCTGGCAGGTGCCGGCCCCGCAGCCCGCCAGCATCTCCTTGAACAGGGTCAGCTTCTGCCTGCAGCGGAGGGAGCGGGCCGCGGCCTGAGTCAGAGCCCCTGCCGCCCAGGGGGCAGCCTGCTGCAAGGAGCGGGGGTGAGGGGGGCAGCAGAGGCAGACGCAGCCCTGGGGGGGCGGGCGCACAGCTCCCTCCAGCCTGGAGCACCCCGCCGGGCCCTCTGGCGAGGGCGCTGAGCCCAACAGGCAGGTGGCTCCACTGCGGGCACGGGAACAGGGAAGGACAGCGGGGCCACACTCCAGCAAAGACAAATGGAGAAGCTCGGGGGTCTCGGGTGCCTCAAGGGCTGATGCTTTCAGCCCCCGCTCTGTGACAGTGCCCCAAACCCCTCCTACAAGGGGCGGCAGGCCGCGGCCCAGAGCCCAGGGCCCAGAGCCCAGGACGCCTGGGGCCGGGGCACGGGACGCAGCGTCTGCCTCGCCCCGCCCAGTGCCGGGGGCGGGACAGTCCAGGAAGGACAGAGGGAGAGGACGAGGCGAGGGACAGAGGAGGGAGAAGCAGCAGTGGGAAAGGGAGGCCCTGCAAGGTCAAGGTGAGGGGCAGTGGCGGGGGGGGGGCGGGGGGACAGAGCCTTTGTCCTTGGTCTGGAGGGGCACAGACCCCTCCCCCTAACCAGCTGGCAGGGCCAAGCCCCTCACCCGTCCTTGGAGAGCTGATATCGGAAGAAGTCGTTGGCGGCCAGCTTGATGGCCTTCTCCGGCGTGACGAGGGTCAGGTTCACGGCGGCTCCTGCGGGGCGCACAGCGCGAGAGGCCCGGGCGGGTCAGGGCTCGGGAGGCTCTCGGCCAGCACCGGCTTCACAGCGGGCACGGCTCTGCCCCAGCCGGCTCTTGGCTGCCGCCTCCTGCCCTCTCACCCACATCGGTGCCAGGCGGGGCAGGGCTCCCAGGCAGGGACAGGGCATTGCCGCCTCCGGGCCCTCTGCCCACCCTCCCCGAGAGGGACCCCTCCCTCCGGGATGGAAAGGGTTCACGATGGCAGGGGCGCTGGGCGAGAGGATGCCAGCATACAAGGCTGCGTCAGCCTGGTGGGCCGGAGCTGGGCAGGGGTGTGGCAACAGCAAGCCCCTCCTGGCCTCTTGGCTCGGGCTGCACAGCCTCTGGGCAAATCCAGGCTTGGGGACTGTTGGAGCTGCCTCCAGCCCCGCGGCACCCCCCTGCCAGCCTCCCAACACAGAGGGCCCTGCCTGTCCCCACGGGAGGAGGCTGCAGCCACTGTGGTTGGGACGGTGTCCTGCCACGCGAGGCGCTGGCAGCAAGTGAGGGATGGGGGGTGATGCCCAGGAAAGGTGGGGTGCTGAGGGCTGCCACTCCCCAGAGATCCCGCCCTGCCGTCCGCCGCCCCCAGCTCCAGCACCCAGGGCCAGGCCCGGCCCGGCGGACGGCCCATGCCACGGGGCCCACACTCGCACAGCACGCCCAGGCCTGCGGCCCTGCCCCACCTTCCCACCTGTCCCCCAGGCACTTTGGTGGGAGGGGCTGCCCAGGCCTGCCCCGTCCGGAGCTCACCACGGTACATGCCGAAGTAACCCTCTGAGCGGATGGTCTTGATGAGGCAGTCGGACCTGCGGCCACAGGAAGGGGTGAGCTGGGGGCGGGCCCGGGGCCCAGCCACGCGCTCCCCACGCCCGCCCTTGCTTCCATTGCTTTTGTGAAGACTGGGGGTGCACAGAGGTCAGCCCCTGAGCCTGTCCTGACCCCACCTTGTCCCCACGTCACACGGTCTGGACCCCCACCCGCCGGACGCGCTCACATGCTGCTGTACATCCGCTGGCCATTCTGCTGGTTCTGCAGCCTTGTCTTGGCCAGGTCGATGGGGAACACGCAGGTGACCCCGATCAGCCCCGCGATGCCGCCATTGACGAGCTTGGCAGGCAGGCTGTGTGGGCGGAGGGAGCGTCAGCGCCTCCGACTCCTTGGCCATAGGGTCGGGGGCAAGGGTCGGGGGCAAGGGCTGGGGGCAAGGGCCGGGGGACAAGGGCCGGGGGCAAGGGCCGGGTGGGGCCCAGTCGAAGGTAGGGCAGCTTTCTGACCTGATCTGCTTATCAGCCATCTGGTTGGAGCGCACCCAGCTGGAGGAGGGGCGGAGGCCTGCGGGGCAGGTGGAGGAGGAGGGTGGGACTGGGCGGGAGGGTGGTCCGCCACTGGCTGGGAATTTCAAAAGCACCTCCTGTCCTAGAAGGAAGAGGGGCTGGTATTGGCGGGGGTGGGTGGACCACTCAAGCACGGCACAGGAACAGGCTCCCCCAAACCCCCCTGAGATCTTTGAGGGGCCCTGCGCGCCACCCAGGCCAGAGAAGCATCAGGGTGGCCCGGGGCGCAGCTCTTGGGGAGGCACTGGCCACGCAGACTCCCCTGGAGGCCCCCTGTGGCAGCGTCCTCCGGCTCCTCACTCACGTTCACGCTCACGTGCACCCAGAGAGCCATCTTTAAAGGGCCAGGTGCGGGGGGGGGGGGGGGCAGGGGCTGACAGGAAGGGGACAGTTTGCCAGCTGGGTGAGTCACCTCAACCCAGGACTGGGCTGCAGTGGCCGACCCACCCTTGAGCAGAGGCCCCCTCCCCGGGAGAGGCACCCTGCTCGCCCACACTCAGCCCTGCCCCTGCCCTCCTCTGCACCCCTCCCTCCCACTGCATTCCCAGACAGACACGCACAAGACCCCATCATCGGCCAGGACCTCTGGGAGCTTCAGGGGTGTGGGGGCAGAGGGGAGGGGTGGCCGAGAGGCGGCAGCTGACCCTCGGAGGCTCCCTGTGCTTAGCCCCCACCATCCACCCTAGGATGGAGGCAGAGGGGACCCCTCTCTAGGGGCAGGGCTCGCGGCCCAGAGTCGACCCACGGGACTGCTTGTGGGGGCACAGCCAAAAAAAAGTGCGCTGTGGGGGCCACCCCGAGTCCACCTGCCACCAGCTTGTACCCGCAGCGCGGCCACCCAGTCACCCGCCGGGCTCGCCCCGGGGCTCCTCTCAGGACTGGTGACCTTCACCTTAGCTTTCCCAGGTCAGGCTGGCCCCCCGACCACCCAGCACAACATCCACCCCCACGGGGGCCGCCTCCGCAGCCCCATCCGGGCGCCCCCTCTGCTCACCGGGAGGCTCGGCTCCGTCTGCTCAGGGAGGCTCAGAGCCCGGCTCTGGGACCGCAGCCTCCAGCTCTCGGAGGAGCTCTAGTGGCTGAGGGAGGTGCCAGCGACAGGGATTGGCCCGTGGGCAGGCGGGGGGGAGGGAGGGGGAGCTGGGCGGGGAGGGACTTTCTCTTTCTCGGAGGCCGAGAGGTTCCCTGCTGCCGCCCAGCAGGACGGAGGAGCAGGGGCGTGAGGGGCCTCCCGCAGCCTCAGCCCGCAGGGCAGCGGGTCTGACACAGGCAGACCCAGCCAAGTGGGCCACCCGCCCACAGGGATGCGAGCCCCTGGCCCCGAGCCCCTGGGTGCCCCGTGCGTTCCTGTCTGCAGCTTGCAGGCTGGCCCTGTCTAGGGCCCTTGGTTCCCTGAGGATGGTGCTGTCTGTGCTCAGGTGCCCCCCCGCCCTGGACCCCAACGCCACCTCTGCTGGGAAATGGGGAGGGGGGTGTCTGCACCCACTTGTGTCTGCGGGACCGGTGTGGCCACTGGGGAGTGCATGTCGGGGAGACCTGGCACGGGGGCAGGAGAAGACACTGCTGTGCGCAGGAAAGTCCGGGGCAGGAGCGGCTGGGTCTCAGAGGCCACGGGCGCCCACAGGTCCGGAGGTCAGGAGGGCTGGCACTCCCACGGCTGCGGCCCTGCCAAGCCCCCCGCGGGCACACCCCCCGGGGCCCAGGGCTGCACGGGCCTGCTTCTCTGCGCCCCAGCCGCGGTCTCTGATTTTTACCCTGACCTCCCGCCCCCGCCCCCCAGGGGCAGACTGGCCGTGGGCAGCTCTCTCTGCGGCCCCAGGCCCTCGGGTGTGCAGGGACAGTGTCCCAGCTCCCAGGTCTCACCCTGCCCTCCTTCCTGGGCATCCCCAGACCCCACTTCCTGTCTGGGCTCAGTGATGGGGGTCCTGAGGTCAGACAGACCACCTACGGTGGGGAGAGGCAGGCTGGAGGCCGCAGCTTCCAAGCCTGAGAAGGCAGGCAGGGTCCCTCAGGGAAGCCAGGCAGCAACAGCGGGAGTCCGGGGGCTCTCTGGATAGACCCCGCACTCCCCACCCCTGCTTCTGCTCAGAGCCCACTGTGGAGGGCCCTGCCTGTGCTCCCCGTTGCCATGGAAGCCCCAGCCAGGCCAGACTGGTGACCTTGGCTGTCCACCCCTCTGTTTGGCCAGCCAGGTGAGCGGAAGGGCAGGCAAGCTGTAGGACGTTTTTCTGTTTCCTGGTCCCCAAGTAAAACCTCCCACAAGTGCAGCCCTAAGCTCCCCCACTCCCCAGAAAAGCCAGCGGTGGGACTAAGGGTCAGAAGGCCCCTATTCGGTCTCCCCAGTCCCTTCCCCCCGATGCGCTTTCCGTCCTGCCGGCTGCTGAGGCCCCCCGCCCCGTCCCGCAGAACCGGTGGGGATCGTGGACTCCGTCCGCAGGGGGCGGCTCACCCTCTGTCCTGCTGGACAGGTCCGAACCGGCCACACACGGCCATGCTGTCCCTTGCCAGGCGATGGCGACTCCAGCTACGCACGTGTCCACACACGTACGGCGGACTCCCACGTGTGCCGGCCCCCCCGCCGCCACACCCGCCCGGTCTCGGTGCCCAGGGCTCCGGCCCCGCGGAGCAACCACCCCGCGGGGACACGTGTGCACGGGGAGCGCGCTCGCTGCCGCCCGGGTAGGGCGCGGCCTCCCCCACCCGGCGGCCGTGGATCCGAGCATCGCCTGCCGGGGCCCCACCAGAGCCGCCCTGTTTGGGCAGCTGTCACCTCCCTGGGCCGCTTTGGCGCCCCTTGCTCCCAGCCGGACGCACTCTGGTTGGCTGAGGGTAAGGGGGCGGCCGCCGGGCACTCACCGCTCCGCCGCCGCCGCCGCCGCCGCCGCGCTCGCCTCCCCGACGCCGCGCGCAGGCTGCCAAAGTGCGTCCGCGCCACCGCGGTGCGCGCCCCGCCCCCCGCCCCGCTACCCCCACCCCCGGCCTTGCGGCAGCACGCGGGCTCCAGCTCCCCCTCCCGGCCGGCGCGGCCACTGCTCCCGCCTGGGCTGCAGGCCGCGCCAGCCTGCGCGCTGGCCCACACGTCGGTCACCCCTGGCGCCCCTGCATGGGTGAGGACCCCCGGGATGAGCCCTGTTGGGCCAGCGGCTGGCAGGCAGCGCGGGGACCAGGGCATCCTACGGGAGAGGCGATCAGGCCTCAAGTGCTTGGAGGAGACGGGGATGTTCCAGCCAACAGGGCGGATGCACAACTGCGCACGCAAGTGACTTTGTATCGAAGGTGCTGCAAACATTACTTTGTAGCCGGGGCTCCTCTGCCTCACAGGACACCAGAACAGCAGCAGGTGCCCGACACACAAGGGGGCCGTGGGTCTGTGCGCAAGGGCTTTTCCCCGAAGGTGCCAGGCCTCTGACGTCCACCCAACAAACCAGCTGAGTTCTGAGATGGCAACCAGATGAAGTGCATGTTTGTTACACATGAGAGGCCACTGTCCCCACACACAGGGAAGGCTTGAAAGCGGGGGCCTCTGAGCACCGGCCGGAGCCCAGCGGCAGCCAGCCCCAGGCAGACGGGGGCCGTCTAGGCCTGGGCCGGCTCCGGGGACTGTGGGGCGGAAGGCCCAGAGGAGGCAAGGTCCCCGGCGGCAAGGCTGGTGCGACGGATGCCATCTTGATACTTGTGGCGGCCAAGCTCCAGGATGGCCCGCACCTCTTCGGCCACATCCCGCCGGTCACTCTGCTCCAGGGCCTGCACTAGGAGCCCCACGGCCCCTGGCTGCCCGGCCTGGCGCTCAGCCCACGAGAAGAGCATGTGACGGATCTGCCCGTCCAGGTCGTCCCTGGGGAGAAGGGGCCTCCATGACTGAGAGGCCCAGCCCGGGACCACCCGCCACACTCGGCCACCAGCTCCCCCTGCCAGGGTGGGCTGCCTGCTCCCTGGGCCAGATGGGGCCAGACCACCCTGTCCCTGCCTGTTTGCCCTGCCCCCACCTGCCCTGGCGGGAACTTGGGCCAGCCCCTGCTAGGCCAGGCCTGAGGCTGGCCCACAGCGGCAGCAGCAGCAGGAGCCTCAAAGGAACCCACCGGAAGTCATGGCGGATGCGTTGCAGCTCCTGGTAGGACAGGCCCAGGCGCAGGGCCACGGCCGGCCAGTCAGGGCCCAGGCGCCCGGCCAGATTCAGCAGGTTGCTCTGGGTCAGGAAGCCGGTCTCGGCATCGCCCAGGTTCAGAGGTGCCAGGGAGAGGCCCGCCCCCGGCCCCTCGGACCTCCGCAGCCTCTGTGGGGAGAAGAGATGCGGTGAGCCCTGGCCTCTGCTCCCCAACCTCACTCCATGCCTTCCCGTCACCCCACCATCCCCCACCCCGGGCCTCACCGGCAGCTTGATGGGCAGAGTGGCCATCCACAGGGCGTCTGCGCCCTTCCTCTGCCGGGCTGCCTCAGCCTCCGCGGGCACCTCCTCGGGCACGGCTCCCCGATAGAAGGACACCTGGGTGGGATGAGACGGGTCAGTGCCCCGGCCTCAGCCCGGCAGCCTGGGGGCCCTACCCCGTTGGCCCACCTGGCCCCGCACGGCCTGCGCCTGCCGGTCCAGGGCGGTGGTCACGTACACCTCCTTCACGTTCTTCAGGTGCGAGTAGAACACGAAGCACAGTCGGCCCTGCACGCAGTCCGGGCGGTCTGGGGGCGGAGGCGGGCTCAGCAGGGGCCTGGGGGCGGCCCCAGGGCCCCCTCCAGGGGCGGGGTGGGGGGGTCCTACCGGCATCCACGTCGATGCCTCTTTCAAAGGCGGCAAAGAACTTCTCGCCTTCGAACATCTCCACCGTGTCCGAGGGCTCGGGGCCGCGGTACCGCTCCAGCAGCCGCCGCAGGGTGGTGTCCACCTGGGGGGCACCCGCCAGCTCAGGGCCCAACGCTTGGCAGCCACCCCCGCACCGACGTGGCCACCCCCGCCCTGCGGCCCCACCTTGTTGCGGGGCAGGCACTGCAGCAGGACCTGCTCGGGGTCCCGGCGCCTCTGCAGTGCGATCAGGTTCACACGGTGCAGCCGCAGCCGCTGCCAGGCCTTCCGCGCCAGGTCCCCCACACAGGTCTTGGTGGTGTACCAGAGCCAGTACCTGGGAGGGCGGGGGTCAGGGGGGCGGTACACGGAGGGGGCGGGCCAGGGAGGGGGCAGAGGAAACCGGAGGGGCACTGACCAGGAGAAGTGTGTGACCTGGAAGCGAGCGTACAGGTGGGTGAGCTCCAGCACCACCTGAGCCGTGATGTCGTCCCAGGTGACGGCCGGCGGAGCCCCGCGCAGCAGGTGCAGGCGGCTGCGGTCCAGACTCTGGCCTGGGCACGGGAGGGGGCCCCCGGCTGAGGCCTCTCCGCGGGGCTCCGCCCCCCAGCACTGCCCCCCCCCGCCCCCACCACAAGCCCGCTAGGCCGCCCAGGCGCCTCTCACCTGTGACACCGGGAGGCAAGGGCAGCTGCACGGTGACTGGGCGGAGAAAGCCGGGGGGACCGCGCTGGGAGAGGCCCAGCAGGGGGCTCGCGGCGGCCTCGGCCTCCCCCAGCAGGGCCCGCAGCTCTCGGGCCGGCGTCTGCACCACCTGGGGCGGGCGGGTCCACACGCTTGCCTGCGGTGCGCTGCGTGAGGCGCCACCCGCCGCCCTGCCGGCCGCCTGGCCTGTACCTGCATGTGGACCGGACGAGGCTCTTCGGTGGCTCCAGGAGGGAATGTGACCTTGACCCCAGGATGCCCCGAGGACCACAGCAACTTCCCCTCCGGTGGCACCAGGCAGGCGTTGGACACAGGGCGTGAAACCACAAGGAACCACGAGAAGTGGGGTACCTGGCAGTGGGCCCAGAGCCGCTGGGGGGGCGGGGTCAGACGGGGGTCGGAGTCAGGGCTGAGCCTCCTGCAGGGGACGGGGGGCAGGGCGCAGGGTCCAGGCCGAGCCACGGCCCCAGGCCTGCAGGGCCCTCACCTTCGGTGTCTCTTTCTCCAGGTGGGTCTCCAGGTCACTCCAGCTGTGGCCACTCCGGGTCCTCACCACCACCTCCCGGCAGCGCCGGGCCCGCGGCGGCACAAAGAGCAGCCACAGGCCGATGTCCTGCGGGGTGAGGGCGGGTCAGCTCCTGGCCCAGCCGGGCCCCTCTGCACCCGCCCTGCCCGCTCCGGCCGTGCCTGCTGGAAGGCCACCCCGTGGGGCTGCAGCTCCAGGACAGCACTGAGCAGGGAGTCGTGGGGACCCAGGGGGACGAGGCGCGGCTCCGGCGGCCACAGGCGATAGCGGATGGTGAGAGAGTGTGCGGTGGCCCCAGCCGGGAACTGCAGGCGGGCGCCGCAGGCCAGGGTCACAGAGCAGCCGTGGGGGGTCACGGGGAAGCTGAGTGAGACAGGGCGGCATCGGGTCAGACCCCGAGCGGCCTGCGTGGCGGAGCCTGGCGTCCTGGGACCCGGAAAGCCCCCGAGCACAGGCAAGCTGTCCGGCGCGCACAGGGTGGCCAGCCGCTCCTCCCGCCCCGCCCACACCTGTCGAAGTCTGAGGTGAGGAACAGTCTGGGCATTTCCCCGGCCACGGGTGTCCCTGCGGGAGCGCAGAAGGGCGGTTAGCGTGGGGACGGCTCCTGTGCCCTGACCGCAGCCTGTCCCTCCCCCGCAGCAAGCCTACCTGGGGGACTGCAGGAGTCTGGCAGGGGCTCGCCCAGGGGGTTCCCCTGCAGGCGCGCAAAGGGGGCGTCTCGCAGCTCGGGGGGCACTTCCCGGAGCTGGTTGTCCCTCAGGTCCAGCCGGGCGAGCAGCGGGAGGCGGGCCAGGCCGGCAGGCACTGAGGCCAGAAGGTTGCTGTGCAGGACAAGGAACCGCAAGGAACGCAGCTCCGCTGTGGGCAGGCGCCAGCTCAGGGCCAGCAGAGGACCACTCAGGGCCACCCCCGCCCTGGAGCGCCGGGCCAGGCCGGGTCGCTCATGCCGGGGCCTCCCAGGAAGCCCTTCCAGTCGCTGCCCCATGGCCGCACTCAGAGAGTCAGGCGCGCCTGAGCAGGGAGCCTCCAGGGGCGGGGAAGCGGCGGCAAACAAGGGCTGCCCGAGAAGAGTTGGGGCTCGAAGGCAGGCCAAGCCTGTGTGGGCAGGGGCCTGGCGGGGGACGAGGGGGCCCACGTGAGTGCAGGCCGGGCAGTGGCTGAGGGGCACTCCCCGGCAGGCCCCGGGAGCTGAGGGGGATGGGGCTGGTGCTCACCAAGGGAGGCCGGGAGGCTCTGCAGCCGGTTGGAGGCCAGGCTGAGCTCCTCGAGGCTGCGCAGGCTGCCGATCTCCGGGGGCAGAGTGTCCAGGAGGTTCTCAGAGAGGTCAAGGCGCTGCAGGGAGCACAGGGCTCCCAGGGCCGTGGGCAGCGTCCGCAGGCGGTTGTGAGTCACAGAAAGGAAGGTGAGGGCAGAGAGGGCCCCCAGGGCCTCGGGCAGCTCTGAGAGGTGGTTGTGAGAGAGCAGGAGGGCGCCCAGGCCACACATCTGTGGGACGCAGGCCGGCAGGGTCTCCAGGCTGTTGAAGCTCAGATCCAGGTGGACCAGGCAGGCCAGGCTGCTCAGGCCGGCGGGCAGCGCGGCCAGAGAGCCCCGGAGGCGGGCACCCTGCACATCCCAGTGCTGTCCGCCTGGGAGGGTGGAAGGCAGATGGGGGCCTCAGCCCCAAGGGCCCGCTTGGCCCCGCCCGCCAGGGACGCGGCGAAGGAGCTGCACGCGGGGGGGGGGGGGGCACAGACCCCCGGGTCTGCCCAACCCAGACTGGCAGATGGAAAGAGGCAGGGACGAGACCGAAGGCTTATCTCAGCTGGCAGCCCGCACCCACGCCCGCCCCGGAAAGACATGCACGCTGGAGTCCGCCGGGAGACCCCACCGGGCCGCTTCGGGGCCCGGGCGCTCAGCCCGCGTCGCCCTGCAGGCAGAGGGCCGGGTGCCGCGGAACAGAGACCCATGGTGGGGACTGGGGCTGGGGTTTACCTCTGAGGGCCAGATGCAGCAGCAGGAGCTAGAGATGGAGGTGGGACAGGGCTGGGACTAGGCGGGGCTCACCTCTGATGACCAGGGACCGGAGGCGCGGCAGGCTCTCCGGCACCCGAGCCAGCGTGGCCTCCAGCAGCCGAGGGTCTTCGTGGCCACTCAGCTGCAGGAACTCCACCTCCAGCAGCCGAGGGGTCTGCTGGGCGCACAGGTGCAGCAGCCGGCGGCAGCCCCCAGGGTACAGGTCCAAGCTCAGCCGGTTCCCGGCAGGGAGAAGGTGCGCCCCCAGACTCGCATCCACAGCGTCTGCAGCATCTCCTGCAGCATCTTCGGCAGCCGCCACCTGGGGCTCCAGCTCCCCCTCCGCCGCAGCCATCGCCCACCGGCAGGCCCCGGGGGCCAGGCATGTCCCAGCCTGCCAGGCAGGCCTGCTCAGGCAGGGCCCAGAGAGGCTGCACTGCCAGAGTGAGCAAAGGGGAAAGAGTGGCGCTGGACCCTCCTCCCGGCTAGGGGGACAGGGACTTGGCTGGGGGCGCCCCTGGGCCTGGCCAGCTGGCCCACAGATCCCTGCGCCTGGGCTGGGCAGATTGAGGTGGAAATGGGGCTGCAGAATGGGACCCCCAGGGCGGGTGGGGAGGGCGGCCAGAGCCTGGGAACCTGCTAGGGGGACGAAGGAGGTGGGAGGCTTCACAGACCAATTCTGGGAATTTGGTCAAGGGGCTCCAGAGCGGTCAGGTCACCCTGGCTGTTCCGTCCCTCCCTCCCTCCCTCCCCACTCTCTGGGTAAGAGTCCCGGGTCCAGCCCCGCCGCCCACGTGCACACTCAAAAGCTTTGACAGGAGGTCCCTAAAGGACTCTCATCTGCCACGTGGGGGCAGTGTCCCAGGCATTGAGTGATGGTGCCCAAGTGTGCCACAGAGGCGGATGTGAGAGAGGGGACCTGGGGTCTGAGACACTGCACCCCACTCCCTGACGCTTGGAGGAGGGCTCTTCCCGCCGTCCAGGTCACTCCACGGCGGCAGCGGAGGGAGGTGCAGGGCGCGTTCGGGGCTCAGGAGGCCTTAGCGCCGGTCCCGGCCCGGAGAGCGCACACCACACTCCCCCAACTCCGCCGTCCCCACTGCGCGTACCTGCGCTCCCTCCGGGCTGGCGCGGGCCCGCAGCCGGCCGGCGCGCTCTACGCACCCGGGCTGCCGCCGGCTGGCGCGCTTCCGGGCGGGCTGGGACTCCGGCGCCGCCCCCTCCGGCCCCGCCCCTGGGGTCAAGGCCTCAGGATCCCGCCTCAACCCGCCTTCCCGCGCCGGGCTTGCAGCCCTGGAGACGCGGACGCCAGCCCCATCTGCTTCGCCGCCCGCCCAGCTGCTCCCCAGCTTCCTGAGTCTGCGTCGGGCCGCGCCGTCCAGGCCGCCCCACAGGGAAGCCCGCGTTGCGTTCGCGCTTCCCGCCCTTTTCGAGGTCTGGGCCCCAGGCTCGCTCCGCTCTGGGGCCGTGCGTTTCCGGACGCGGGATTCAGTGAGCTGGTGCCATCTCGGGCGGCCGCGGGCTTTGGGGACTGACCGCATCTCCTGCCTAACACCCACCCCTTGCCAGACGCCAGAGCTCTGAGAGTGTGTCTGTCCTTCCCCAGCCAGCCCAGGGTGTGCTCTCCGGCCCTGCAGGGACTGGGCGCCAGCTAGAACGATCCTACGACGCAGGTCGGTGGCCCAGCAAACAGGAGGCCTGCCCGCGTGCTGCCTCCTTCCACCTGCGTTCCCATCTCACCAGGGAGGAAGAGGAGGCTCCAAGAGATCAGTTTGCCCAAGGCCACGCAGGTGGTGCCGGCCCGAGACCCTCACACCAGAGAGCCTCCCCACCGGTGCTCCTTCACCCCACTTTCACTCAGGAGCAGGAGCTCTGGCCCTGCTGGTGCGGCTCAGTGGACTGAGCACCAGCCTGCGAACCAAAGGGTCGCTGGTTCGATTCCTAGTCAGGGCACATGCCTGGGTTCCCCTCTCTTTTTTTTAAACCTTTTAAAAAAGATTTAATTTATTTACTTTTAGACAGAGGGAAAGGAGGGAGAAAGAGAAACATCCATGTGTGGGTGCCTCTTGTGCGCCCCCTACCGGTGACCTGGCCCACAACCCAGGCCAGTGCCCCAACTCGGAATCAAACCGGCGACCCTTTGATTCACCAGCTGGCGCTCAGTCCACTGAGTCACACCAGCCAGGGCAATAAACAAAATCTTTTAAAAAATATTTTTAAAAATGGGCAAAGGACATGAATAGACACTTCTCTGAGAAGGACATACACAGGGCCCACAGACATGAAACGATGCTCAGCATCACTAATCATCAGAGAGATGCAAATTAAAAGCACAATGAGATGCCACTTCACACCGGTCAGAATGGCCATTGTAACCAAATCCACAAACAGCGGGTGCTGGCGAGGTTGGGGAGAAAGGGAGCCCTCGTGCACTGCTGGTGGGAACGCAGACGGTGCAGCCGCTGTGGAAACCAGGATGGACTTCCCTCCAAAAACTAGAGATGGAACTCTTTTGACCCAGCATTTCCACTGCTTGGGGTGAACCCTAAGAATCCCAAAACACCACTTCAAAGGCACCTATGCACCCCAGTGTTCACTGCAGCAGCGTTACTTGCAATAGCCAAGCGCTGGAAACAGCCTAAGTGCTCATCAGTAAATGAGTGGATCAAAAAGCCGTGATACATTCACACAATGGAATCCTATGCAGCAGAAAGAAAGAGGGAGCTCCTATTCTTTGCGACAGCGTGGGTAGACCTGGAGAGCATTATGCTAAATGAAATAAGCCAGGGGGTGAGAGACAAAGACCGCGTGATCTCACCTGTAAGAGCAACCTAATGAACAAAACAAATTGACGAGCAAAATAGAACCAGAAGCGTGGCAACAGGGAGCAGGCCGGCAGCTGTAGGAGGAGCGAGGGGCGGCTGTGGAAGGGAGGGAAGGGGACACGTCAAAGAGCACGTAGGACTGACCCATGGACACAGACACCGGAGAGGCGCGGGCCAGAGGGGCAGGCTAGGTGGGGAGGGGGCGGGAGGGAGAAAGCTGGCACAACTGTAATGGAATAAACAATTACGAATTTAAACCAAAAAAAAGGACAGAAACCTGACACATGCTACAACATGGATGACTCTTGAGGACATTGCGCTGAGTGAAACAAAACAGACATGAAGGGGGATGAGGGGACTAAATGGTAATGGAAAAATATAATAAAGATTATATATTTTTTATTTGTTACTTTTTAGAAAAAAATGTATCTTTAAAAAAAGACACAGAGGGACAAATGCCAAATGACTCTGCTCACATCGGTCCCTAGAGGAGTCAGATCGGCGGAGACAGAGGTAAAATGCTAAGCCGCAGGAGCTGGGGGCGGGGTGGGGGACCTATTTAATAGAGTGCAGTTTGGGAAGATGAAAAAGCTCTGGAGGAGATGGTGGTGAGGGTTTTACAACACTGTGAATGTACTAAATACCACTGAATTGTATCGTTGAAGTGGTAAATTTTAGGTATTATTATCTACTTATAAAAATCATGGCACCTCCCTACTGACTGCAATGAACAAAACGAACGAGCAAAATAGAACCAGAGGCGTGGAAACAGGGAGCAGGCCGGCAGCTGTAGGAGGAGCGAGGGGGGGCTGTGGAAGGGAAGGAGGGGACACGTCACAGCCATCTGACCGGCTGTGAGCCTTTCCGTCCTGGACTCCTCTATAAAGCGGGGGCAAAGGCGGCGACAGCGACGGCGCCCGCCTCGGTGTGCGGTGCCGTTAACCCCAGCGCTGGCCGCACCACGCGCGAGGGCGCGCTTTGCTGTTAGGCGCGGGCTGCAGCCCCTGGACCCGCCCGGGGTCCGGCCTTTTCATCTCAGCCCTCGACCTGGGGCTTGCCCTGGATTGTAGCAAGCCCGGCTCCTTCCCATCTTTCAGCTCAAAGTCACTGCCTCGTCACTTCGGGGTCTATCTCGACCAGGGACGTCCTCGTTTATTTATTTTGCGGGTCGTCGCACTAGAACTTAAGTTGCGCGGAAGCAGGGTCCCTGACGCGGAGCAGTGAATGAGTGACAGGTGACGTCTGCATGCACACTGAGGTCAGTCTCGAGCCGACACAGGAAGAGCACCGCAGAGGAGCAGCCGCTGGGCCCAGGCGGTTCGGTTCCGCGGCGTGAGTGAGACGAGCGACTCGTCCACCTCACTGGGTCAGCCGGCCCAGAGCGCCTGTGCGGCCCGGAACCGCCAGTTCCAGCACAGCCGGCGGAGCCTGCGCAGCCGCTGTGAAGCCCACGTGCAGTCCCCACGGGAGGCAATGCAGTTACACTTCCGGCAGCCGTGCACCATGGGATTTGTAGTGTGCCGGCTGCATTGGCCGCTGTCGCACAGGCGCGCTGCATGTTGGGAGTTTGGAGGGACCGCCCCCCCCCCCCCGCCTCGCGTGGCATTCAGGAAGCCCTGGAAAAACGGTCCACTGGAGCTCGCGCCCCGCTTCGTTCTGCGGCCCCAGGGTTTCTGGGGACATTCGTCCTCCACTATATAAGAAGGCGGACCCGGAACTCCCCCTTTGCGGGAGCGGCTAAGAGCCTGGACGGGATGATGGCTCCTCCCTCGTCCTAATTGACCGAACGCGTCGTGACGTCATTCGCAGGCGCCCTCACGGGGTACTGCACGTAGGCCCCGGAGGCTTCTGGGTAGCGGATTACCCCCGCCCCCGTCGCCGGCGCCTTCCTTTCCCTGCCTGACGCCGCCGAGGTTGCACGCGCTAGGCCTCTTCGCCGCCGTCGAGTGAGTGTGGCGGTCCGGCCACTCCGCGGGCCGGGCGGGGGCTCTCGCGGGCCAGCAGGGTGCGAAGCGGGGCGGGCCTCGGTGAGGGCCCGCGAGCCGGTCCGCGTGCTGCGGCCGCGCCCGGGCCGGGGTGGGGCGGGAGGCCTCCGGGTCACGCTGCGGCCCTGTCCCTTCAGGATGCGCTACGTTGCCTCCTATCTCCTGGCCGCCCTCGGGGGCAATTCGTCTCCCAGCGCCAAGGACATCAAGAAGATCTTGGACAGTGTGGGCATCGAGGCGGATGACGACCGGCTCAACAAGGTAGACGCCCCGCCAGGCGGGCACTCGGCACTAGGGGGTTTCTCTCCTACCCGACCCGAGTGTTCTCTGGGCCCAAAGCCCAGTTTTGGGGGGCTGTGCCTTTGGGGGACCCTGATACTGCCCCAAGGACGCAGAACGCTTGTGAGGCAAAGCCCGGGCCAGCATGGCCTTCGTAGAAGCACAACGCGAATCCTGTGTAATTGAAAAGTCTTCAGTTGACCCTCTTTTTGTAAGAAACGACTATTTTAAAGCCATCCTTTTTCACTTAGCTCGCAGTGTTACTTTGAGACGGAGCGGGCATAAACTCGGGTGTTGTGCGTTCGTTCCTCGGCGGGGAGTTTTCGGAACGAGTGGAGTCCGCGGGCAGCCTAGCTGTGGGAACCCACGTGCGGGCAGTAGCTAGTGTTCTGGCGGCGGGGCCTGGGCGTGCCCTCCGGGTCCCGGCCCGCGCTGCCCCGCCGCAGGGGGGAGGCTCGGGTGGGGTCTCCGCTCACCCGGCCGTGGCTTTCTGCCCTAGGTCATCAGTGAGCTGAACGGCAAGAACATCGAAGACGTCATCGCCCAGGGTGAGATGGGGCGGTGGCCCTCGTCGTCACGGTCCATTCTAATGCCTGCTGGTCAGCGGTGGCCTGCCAGGCTTCGCTTGTGGACCAGAGTACCCTGGTAGCGACGCCGGGAGGCGTGAGCTCAGCGGCTGTGGGCTCGCGTGCGCGCGCTTCTGGACACGCGAGGGACGTGGCGCTAGGGGGCGCCCGCGCTCCCTGGGCCTCGCCGCCCTGTGGTCGGGAACCGGCCTTTGTAAACAAGCCTCGCGGTGCGCTCTGTAGGGCGGGGTGTCGGGGGGCCAGTCTCCTGCCCTCTTTGGCTGGGCGGACTGTTTCCGGGGGACATCAGGCTGGAGTGGAGGAGGCTTGTGTGGAAGTCTAGCTGTTGGAGCAGCCGTTCCTGCCCCTGGGCACGTGACAGGCCAGGGCCCGCCCAGCCAGGAGCCTCATCTGAGTTGCTGCGGGAAACAAGAGTCTGGACACCGGCCGCAGGCTAGGTCCTCGCCGAGCTACAGACGTGTTTGTCCAGCTCGACCGCAGGGTGGGGACTGTGGCCCGGCTCCCAGCTTCTCGTGGATCAATTCTTAGAAGTCAAGTTCCTGGATCCCAGGGGGCAGGGGTGGGTGCGGCAGAGCCTCTTGTCTGACAGACTGCCTGCCCCCGCCCCCAACACCAGCAGTGGGCAGCCCGTGTCTTCGCCCCTCTCCAGGGGCCTGCAGGCTGAGCCTCACCCCCCTTCTCTGGTCCTGGCAGGTATTGGCAAGCTGGCCAGCGTCCCGGCTGGCACACCTGTGGCCGTCTCCGCCGCCCCAGGGACGGCCGCTCCTGCTGCTGGTTCTGCCCCAGCTGCAGGTAAGGGGAGGCTGGGCAGCCGCTGCTGTGGGTGCACCGGGGTGTTGGGGCGCCCGGCCTGCCGTGAGGCCCTCGCTCACCCACTGCGGTCTTGCCCCCACAGTGGAGGAGAAGAAGGACGAGAAGAAGGAGGAGTCGGAAGAGTCGGACGACGACATGGGCTTCGGCTTGTTCGATTAGAGTCTCGTTCCCCTGCAAATAAAACCCTTTTTATGTATAAAATCTTGAGGGCCTGTGAGTGTGTGTCAGAGCCTGGCCTCGCTGCAGGGCGGGTGGAGCCCACGGCGGGAGGGGCTGGCTGGGGGGCTCGGGAGGAAGGGGTCTGGTGCGAAGGAGTGCCTGGGTTGGGGGCCCCTTCCTGGTTGTTGTCCTGGCTCCCGGGGGTTTCCCAGGGAGTGACGCCTGCAGGGACACCAGGAAACTTTCCAGAACAATGGGTAGGTCATTCGGGTAGCATGTCCCCTGATACTCCTAAGGTGCCGGTTTGACCCCACTCATGGCGCACAGAATCTACCAGTAAGGGCATAAACAGGTGGAGCAAATCCGTGTTTCTCTCGCTCAAGTCAGTCCGAGCAGCGGTTCGTGGTCTCTGCTGCTCTGAGGAGGGCAGAGGCCAGTGGCTCCCCTGACGCCGGTAGCCTCTTTGTTACACAAGAGGCTGGGCACATGACCCCTGGGTTTCCTTCCCTATGGGGCCGGGTCCAGTTTTCAAGCCAGTGCCCCCCCCTCTGCCTTAACCTCTGAGCATCTTGGGCAGTCACTTAGCGCCTCTGAGCTCGGTTTCCCCTGCTGTCGGGCAGATAGGGGAGTCCTGTGGGCAGGTGTGCCCCCTGGGGCCGTGGGCTCACAGGGTCCCTTGCGGTGGGCCCTGGCCTGAAGTGTGGCTCAGGGTGGAGGCCTTCCCTTCGCCCACCCAGCTGCTGCCGTGGCCTGCCGCTGTTGGCGGCCTCCTGAGCCTTCACCTCTGCCCACCAGTACCAGGTCCCCAGCAGGCATCAACTCCCCCATCCGTCCGGAGGCTCTGGGTCAGCGGCGGGCCTCCGCCTGTTGGCTGGAGCTCTCCGGAAAAGTAATGAGAAGAGGAGCGGGTGGGGGAGGCCCTAGGGCAGGAGTGAGCTTGGGGGGTGAGGGGAGGGAGGCCGAGCAGTGGGACTAGGGTGGGACCTGGGCTTTGTGGGCGCAGGTGGAAGCTATGCTCCTGGGTGGGTGGGACATGGGGTCCGGGGAAGCAAGGACCACTGCACAGGTCCTAGGGGCATGTGCTGGGAGGGGAGGAGCAGTGTGTGGGGTGGGGGGTCCCCTGTCCCAGGCCGGGGTAGGAGACCCCACTGAGAAGTGGACCCAGGGTCCAGGGCAGGGCTCGCAATGCGACCCTGGGACCTTGAAGGGAAGGGCCCTGTGTGGGCCAGAGGACACTGGGGGTTGGGGCGAACCCGCCTGGCGCAACCACCGCACGCCAGGCACCAGGGGTTCCTCCCACCCCCCGCCAGGGTTCCAGGAAAGGCCACCCTGTTCCCAGATCCAGAGCTGAAGGTCCCAGAGGCCCGGAGGGAGGGACGTGCACTCAAAACAGTTCAACCCTGGTGTGGAAATGGGGGCAGAGGCCTCGCTGCACTGGGGCGGTACCAGCCCCAAGGCCCTGCTGTCCCAGGGAAGCCGGCAGGGCTAGGGCCCAGCCCTCCTTGGAGCAGGTTGAGGGCGGGCCTCCTTCAGTCCCTGGCTTGGCCTGCACTGCCCAGCCCCCCTCTTCCCAGGCTGGCTTTGGGGCTCTGCCCTGTCCCCACGGTGCCACAACCTTTGCCGCCCCACCCCCCCGCTGCCTCCAGTGGCATCCCCAAGGGCTCAGTCATCAGGGGGCTCCGACTAGCTTGATGGGGCAGCACCCTCTGCACTGTACCTGCATCCAAGGCTTTGGGGGGGGTCCCCTGTGCAGAGAGGACAAGTCTGTAAGTCAGGTTCATTCACTAAGACCCCCTGCTTCCTCTGTCCCAGCGCTCAGGCCCATTCCCTCCTCTCTATCCCCCTCGCTCCCCGACCCCAGGCACTTGCACACGGCGTGTAGCAGCCTGGGTGGGCGACCCTGAGCCCCTTCCTGAGGTAACAGCACCCACACGCCCTGTCACCTCGTTTTTCTCCTCATTCTGAATTTAGGTGAACATCTGCTCCCTTCCTTGCCCAGTAGGGCTGGGGCTGGGTTGACTGTTCACCACTCTGCCCTGTGCTCAGTATGGGCGGGTGCCTCGAAGCAGTGGCTGAGGACCAGGCCGCACAGTGTGACCCCAGATAGCCACGTCCTGGGGAGGCCCTGCTCTGACGTTGGGGCCTGGCCCCGGGCTGGGCAGGGGCTGCGGCCCGGCACCCGCTGGGCCCCCGACCTGAGCTCCTGCCTGGGGAGGGGTTGCTTGGAGGAGACGGATGTGTGGCCTCCCCCCGGGCCCCAGCGCAGGCCAGCCCCGGCGTGAGGTGCAAGGGTGCCCCCGGCCCCAGCCAGGCTAGGCCTGCTCCCCACAACAATCCAGGAGAAGAATGCGGAACAGGGGTGGAGGGTGACATCACCCAGTGCTCCACCGGCTGGGGCAATTAGCAGGGGTGGGGCAGGGCCCAAGTCATACACAAGTAGCACAGCCTGAGAAGCCGGGATAGGACGCAGGTAGAACCCAGGTTAGTGCCCAGGTGCGAGGGGCCGCGCGGGGGCAGGGCTGGGGCGCAGACAGCACGTATCGTCCCAGGAGCTGGTGTTCGCTCTTGAGGTTAGTTGTTTGTGATTCACATCCAGTCCTGGATGTCTATGGGTTGGTCTGTGGATGAGTCGTGGGTCCTGGGAGTCCCTGGCCTGGGGAGTGGGTGTTGTAGATGGACCACGAAGGAGGAGGCGCCGGCTGCCCAAACATCAAGGCCCTCCCCTCGCGAGTGTCCAGGTTTGCACGAGGCCCCGAGGCTCCCAGGCTCCCAAACTCCGGAGGGCCTGGGCCTGAGCTTGCTCTTCCTCACACGGTTAGGCCACTGTGTATCCTCTCCGCCGCCCACGATGGGGAGCAGGGGGGACGGCAGGAGGCCAGGGGTCTGGTCGCTGTCTTTGACAGGGTCACCGCTGTCTGCTGTTCAGGGCCCGGAGGCTCTGACAGTGGCGGAATGGGGTCCCAGGCCCGGGGGCGGGGCCTTCAGGGAGGGGGCGGAGCTCCAGGGCCCCGGAAGGCGCGGCCGTTCCCCGCATGCTCTGATTGGGCCGCGTGTGCAGGCCCCGCCCCGCGCCGGCCCCGCCCACCCACTCCTAAAAACACCGCCTTTGCCGCTGCCTTGAGCAGCGTCGCCGCCTCCGCGGGCGGGGACCCTGAGAGCGACCGCGGACCGGCGGCCGGATCCAGGCCGATCGGCAAGCAAACAGTGCACAACGAGGCTGGCCGCCGGGGAGTCCCGGCCGGCGGGCCGCCGCGATGTTTCCTAAGGAAGCGACGTTCCCCCGGGAGACGACTTGGAACATCTCGTTCGCGGGCTGCGGTTTCCTCGGCGTCTACCACATCGGCGTAGCTTCCTGCCTCCGCGAGCACGCGCCCTTCCTGGTGGCCAACGCCACGCACATCTATGGCGCCTCGGCCGGGGCTCTCACGGCCACGGCGCTGGTCACCGGGGCCTGCCTGGGTGAGCTGGGCCGGCGGGCAGGGCCGGGTGGATGTTCATGCGCACAGCGCCCCTCCATCCGGCGCTGGAAAGCCGGACCCAGGCCGCGGGCACAATCCCGGCCCCAGCCCCGGCCTGGGGGCGGGGCCTAGCTTGTTTTGTTCCCGGGGTACCCCGGCCTGGCGCGCTTCTGGGGCCGAGGCCGCCTCTAGAGCAGGAGGTGGGGGCGGGCAGGTGCATCAGACGCTATTTCATTGGAAAGAGACATTAACTCGTGGGCGGGACTGTGAGAGTAGGAGGAGGAGCCTAAACTGCCCCCTCACCCGGACCGGGCTTGGTGCCCCGACGAGGTGCTAGCGGTCACTGTGTCCTGGGACTATAGCATTCCTGGCTGCCATGGCCTGGGGCCTGGTTTGGGGGTGGCCTCTTAGAGAACGTCTGGGCAGTGTAGCCCGATGCTTCCCAAGGGTCCCTGGAGCAAGAGCCAGGCAGGTCAGGCCTGGCCGTGGCAAGCTCTCCGCCACCCTCTTCCTCCTTGCACACCGCCAACTGTGGGCCGGGGTCCCCAGCTGTGGCCCCCCGTTTTGGCCCCTTCCTCGGGGCGGCAGGTGTTTCTGGACTCTCCTGCCCCATAGTTGGAGCGCAGAGGTCTGAGTCCACTGTCCCCACGCCCTTCCTGCGGTGCCTGTCAGTTGTGTTTACGGTACTTCAGGAGCCCTGGACACACTGCCCAGCCCCCAGGCTCCCCTGGCAGCCAAGGTGACAGAGGGGTCATCAGTGCCCTCCCAGCAGGAGCCCGGGCAGGGTTCTCCATGCCTCCTTCCTATGACCTTTGTCCTAAGAGGGTCGGGTAGGAGCTTGACTCCAATTCTTGGGAAGGGGGATCCACCACGGCGGCCCCCCAGACCAGGGCTCTCAGCCCCCATGCTGGCCTTGGGACATACCTAGGCCCCTGGCGCTCTGGGGGGGACGTGGCTCCATAGCACCTCCCCACCCCACTCCCAAGAAACCTCTTTCTCACTTGCGGTTTGGGCAGGGGGAGCCCCGCAGTGTGGCAGGTGCTGGCCCCACGCTGCCCACTCCCGACCTGAGCATTGGGACCCCACTATTTCCAGCCTCATGCTGCTGCTGGGCCTGTGGGACCTCGGGGCTGCACTGGGCTTTGTGGGTCTGGCCAAGTGGGTAACGGCTGTGCTGGCCAGAGTTGAGCCTCTGCCTGCCCCCCTTCTGGGCTGAGCGCCACGGGAGGCCAGGCCCGGTGACTCATGGGTCACAGCAGACTGTTGGGAAACGCCGGGCAGAGGGCAGGCCCGGCCCCAGCTGGCCAGCCCCGTCATCTGCCCTCCCAGGGGTGGTGGCTGCCTCTCTCTCTTCAGGGGCAGGTGGCAAAAGTCCCAACCGTGGGTCAGGCCCCCCCGGTGGACACTGAGAGTCCTCCAGGGGGGCGGGAGGCCATGAGTCAGTGCGCCCTGGGACTCTGGGCATGGAGCCGCAGCGGTGTGCGGAAGCCAGGACTGCTGGCCCCTGATCCTTGGCCCTCCTGCCCCAGGCGAGGCCGGTGCCAACATCATCGAGGTGTCTAAGGAAGCCCGGAAGCGGTTCCTGGGCCCACTGCACCCCTCTTTCAACCTGGTGAAGACCATCCGTGGCTGCCTGGTGAAAACTCTGCCTGCCGACAGCCATGAGTGTGCCAGCGGGCGCCTGGGCATCTCCCTGACCCGCGTCTCCGATGGCAAGAATGTCATCATATACAACTTCAGCTCCAAGGATGAGCTCATCCAGGTGGGCCCTGGTGGGGTCGGGCGGAGGGCACGGCTGCCCCCCGGAGGCCCTGCTCACCGCCCCTCTCTGCCCCGGCACCGCAGGCCAACGTCTGCAGCACCTTCATCCCTGTGTACTGTGGCCTCATCCCTCCCACCTTCCGGGGGGTGGTAAGTGCCCCGGGCACCTTCCCTGGGAGACTGCTGGGGGCGGTGGGAGGGGGTGCAGGAAGCTGTCTGTGCCCCTAGCCCCTCGCTCCTGCCGCTGCCTCTTACCTCACTTCCCCAGAGTTGCTCAAGAGCCAGGCCCGCCCTGTGTCCCTGTGCACTTCCTCTAGCTCCCCCCACCCCCCGGCTACCCCTCAGCACCCGGCGGGCCCGTGGCCAGTGCCTAGTGCGTAAAAGGCTCCAGTGAGACAGCCCCCAGGCGGGGCCCCCGGGGGGGCCGGCACGCCCTGCAGTTTCCTCGCCACACGACCCTGTGTCCCTGCCACCTCAGCGCTACGTGGACGGTGGCATCTCGGACAACCTGCCGCTCTATGAGCTGAAGAACACCATCACGGTGTCCCCCTTCTCGGGTGAGAGCGACATCTGCCCCCAGGACAGCTCCACCAACATCCACGAGCTCCGGGTGACCAACACCAGCATCCAGTTCAACCTGCGCAACCTCTACCGCCTCTCCAAGGCCCTGTTTCCACCCGAGCCCCTGGTGAGCCGCTCTGGGGCACTGCGGCCTGCCGCTGGGAGAGCAGGCTGCCCGTGCGGCCTCTGCTGAGTGCCCAGGGTGGGATGGGGAGCTGGACAAGCCCTTCTGAGGCCTGGGGACGAAGCCTGTGACCCGCGTGACCTCTCCCCTGGGGGACAACGTCTCCAGCCTCTGTCCAGCCTGGATCTTGTCCTAGATCCGTTAGCTTAGTGGTGGGCAGGGGCAGGGTCTGCGGGGACGTCTAAGGGCGGAACAGCGGTGCATCTGACTCTCGGCTCCTGTGTATCTGTGCCCTGGCTCAGGTGCTGCGAGAGATGTGCAAGCAGGGCTATCGGGACGGCCTGCGCTTTCTGCGGAGAAACGGTGCGTGGGGGCCAGGCCCCGCCCCCCAGGGTTGGTGTGGGGCTCTGCGTCACCGCCTCTCCCTCCCCTGCGCTGACCACGCGGGTTTCCATCCTCCCCACCCAGGCCTCCTGAACCGACCCAACCCCCTGCTGGCACTGCCGCCCGCCCGCCCCGCTGTCCGCCAGGATGAGGATGAGGCGGCAGTGGAGAGGGCTCGTGGGGAGGGCCACTTGCAGCCACCCGGGGAAGATCCCATCCTGGAACATCTGCCTGCCCGGCTCAATGAGGGTGCGTTGTCGGGGGCGCGGCTGCTTTGTGGTCTGCGGAGGGCGAGGTTCCGGGGAGCGTGGGGGCTCCTCCACCTGCAGCACGCGGCTCGCGGCTCTGCGTGAGGGGGAGGGTGGGCTGGGGGAGGAGGCCCTGGGGCGGGGGTGGAGCAGCAGAACAGGGCGGCCCCCCGCCCCACCTCCCCCCACCCCCCGCCTCGGGGGTCAGCCTTGCTCCTGCACCCCGCCCACAGCCCTGCTGGAGGCCTGCGTGGAGCCCAAGGACCTGCTGACCACACTCTCCAACATGCTGCCCGTGCGTCTGGCCACGGCCATGATGGTGCCCTACACCCTGCCGCTGGAGAGCGCCGTGTCCTTCACCATCCGGTACGCTCTGCGGGGGGCGGGAGGGGAGAATGCCCGGGCTTTGGGGTCAGGCGTGAGGGCCGGGCCCCGGGAAGGGAGAGCTGGCTGGGGGGCCGCGGGCGCGCGGAGCCGGGCGCTAGCCTCGAGGCCGTGCCCCCCGCCCCCAGCTTGCTGGAGTGGCTGCCCGACGTCCCCGAGGACATCCGGTGGATGAAGGAGCAGACGGGCAGCATCTGCCAGTACCTGATGATGCGCGCCAAGAGGAAGCTGGGCAGCCACCTGCCCTCCAGGTGAGCGCCTGGCTGCCCTGCTCTCCGCGGGCCACGGCTGCGCTCTGGAGAGACCCCCCCGCACTAAAGCGCCCTCTGCCCGCAGGCTGTCGGAGCAGATGGAGCTGCGCCGCGCGCAGTCGCTGCCCTCCGTGCCGCTGTCCTGCGCTGCCTACTGCGAGGCGCTGCCCGGCTGGATGCGCAACAACCTCTCCCTGGCAGACACGCTGGCCAAGTGGGAGGAGTGCCAGCGCCAGCTGCTGCTGGGCCTCTTCTGCACCAACGTGGCCTTCCCGCCGGACGCCCTGCGCATGTGCGCCCCTGCCGGGCCCAGCCCAGCGCCCCCGCAGCCCCCGCCCAGCTTGCCCCCTTGCTGAGCCCTTCCCGGCCCCTGGGTCCCAGTGCTGAGGGCGCGGCCCCCGGCTTCCCTGCCCCGTGAGGCAGGCCCTGGGGCCGGCTGAGACCCCGCTCCCCGGCCTCTCTCTGTGGCCCTGGGAGAGAGAGATCGGGACCCTGGAGGCCCCGAGAAGGGGCTTTGCTGTCGACCCCCTCACCAACCACTCACCAGCTGCACTGAGCAGGCGGGGGTGTGGAGCACCCCTCCCCAGCCGCAGAGGGCCCCTCCCCGTGCCTTACCCTCCCCTCCCAGGCGCGCCCCTTCCCAGGGCAGGGCCGCCCGGTGGTGGTCAGGGCAGCCCTGCTCCTGAGAACTTTGTAGCTGCTCCTCCCGCTGAGTTTTTCACGTTTTACTGAAGAAGGTGTGTGAAGGATTATTTATTTTCCTGAAGCAGCTGTAATAAAGGCCAAGCTCAGCTCCCATGTCCTCCGCGTACGTGAGCCCCTCGAGCTGACCCGTGTCGGTGCCGCTTCGGGTCAGGGCTTCCCAGGGTCCCGTCCCCGGGCCTGGCGTTCAGGCCTGGGTGCCCCCGAAGGCACGCGCGGGCCTGCTGGGCCACGTCCCCTCCCTAGGCTGGGACCCACGTCAGCGCTGAGGCCGGCCGGCCGACCCTTGGGCGCAGCTTTCCAAGGGCCAGTGGGAACACTTGGGGCCAAGATGCTCGTTGAATACAAAACAAAGGCCTGTTTACAGAAGGTGGCGTCAGCTATCTCTGCTCCACGGTGACAGGGCGGGGGCTGTGGAGGGCGAGGCTCCTGAGCGGGCGTGGGGGCCGGCTCCGCCTGGGGTGCGCAGCCCACGGCTCTGCGTGAGGTGCTGGCCTCCCTGGTCACCGCGAACCAGGCCGCTCCGGCCAGATGCACACACGTTCCTGCTCCCTGTCTGCCTCTGTGTGCACAGGGCGCCGGCAGGCCCTGACTGTGAAGCAGCTGGACCTCGCTCTGGGAGAGACATTGTTTCCTGAAAGTGTCCCCGGCCCCAGGGTAATCAGAGGGAGTTTGGCCGGCCCCCCTTGGTGACCAACAGGGCCGCGGGGACAGCCGGGCGCTTGGCTAGCTGTCCAGAGCCCTCGGTCTTGCCCAGCCCAGCCCCGCCTGCCGCACACACCGCCCCCGCCCCGCCTAGGTGTGGGGTGGCAGCCCCCAGCCAACAATAACGGTTGGTGGTAGGACTGCAGGACTGGGCGAGCCGGCTGGGCAGGTCCCTGGTGTTCCTGGGTGCCAGGGGCCGCCCCCCTCGCGGTCTCAAGGTCCTGTCCTATCAGCCCAACCTGTTCTAGCTCAGCAGGATCCCAGGCCCCTGAAGAAGCAGAGGCCTCCAGCCCCTGGCTCTGCCCTGCCTGCAGCGAGGCCAGGCCCCGCAGGTGGGTGCAGGGGCCAGGCGGCGGCCGCAGCGGGGGGCCCCGGGGGAGGATGAAGTTTTCTCCCCCTGCAGGAAGGCCCCACGCAGACTCTCCCCAGCTCCTTCCCTCTGCCCTGGCCCCCGGAGAACCCAGGTCAGGATGGGGCCCCAATACGGGTGTGGGGGGCCGGCTGAGGTGCGGGCCGCCCACCCCCACCCACCCACCACTCCCCCTCACACACGCACGGGTGATTGTGCTGTTAAGTGTCATTTTCTAGTATGTCACATGTGTCTTATTTAAACATGGGAACAACCAAGCTGGGAAAGTATAGGGAGGGAAGGAAAAGCCGCCTCACTCCTAGAGATAACCGCTGAAATATTGTGGTCTATTTCCTGCTTGGCGTTTTCCTACACACACTTTTTGGCGCCTTAAATTGGGATCCTCAGGACAGCGTCCCCCTCCTCACCTTGGTCCTGCTCAGCAAGGATCCCCAGGTGCCTGGGTCATCCCGGCACCGCCGTGCGCTGGGACTCCGCCGCCACAAAGATGCGGTCGCCAGGCCGAGGGCGGGTGGGAAGTGAGGCCCAGAGCCTGGCTGCCCCGGACGCGCCGGGAGGCGGGGACAGGGCGACAGCAGCAGCGGCGCCCCGCCCGGGGCCGGCCCACGCCGGGGTCTCGGTGCCTGCAGCGCAGCAGCAGCCGATTCGCCCTGCGCCCCGCGCCGGCCCACGTCGCCCACCGTGCCCGCCTTTCCGGGAGGAGAGGCCAGGTGCGCGGCAGGTGCGGTCGCGGCGCAGCTCGCAGGTAGGCGCCTGGCGGGTCCTGCCGCCCTCCCGCCGGGCGCGCCGCTCCCTGCGCGTGGCGGTCGAGGACTCTAGGGACCCTCGGGGCGGGGCGCGGGCGGCCCTTCCTCCCTGCTTCCCGCGTCCGGTCGCAGCGCAGCTTCCGCTGGGATGGACCTCTGGTCCCGGGGAGCCCGCGAGCCACCGGTCGGGCGGTGCGCCGCGTGGGTGAGGCGACAGCAAGCGGGGGAGATGTCTCCGGCTGCGGGTCCCTTCCTGTCGCCCCTCCTCAGACCCGTCCTCCTTGGAGATCTATTCTCAGGTCCCCAGGAATAGGGTGGGTGGAGAATCACTGTTCTGAACGGAGGGGGAAGGACTCCAGGCCCAGGTGCGGGGGTGGGGGGGGTCGACAAACTGGGGTTCGGCGGTGGAAAATCCGGGAGCAGGGCGTGGTGCGGAGACAGGTGCCTCCGATGAGGGGGCGGGGCGCGCCCGCAGGGAGGGCGGCCCGCGGAGTTCCCGGCCCCGGAGGAGGCCAGTCCCGGGAAGGGGCTGCTAAGCCTAGAATCTAGGGGATTCCTGACAAGGGCCAGGAAGGCACCCTGTCCCAGGCCAGGACCTGGCACCTGCACCCCAGGGGGAACTGCGCCGGTAGTGGGAGGGGCTGCAGCAGGGCGGGAGGAGCCTAACCCGCCTGCCAGCTGGCACAGCGGGGCTGAGGAGAGGCTTTGGCAGGGTGGGCCGAGCGCTCCCACGGGCCCGGCTCGGCCCGGCCCGGCAGCCCCCGTCCCCGACTTAGGACCCATTCAGCTCCCTCGCCCAAGCTCCTGCCCGCAGGGGTCAGGAGCCCCCTCCTCACAGCCCACCACACGATCTTCCGCAGCGCCCCCCGCCCCCCGCCCGGCCGGAGCTTGCCCTCTCCCCAGCCAGTCCTCTCTCGGGCTGCTCCCTGGGCCCGCAGCCTCCAGCTCCCTGGGCGGCCCCTGGGGGCCCCGAGCCAGCATCGCCCCACCCATGACACCCGTGCCTGCAGCACCACCACCCAGTGTGTGCGTCCCCCCTGCCCTCCCAGCAGCCCGGCCTCCTGGACCTGCGCTGCGCCTTCCTCCACCTTCCTCCGCTCCACGCTGGGTCCCCCCGGGCCCCGCTGAGCCTGCAACCCCCTCGGAACTTCGCCCCCTCTGCCTCTCCAGCCCCTGCCCCGCTCATTTACTCCGCGCTCTGCTCAGCCCCTGGCTGCCCCTTGGTTTCACAGCGCCCAGCGGCAGAGACCCCAGCCTCATGGCCAGCCCCCGGGAGCCCAGGGCGGGGGAGGCCCAGGAGGAGGAAGTGGAGGCAGAGGGGGGCTCCGCGGGGCCACAGGCGGCCGTGCTGGCCCAGGCCCAGGAGCTCTTCCTGCTGTGTGACAAGGAGGCCAAGGGCTTCATCACCCGGCACGACCTGCAGGTGAGTCCCCAGTCCCAGGGGGCTGCCCGGCCCAGGGCTGCCTGTGGCCACTCAGCCCGGCCCCTCCGTCTGGCCAGGGCTTGCAGAGCGACCTGCTCCTCACACCGGAACAGCTGGAGGCTGTGTTCGAAAGCCTGGACCAGGCACACACGGGCTTCCTCACTGCCCGAGAGTTCTGCCTCGGCCTGGGTGAGCCCCTCCCTCGCCCCCACCGAGACCCTCACCCCACGACCCTCCCTTCACACACGGGGACTCCATGGGGCCCACAGCCCATACAGAGTGTGGCTGGTGCTTCTCCATTGTCCCTGCTGGACAACACACGGATGCCTGTGCACGCAGGCGCCACGGACCGTGTGGAGCCGACCCTCCTGCACCCCACTGTCTCTCCTGCGCCCCACCCAGGTGGGCTGGCAGGGGGCCAGCTGTCCATTTTGGCCTGAGCCCGGCTGTCACCTCCCACTCCCAGGCCTAGAATCAAACCAGGATAAGGAAGAAAAACAGGAAACTGGGCTCAGAGAACGGGCAGGATATGTTGGGGGGGCAAGCGGCGCCAGGCAGAGCTGGGGTGGAAACCCACAGTCCTGGTCCTCTCTCTCTCTCTCTGTTCCCCCATGTCCACAGGGAAGTTTGTGGGGGTGGAGTCGGCGCAGGGCACGCTGCCCTCCCGGGCTTCCGAGGAAACCTTTGAGTCGGGCTGGTCCGAGGTGCAAGGCCCCGGGGGGTCCCTGGAGGAGGAGGAGGAGGAGGAAGAGAGATTCTTCTCTGCACTGGAGCAGCTCGGGGTGGCCCGGGTGCTGAGCGAGTGAGTCCGGGCGGGTCCCGTTCTCAGGTCCCTCCTCTGCCCGCCTGCTGCCTGTCCACTTCGCCCCACTGTCTGCTCTGGGCAGGGTCCCCAGCCCGGTCTGGCCCTGCCGCCCCTCTCGGCTGCCGCGCCCTGGGAGGAGCCGGGCGTGATTTCCCGCAGGATTTGCATTGCGGAGGCTGCAGCCCGGCAGCCGGGAGGAGGGGTGGCGCCGGGCGCAGGGCCTCGTACGCAGGCACCCAGGGCCCCTCGCTGAGCCTTGAGTCCCGGCTGGGGCGAAAGCCCCCACGTGAGGGAAGCCCTACATGCGGCAAACGCGCCTGGCTTGTCTGGGGCTGCGAAGGTCGCCTTCAGGCCGGGCGCGGAGCCCCCACTCCGGCTTCAGTCCCTGCCCGCCCCTGCAGGCAGCGGGCCGCACGGACGCTCTGGACGCGGCTGCAGCACGAGCGGCCCGAGCTGCTGGGATACTTCGAGGACGTTCTGATTCGAGCGTCCGCCTGCCTGGAGGAGGCGGCCCGAGAGCGGGACGGCCTGGAGCAGGCGCTGCGGCGGTGAGGCCTGGGGGCGGGGCGGCGCTCCGGGGGGCGGTAGGCGCGGGCCGGGGGGGTTCTAAGCAGCTAGCCGTCTCACTCCGGGCCCCCCGAAGGCGGGAGAGCGAACACGAGAGGGAGGTGCGCTGCCTCTACGAGGAGACGGAGCAGCAGCTGCGCGAGCAGCGCCAGCGCCTGCGGAGTCAGGTGGGCCCTTAGCCCCGCCCCCGCCCCGCCCCGCCGGGCCCAATCCCAAGCGCGCGCGTCTTCCTGGCCCCGCCTCCC